CCTCTCCTCTCCTTTCCTCTCCTTCCTCCTCTCCCTCTCCTCCCCTCTCCTCCCCTCTTCTCTCCTCTCCTCTCCTCCCTCCACTCCCTCCTCTCTCTCCTCCCTCTCCTCGTTCTCCTCGCTCTCCTCCCTCTCCTCCCTCTCCTCCCTCTCCTCCCCTCTCCTCCCTCTCCTCCCTCTCCTCCCGCTCCTCCCTCTCCTCCTTCCCTCGTGGCACTCTTTTGAGTCAACTCAAAAAGGTGAGTGTTGCAACCGGCCCAACTCGATGAGTGCCCTCCTCTCCTCCCTACCCTCCTACCTCCTCCCTCTCCTCCCTCTCCCCCACCTCCTCCCTCTCCACCCATGCGTGACAGTGATTTGACTTGACTACATCACGGCGAACGCGTCCGCCATTCTCTTGCGGCCGGAGCTCAGGGGACTAGCAGCCAGCAGCATGTCACAATCCATGTATTCTCTTTCCCCATCCAAAATCCACCCACCCTCTTCCATCCATGACAGCGAGTCGACTACATCATCTCAAACGAGTCCGCCATTCTCTTTCGTCCGGAGCTGAGGGGCCTGGCAGCCAACATGTCGCAATCCATGAATGCGGGGGACTACGATGCCGTGAGAGTGAGGAGGGGAGACAAGCTCAACACTGACATGTGGCCGCATGTGGCAAACGATACGAGCCCTCCTGCGTAAGTTAACTGCTGCACAGTCTTCAATCTGAGTCGACTCAAAAGGGACTGTGACGCTGTGAGGGTGAGGAGGGTAGACAAGCTCAACACCGACGTGTAACCGCACGCGGCAAACGACACGAGCCTTCCCGCGTAAGTCAGCCACTCTTGACTCCAATTCAGCCGTGTTACGACGATAATAAGTTAATGATGAATGCTGCTAATGGTGAGCATTTCTTTAGCTTCTTGGAATGCGTAGCCTGAATTTTCCTCTGAACGGGTTTCTGTTACCTGTCTTTTCCCTGGACTTCGCTCTGTTACAGTCTCCTGGAGAGTCTCCCCCAGTTAAGTTAATGCTGCTGGTGAGAGCACATTCAATGAATGTTTACCAATGCTTTTCTGTTACCTGTCTGTTTGCCTCTTCCATGCACTTTAACAGCCTTTTGGAGAAGCTCCCCCGGTTCGTTGCACCTGGACGCACGCTGTACATCGCGACGAATGAGAAAACGCCCGGGTTCTTCGACCCGTTGAAGGCGGTCTTTGCGATTCGGCAATTTCGGGACTTCGACCACCTCTGGGCGCCTGGGACTCCCTGGTTTGATGGATACGCGCGAATCCTGGGTCCGGATCCCAAGCTCGACCCCTATATGGAGGTGTGTGTGTGTGTGTGTGTGTGGGTGTGTGTGTGTGTGTGTGTTTGTGTGTGTGTGTGTGTGAGAGTGTGTGTGTGTGTGTGAGAGAGAGAGTGTGTGTGTGTGTGTGTGAGAGAGAGAGTGTGTGTGTGTGTGTGTGTGTCGTGCATTTATCCTTCATCCTTTCCTTGTTTTACCTGGTGCTCACAGGCCATAGTGGAGTACAAGGTTCTGTTTGCCATGCTTATGTATGTGTGTCCTGGTGTGCCTGACCCTGCAATCTTATACTTATCTGTTCTACCTGGTGCTACAGGCCATTGTGGAGTACAAGGTTCTGTTTGCCGCGAAAACAAAAGTTTTCACGTTCAACAACCTGACGAACGATGCAGAGGATGGAATAAGGCCTTCGGCCCTGAAAAGGCATTGACCGAGCTCACAGACAACAGCATGTTGTTCCAGAGCATTTCCGAGCTGAGTTGATATGCCTACAGTTCGCTAGTGTACCGGTGTGTTATTACGGTAGCTGCAATTGCTGATGGTGTACCCTTCTCTCTTGCCTTGCCTATTTGTACCCTTCTGTTTATAGTGAAATTCCTCCTTTCTCCAATTTTCTCGCCATCCTCCTAACTACTCTCAATCTCCCAAGTCCTAGTCTCATAGGCCAATATTAACACTACTGCCTCTTGTATAGGGTTCTGTGTCTCCCAGTGTAATACGTAATGCATGCTCAATTGTGCATGCTAAGGCCCATACAAGCCCATTTTAAAACCGGGGTGCACATTCAGCTGAATGTGCATCAAAGGTTATCCCTTGACTGAGTGGGTTACGAGGTGTGCTTTCAACCCCTTCAAGTCGAAGTTCGTTTCCCCCCTCCCCCGCAATTTCGTTTCCCCACGCCCCCGCAATTTCATTCCCGCCTCCCCGTCGAAATTCGTTTCCCCCCTCCCCCGCAATTTTGTTTCCCCCCTCCCCCGCAATTTCGTTTCCCCCCCCTCCCGCCAATCTGTTTCATCCCTCCCGCCATTCGGTTTCACCCACTCCCGCCATTTCACCCCCTCCCGCCACCTACGAAATGCCCGAAGCTCTAGCGGAATCATTTTTTTGTCGCCCCTCGTGAGCCAATCACTGTTTTTCTCCAAACCCCCTTCCCAACATCTCAAGCCGAACCGCGTTGAATGTGCACCCTGGTTTTAATGCAGTAGGGTATTTCTGTATGAGCCAATTATAAATTTGTTATCCTGTACTACCGTACTACAGCCTGATATCGTTCGTAACTGCCACAGCCAAAAGAGCTGGCGTGGCATAATATCTAGTCAAGTCATACCCTGGCAAGATGCACACTACAAAATTAATGAATAAGGAGGCAGTGGTGCTGCAGGGCTGTACCATAACCCTGCTGTTGATGATAACCAGCAAGGATCACTAGGCTAGGCTGCACACAGAATAATTATGAAATGCTCTAACACAAAGAACAGGGCTGTAAGGAAGACGGATTTTTCTAGGTGGACTAATGCATGACAACCATGTTTGGCGTTAGGCATGGTGGAAGGGTGGGAAGCAGGCCCCTAGATTCGTTTTGAGGTAGTCTGAGGCCTCAGAGTACACCCCTCCTGGAACTCTGTCTGTCAGAGGTGCCTCAAAATTTTAGTCTGAAAATTCAGACAAGCACAATTTTTTTTGTCTGAACTGTCAGAGTTACTTCAAATTTTAAGATGTTCATGCAGTTTCGTAAAAGCAGTTATAATAGCATTGAGGCTGATTACAGCCTACCATACCAACGCATCAGGCAACGTGCTCGTGCTCGTGCATCGCCTCTGCTCATGTCGGCAGCGTTCCAGTGTTTTTGTCACGTGCAGCGCATGGTTGTTTCTGCTCTGCTGATCTCATTTCGTTTTGTCGTGTGTGTGATTACCGTTCTGTACCCATTTTCTCGCATGTGTGCCGATTTTGTCAGTTTTGGATTTGCTTTTCAAGCGATTCGATCGTTCACCCGATCTGTATCAGGTGGGCCAAGTGCCACGCAGCTGAGCTGGCAGCAGGCAGATTTGTTGCTTGGCGTGGCATGTGAGGATCAGACAAGTGCCACACGAAACTTTCAGTACGAATCAGGAACTTCGCAATTCACACCAGTGCGTGCTGCAGATGTTTTTACAGCGAATCAGCATCAAAGTCGCCTATTCTTTACAATAAATTAGCGATAACTTACATGTGACGAGATTTTGTCTTCAGAAATCTCGTAATCACGCAACCATTTCCTCAGCGAAACTGGAAGATATTCTCGACGAACGAGTGTATTTGGATGTCCCAGCTGTCGAAGTGAGCGTTGCTCACGTCCTGGCACTCCACTGCCATCTCGGAAGTGGGCATATCGGAAGGAAACTTCCAGGAAACTTTCCTCCGATAAGCGCGCAGAGTGTACCCCCGATACAAGTCTGAGGCTCAGCCTACCCTAGTAAAATTAGGCTGAAATTTCAGACAACTCATAAGAAAAAACTCTGGAAAATCAGACAAGGTACATAAATAAATTCTTGGAGTTCAGACTAGGTACAAAAAAAAGGTCTGAACGGACTCTGATTCAGACTCCAAAGTCTGATATCTAGGGCACTGGTGGGAAGCCGGCTTAGGCATGTGGAAGGGCAAACAGAACGCCAGAGGCCTTAACAAAGCTGCTTGGGCGCGGCATCTTGGCAGGATGCGGGGATAGGGTGGCAGATGTGTATGTGGGATGGCAGGGATTGACTGTTGGTTGGCAGGGAGCAAGCGTAGGGCGGCAGGGAGCAAGAGTGGGGCGGCAGGGAGCAAGAGTGGGGCGGCAGGGAGCAAGCGCAGGGCGGCAGGGAGCAAGCGCAGGGCGGCAGGGAGCAAGCGCAGGGCGGCAGGGAGCAAGCGCAGGGCGGCAGGGAGCAAGCGCAGGGCGGCAGGGAGCAAGCGCAGGGCGGCAGGGAGCAAGCGCAGGGCGGCAGGGAGCAAGCGCAGGGCGGCAGGGAGCAAGCGCAGGGCGGCAGGGAGCAAGCGCAGGGCGGCAGGGAGCAAGTGCAGGGTGGCAGGTTCTGAGTCTAGGACGGCAGGTGCCGCGACAGCAGCCCGTCAAAGGCCGTGTACAGGTCCTTGTTGTCGGGGCCAAATATCTCGTCTGCCTTGCGCAGCGTTTCCTGCCATGACAAGCATTTCGGGTGGGAAAAAGTGGGGTGAGAAGGGGGACTTCAGGAGGGCAGGTGTCGCGACAGCAATCCATCAAAGGCTGTGTACATGTCCTTGTTGTCGGGCCCAGATATTTCGTCCGCCTTGCGCAGTGTTTCCTGTCATGACGGGCGTTTCAGGTGGGAGATAGAAGAGGGTTATGAGGAGTTAAAAGGCGGGATGGTGGTGTCGCAACTGCAGACCGTCAAATGCTGAGTAGAGGTCTTTGTTGTCGGGCCCAAGTATCTCGCCTGCCTTGCGCAGCGTTTCCTGCGATAATGGGCGTTTCAGGTGGAAAAATCGTAGGGGAATAGGGGGAGTGCCAGGGGAAAATGAGGGAGTTCCATCCAGCGAAGAAAATAGGCAACTAAGCAGATTGGTATTTTGAGTCGCCTATTTTTTAGGCGCCTCAAAAATAGAAAATAGGCAACTAAGAATTTGGTATTTGCAAATGAAGGGGAGGAGAGGATGGAAGGTGTGGGAGATGAGGAATGGGGAAGAAAAGAAGGAGGTTGCGGAGAGCGCAAGACTAAAGAAGAGCATGAACTTGGAAACCAGAAGTAAGGGGAAGAGGAACGGGAAGGAAAGTGGTTGGAGAGCGTTGGGAGATGAAGTGGGTGGGGTGGGGAGGAGCTAGACAAGGGGGTAAAAGGAGGGAGTGTGTGGGAGAAACGAGGGGCTGTGGGGAAGAAAGCATATGGTGTGGGGAAGAAAGGATATGGTGTGGGGAAGAAAGGAGGGGGTGTGGTCCGTGTGAGGGAGGAGAGGAGGGGGTGTGGTCCATGTGTGGGAGGAGAGGAGGAGACATGGTGGGAGAGAGGCGCACTTCTCTGGACTGTCTGTGTGCGTTGAGCTCCTTGATATTGGCCAGGAAGGCGCTGAACTGCTCGTATGACAGACGGTTCCTGAGAGACGCGAATGGGGGAGCCAGGGGGGGGGAGGAAGGGAGAAGGGGAGGGTGGAAGAGGGTGAGGAGGTGGAAACAAGGGAAAGAAGCTTGGACTGCTGTTGAGCTGCTTGATGTTGGCCAGGAAGGCGCTGAACTGCTCGTATGACAGACGGTTCCTGAGAGAGGGCGATGGGGGGAGGGAGAAAGCGATGGTGGGGGAGGATGGGGAGGTAATAACAAGGGAAAGAAGCAAACACTTGTATGAAATGAATAACAAGGAATGCAATGAACTGAACTGCTTGCATGGCAAACGGTTCCTGGGAGAGGTGTGGGGATTGTGGTGGTGGAGGGGAGGAAGAGTAGAAAGAAGTGAGAGAGAGGTTGCAGGAAAAATGGCAGACCTCCCATTGTGCTTGTGTGTGCGGGAGGAGAGGGGGGCAGCAGAGAGGAGGACATGGGTGACGAAAGAGAGAGACACCATGCCATTGACCATGCGACGCTACTTGCTACTTGTAAGTAGCTAGCAATGCTCAATGGCAAGTAGCAATGCTTGCTAATGGCAGAAGGTTTGCATACCAGGAAATGCAGTGAAGTGGACGTCTAACGGTGACTTGACAGAACAACACAGGGCAATGAGGGGGAATGGGCATTACCTTGCTTGTCTGAAGAATTCCTTGCCATCCACTCTTGGTGGCCGACCTGCGAGCAGAGCGGATTTTTTTGGCGTGTATTCTGAGGTGCCTCAAAATACACCTCAATGCTCGCGGATTTTTTTGGCGCTTCAAAATACATCTCAACAAAAGCAATGAAAGGGGGAATGGGCATTACCTTGCTTGTCTGAAGAATTCCTTGCCATCCACTCTTGGTGGCCGACCTGCGAGCAGCGAGTAAAGCACGGGGCACATGCATCAACGGTCGAAGATAAAGATTGTTACGTCGAGCTCTTGAAAAAAAAAGAAAAAGACGGCACACACACATGAACATGCACACGCATGTGGACAGACGCATACACATGCACACGCATGTGGTGTGGACAGACGCATACACATGCACATACACGGTCATATAGTTTCACAATGACACAATCACACAGGTCCATGAAACATAACTATGTTTTCCTGTGGCGTCTTGACATGCTAGCAATCCATACAGGTACAGTGCACCTTCACATAAACTCACCCAATGTGAGTCGATTTTTTAGTCGACTCAAAATTCGACCATACAGTTACCCAGTGCGCCTTCACATAAACGAGGTGACTTTTGAGTCGACTCAAAAGACGTCTTGACATGCTAGCAATCCATACAGTTACCCAACGCACCTTCACATAAACTCACCCAATGCACGACAACCTAATGCACCTTACCCTATTGCACCCTACGTTGGCAAACACGCGTATCACGTATAATACGCTAGCGTATTATACGCTGGGTATATACGCGGTACGCAATGGCTGGCGTACTGCTGATACGCTAAAATACGCTGGGCGGGCAGGTGAAATTTTTTTCCCGGGCAGTAGAGCTGTGAACAGAGGCTGCATTGCGCGCCGAACTAGTAGGAGCTGCGCTCGACGCCATGGCGCGCGACTACGGAACGTCTAACTAACGGTGAAGAATGCTAGACGAGACCTGCGGGAAGTAAATTGAAGAGCATTATGGAAGTCGTCGACCTAAAAATGCTCACGAAGTGATGAACATTTGAAAGGGGTGGTTGGGTTTGAGAGGTTGGGTGGGGTGGTGTGTGGTTGAGTGGGTGGGAAAGTTTGGATTTTGACATTCGAAGTTCAGACGTGGATAGGGTGCTTGAGCGAGTTCGCGGTAACAATTTACGAAGACGCAAAGTCGTCGCGAATTTTTTCAATCTCGGATTTTTTTTTCCGCTGGCTGCCCGGGCGCATTTTCGCAAATCCAGAGCGTATTAGCGTACCACGTATATACGCTAGCGTATATACGTGGTACGCCAGCCTTCCCAAAGTGTATCTGCCAACGTAGATTGCACCCCACCCCTGAATACCCACCCACCCCATGCAGCCCACACCATCCTCATCTCACCTTCACTAGGAGTACTGGAGGCGGAATGGGGGCAAGTGGCAGTGGGGATGTCACCCACCATCACGCCTACGTATCCCATGCAAAAACACATACATTCAACCTTATACTCGAAACATACACCCCGTCCACCCAACCCCCACCTTCATGGGGAGCACCGGCGGCGGAATGGGGGAAGTGGCAGTGGGTATGTATCCCACAATCACACCTACATACCCCACTCAATCACACACATGCACCCATATACTCGACGCATGGCCCTCATGCACAACATGAAACCTACACATCCCATGCAGCGCTCACCTTCACGGGGAGCACCCGAGGCGGAGTGGGGGGGAGTGGCGGAGGGCGAGCGTCATGAGGGGCGTGCGCTCACCACATACGTACCCCATGCAATCACACACATGCACCCCATAGAATCACACACATGCACCCCATAGAATCACACACATGCACCCCATAGAATCACACACATGCACCCCATAGAATCACACCATGCACCCCATAGAATCACACACATGCACCCCATAGAATCACACCATGCACCCCATAGAATCACACACATGCACCCCATAGAATCACACACATGCACCCCATAGAATCACACACATGCACCCCATAGAATCACACACATGCACCCCATAGAATCACACACATGCACCCCATAGAATCACACACATGCACCCCATAGAATCACACACATGCACCCCATAGAATCACACACATGCACCCCATAGAATTACACACATGCACCCCATAGAATCACACCATGCACCCCATAGAATCACACCATGCACCCCATAGAATCACACCATGCACCCCATGCACCCCTCACCTTCACGGGGAGCACCCGAGGCGGAGTGGGGGGGAGTGGCGGAGGGCGTGTATTGAGGGGAGACCAGGGAGGGCGTCATGAGGGGCGTGCGCTGCTTGCTGCTGCCCATGTTGCTGCCCGTTGGAATTGCAATGCTGGGCGGCCTGGGGGCTGAGATGCAAAAGGGGTATAGGATGAGGTGGCAACTAGTCAGCATGCGAGTAGATTGGTGCTGCCTGCTGCTGCCCATGTTGCTGCTTGTTGGAATTGCAATGCTGGGCGGCCTGGGGGCTGAAACAAGAGAAAAGAAGGATGCGAGGGGTATGGGATGAGAGGGAAACTAGTCAGCATGCATGCATGCAGGTTGCTGCTGCTTGATGCTCATGTTATTGCACATTGTCAGTCTTTGGTGCATTTGGAAAGAGAGGGGTCTGAATAGGAGATAATGAGGGCTTGAGAGAAACGAAGAGGAGAGAGAGGGGCTGAATAGGAGATAATGAGGGCTTACTAGTCTCTGCTGCAGCTGGCGTCGGCGTCTGATTGGCTGGCTTGGCCTTGTCCCCGGCATTGCTGTCCGCATCTAATTGGTCGGGAGCATGCAGCGAGGGTGGGAGAGAGGAGCAGCAGATGGCAGATGAGCACACTAATGGCACACTAATGGCACACTAATGGCACACTAGTGGCACAATAGTGGCACATAACAGATGGCACATAACAGATGGCACATGGTAGGCAGATGAGCGTAAATGGTCCTTCCCTCCGCCTTCCTCCCTCTCTGCCCCTCTGCCCCTCTGTCCCCTTCCTCATACTCACCAGAGGCAGCAATGGTGTGTGTTCTCCACCCACCCCTCTCCCTCCTGTCTCTTCATCCCCACGCTTAACAAAAGCGCCTTCCTCAGCTGGTTACTCCTCCTCGACCCACGCACTGCCCACTTGCCCCTATCTCTGCTATCTCTTCATCCCCACGCTCACCAGAAGCGCTGTCGCCAGTCTGCAGCAGAAGGCCCGCTACCAGCAAAGGCAATGGGGGTCGTCACTTCTCCCCCCGAGCGCATTCCCTTCCTCCTTTCTGTCGATCCTCTCACCAGAAGCACTGTCACCATGCTGCTCTGCAGCAAAAGCCCCACTAGCAGCGAGGCATTGAGGGTCGTCACTTGGCCCTTGTCCCACGCACTTCCCATGTGAGAGTAATCCTTTCCTTCTGACTTTCTCTCCTCTCATCTGACGCGCTGTCGCCAGTCGGATTTGAAGCGGAAGCCTCAATACCAGCGGAGGCAATGGGGGTCGTCACTATTGTTGTCACACACACTGCCCAACCGCCCGTATCCCTCCTGTCCCTTCATCCCCACACTCACCAGAAGCGCTGTAGCCAGTCAACTTTGCAGCGGAAGCCCCACTACCACCTGAGGCCGTGGTGGGTTTGACGCTGCTAGCTTCTGCTCACCTTGTCTCTCAAGAGTCCTACTAATTGGTCATACCCACACTCACCAGAAGCGCTGTCGCCAGCCTGCTTTGCAGCAGATGCCCCGCTACCAGCCGAGGCCGTGGTGGGCTCTGAAGCTGCTGGTTTGGGGGCAGCGGCAGTGGCTGCGGCCTGTGAGTAGGGGAGGAGAAAGCGATGGGTAAGGTTGAAGGAGGGAGGAGAAGGAAAGGTAGGGGTGAGGAGGAGGAGGAGAAAGGGACGGGTAAGGGTGATGAGAGGGAGGAGAAGGGACACGTAAGGGTGAAGAAGATGAGGCGTTGGGTGAGGGAAAGGAACGGACAGATAAAAAACATCAGGTGTCAGGCAAAGAAATGAGCATCTGATGCGATTGCTCACCATGGAGGGTGGTTCGTCGTCGTTCTCGTCCTGCAGCTGCTGCATCAACGTGCGCTTGAACGTCTCCAGCTGTACACGAAGTTAAACAAAAAACAGGAAACAAACATTTAAAATCTGCAGAATATGACGACATTGCGTGGAACCTGAGGAACACGAACGGAAAAAAAGGCCTGACATTTACAATACTATACAAGGTAACGATTTGTGGATGATTGAAAAAGCGCTGGTAGAGAGAAGCAAGGGAGGACGCACCGTTGGGGGTTGCGACAAGCAGACAAGGCTGTTGGGAGGGCCACATGAGCGGTGCATAAAGGGCAGTGTGAGGAAAACCTGGATTGAGGATGGGGGGAGGATCACTCACCTTTGCCACGTCACGATTAAGCTTCTTCACCATGGCGACAAGTGCCGTCTTCTCATTGGACAGCCGCGCCTGCCAGTGGCGAGAAACAACCCACGAACGGGAGTGGTTTGAGAAAAAGGATGAAACGCTTAGAGGGTTCGTTCAGATGCACCTCGCAACAATAAACTACAGAGCGAATGGAAGGCTCGAGAAAAGGGCGGGAAGCTGTGGGAAACGAAGAACATCGGTACGAGAACGGTGCGAGACAAGATAGTCAAAGCACGCGGCATAATGCCAAGGAATATGATGGAAAATGAGGGTGAAGGAACATGCAGGAACATGAAGGGGAGAAAGAGGGTGATTCATTGAAAAGGAGAATGGCGGGAGATGATAGATGACGAAGGGGAGCAAAGGGAAACAAGGGCTATGCGGAAAAGTGAAGGACGCGAACGCACCTGCTCCTGTTCCGACTTCTCGACCTTGTCGATAGCTTCCCGTAGGGAGGCCTCCAGACTCGAGACTTTCTCCTCGAGGCTCTTCACAGACCCTTGGCTCGCTTCGTAATTGCTGCGCATGCTACTCGACTCTCGCTCAGATTGCTGCGCATTCGCGGACATGGCTCTAACGGCGATGCTTCGCGATATTCGCAGCATTTCGAACGGATCGGCCGGGAGGAGATCGAGAATCTCCTGAGGAATGTCGTCAACTCCGGAGACATCGCCTGAACCTGATCCCATCCTTAGGCTATTCAAAGCACTAATCTGGTCACCAAGGAGTGGGAGCGAGGAGTGTTTTCTAGTCGACTCGAAATACTATTAGGCCCTGCTACGCGCTACTACGGGCCACACTGGTGCCGGAGCCCTGGAAGCCTTAGACGCTTATACTCAAAATGCGTTCTCTGCGGTCAAATATCTGGAGACGGACGCGCAACGAGGGAAAAGAGGAACAAATGCTTCAACTTCATACTCATGATCCTGTGCCCTAACACGAGTAGCTGCTATCTAAAACAATAGCCAAGGTTAGCCCTAAGAGCATGGGAAGTCTGACTTCCATGAAATGTTTGAAGAGAGGTGGAATGGGATGAAGTGTCGTTTGTTAGTAATCGAGGGGGATGAAATGAGGTGGAAAGTGAAGTGAAACCTGCCGAACAATCAATGGCCCTGCTCGACAGGCAGCCAAGCCCTTCGGCGGAACTATCGGGGCTGTTTCGATTTTGAGTTTTTTTTTCCTGGTCAGCCCCAAAATGGATGCCGAGCCTGGCAAACTCTCCCGAACCATACTAACCCTCCGTTGCCTGTCGAACGCGCCATCTACGAGAAGTGTTTGGGACCCCCGAAAGATCCAACTTTCTTCGCACTCTGGCAAGCGTCGAGCTACCTCCAGTCCAAACCTCGCCCAGCCAAACTGGAGGTTGGCCAAGAGATGGGCTAGGGCTTGACCCAGCAGCGCCCTGACGGGGGAGGGAGGAACCCAGCAGCGCACTGACGACCCCCTCCTTCCGATATCGGGAGGCGCAGCTTCCCTTTTGGTCGGGTGGGGGTTTAGCCCAGGAGAAGGTGCTCCGAAAACTCCCCCAAACACTAGCCTAACCCTAGCCCAGCAATGGTTAGGCTGCCTATCGAGCAGGGCCAATATCTAACGACCACCCTCGGTATTGGGTGAAGAAGAGGAAAGCCCAAGGTTTGAGGAGCCTTGGGATTGGTATGACATGGTACTGAAAACGCATGCCAAGCCTCTCGACTAGGCTAGGCTATGGGCAGGCTCCTGTCTAGGTGCGTGCTCAACCTAGATTTTGCCGAGCCGGGAGACATCAGCAACGATACGTGCGGGGCGCGAATATATGGTGATAATTGAGGGGTGAGAAGATGTGTGATTGGGAAAATCCCCGAGAGGTTGGAACATCCGCGACAATGGGATCTGGTCAAAATTGAAGTACACAGTAACATAGACAGAGTTCGCTCTCATATCATTTGCCTATCAAGTTGTTCTATCCATTTTGAGTTGCAATATATGGTCCATGAACATACATTAACCGTTAGAATGAACGCATAAATACAATATACGGATCTTATTTTACACATTCCCTGCGATCTCGTCATCTGTAAGATCGTTAAAGGTCTCAACATTAACACTCGCACTTTGAAGAATCGTATACTCGATAATAACCTGAAACAGAGAATACGATTCCAGATTAGCCCAATCAAAAGACCACCACAGCACGGGCGCGCGCGCACGAGCGCGCACAGACACACACACACAAATGTAATTGTAACTGTAACTCACCTCCATGTATGCATCCATTTTTGGGTCCGGTCCAAGTAGACGTGTATACCCATCATACCAGGGTGTGCCAGGAGCCCAGAGATAATGGAAATCTTGGAACATCCGGATGGTGTAGATCGCCTTCAACGGGTCAAAGAACCCTGGCGTTTTCTCATTCGTCGCAATGTACAGAGTGCGTCCCGGTGCAACGAACCTGGGAAGCTTCTCCAGTAAACTGGGTGGGATCAAAGCAAGGACAACATGGCAGGTGAAGCAAGAATGCACATATATATATATTACAGGAGCTAAGGCTACTCGTTCACAGTAAAAAACGAGCTGTTCGGGGACCAGGAAGCATTGGCAGATGTGGGGGGGCAGTGGCTCACACAAATCCCATAAGAGAGAGGAAACCTTGCGGAGCGAGAAGCATCATCAGCATTCGTGGCTTGAAAAATTCCCTTACGCGTCGGGACGTGTGTCGTGGTCGAGGTGCGGCCAGAACTCTGGGCGCAGCTTGTCGCCGCGCCTCACATGCACGGCATCAAAGTCGCCTCCATTCATGGAGGCAGAGATGTTTGCTGCCAGCGCCAGCAGCTCCGGGCGAAACCGAATGGCCGTCTCGCTCACCCCTGCCGGGGTGTCCTGGCGCTGGAGGGGGGAGGTAGGGGGTGGGGAAGAAGGTGGGGTGGGGGGAGGTGAGATGTTTGCTGCCAGCGCCAGCAGCTCCGGGCGAAACCAAATGGCCGTCTTGCTCACCCCTGCCGGGGTGCTCTGGCGCTGGAAAGGAAAAGGGGGGTTGGGGGGGCAGGGGGATATACGGAAAACACATGGCTGTCTCGTTCACCCGCGAGGAGGTGTTTTAGTGTGTGCGGGGACAGGGGAAAGTGCTGTGAGAATGGGAGAATGTAGAGAGTGCGGAGGAAGAGTAAAGAAATGACATGGGATTTTGTAAGGGGGGGATAGCGCAGGGAGTGTGGAGGGAGTGTGGAGGAAGAGTGAAGAAAAGACATGGGATTCTGTAAGGGGGGGATAGCGCAGGGAGTGTGCAGAAAATGTGGAGGAAGAGTGATTCCAGCTGGAACCGAATGGTGGCTTCAACTCAACTCCCAATAAGAGGGTGCTGGAGCTGGAAGAGGGGGGAGAGATGTGGAGAGAAAGGAGTGGAATCCTGTAAGGGAAGGTTACTACAGAGAGAGTAGAGGAGGAAGAAATCTCGCTGAAACCAAACATAGAAAAACAATAACAAGAATCACCCCCATCCCACCAATTCATCCCCACCCGTCAATCCCAGCCCAAGCTCATGCATCCCCAACCATACACACCTAGCTCAGCCCATCTGCACCCATTCCCACCCACCTTGCACGTGCTGAACCCGTAGTTGGTTTCGCGGACAACCAGGGGAGTGGCTCCATCCGCGGCCAGTGCGGCCATATGCGCCCTTTCATCCACCACACGTGCGCGGATAGTCCCCTCCCGCCCCGCCCGCCCTGCCTGCCTCTCCTGCACCTGCCACTCGCACGCGGACAGCCCCCTCCCGCCCCCCCCCGCACTCAACCGCACCCAACCGCACCCATTGCCACCCACCTTGCACGTGCTGAACCCGTAGTTGGTTTCGCGGATAACCAGGGGAGTGGCTCCATCCGCGGCCAGTGCGGCCATATGCGCCCTTTCATCCACCACACGTGCGCGGATAGTCCCCTCCCGCCCCGCCCGCCCTGCCTGCCTCTCCTGCACCTGCCACTCGCACGCGGACAGCCCCCTCCCGCCCCACCCGCACTCAACCGCACCCAACCGCACCCATTGCCACCCACCTTGCACGTGCTGAACCCCTAGTTGGTTTCGCGGATAACCAGGGGAGTGGCTCCATCCGCGGCCAGTGCGGCCATATGCGCCCTTTCATCCACCACACGTGCGCGGATAGTCCCCTCCCGCCCCGCCCGCCCTGCCTGCCTCTCCTGCACCTGCCACTCGCACGCGGACAGCCTCCTCCCGCCCCACCCGCACTCAACCGCACCCAACCGCACCCATTGCCACCCACCTTGCACGTGCTGAACCCGTAGTTGGTTTCGCGGATAACCAGGGGAGTGGCTCCATCCGCGGCCAGTGCGGCCATATGCGCCCTTCCATCCACCACACGTGCGCGGATAGTCCCCTCCCGCCCCGCCCGCCCTGCCTGCCTCTCCTGCACCTGCCACTCGCACGCGGACAGCCCCCTCCCGCCCCCCCCGCACTCAACCGCACCCAACCGCACCCATTGCCACCCACCTTGCACGTGCTGAACCCGTAGTTGGTTTCGCGGACAACCAGGGGAGTAGCTCCATCCGCGGCCAGTGCGGCCATGGGCGCCCTTTCATCCACCACACGCGCGCGGATGGCCCCCTCTCGCCCCGCCCGCCTCTCCTGCACCTGCCACTCGCGCGCCCCCCTCAGAAAACCCTGTAGCGGCGTGAAGGGCACGGTTCTAAGGGGGAAGAAGGGGAGGCGAGGAGGGTGGGAGAGAGGGGTTGGGTGAGGGGGGTAGGAGGTGGAAAGGAGACAACGCCCGCCTCTGCTGCGCCTGCCACGCGCGCCCCCTCAGAAAACCTTGTGGCGGCGTGAAGGGCACATCCCTGGGCGTGAGGAAGAAGCGGAGGGGAGCAGGTGGGAGAGGGGGAGTGGGTGAAGGGGAAGCGCCGGAAGGGAGATCCTAATCCCCCCGCAAAAAGCCCTGCGGCGTGACGCGCACATCCCTGGGTGAGGAAGGGGGAGGGGGGTTCAAAGGAAGCGGCAAGGGGGAATTCGGGGAGAGGATGGATGGGAAGTGAGAGGGATTGGAAGTTAACGTGAGTGCATATCTGAGGGGACGCGCGCGTGACACGTCTGACGATGAATCAGGTGAGAGGGGAGGAGAGCATATCAACTGAGAATGAAAATGAAGAAAAGGACAAAGAAATCGAACATGAAATAATTACCTGAGCGAGTCCAGGTCATAGTACACGTGGATGGATCTGATGTGGTGCATGCCTCCACTGTGCCACGCGTTCACGCACTGAGTCATGTCCAGAATCAGTGTACGGTTCAGATACGCCGCCTCTGCGATCAGACACGTCAGGCTGAGGTGGAAATGCTTCACTCCAGCGCAGTAGTCGCGTGAGCCCGTTATGAAGAGGTACCGGCCGTCAGGACGGAAGTAATCTTGACGGCTAACGGGCAGCCACGGAGTTTCCCACAGCACGGAGTGCAGAACGGGCATTCTAGACCGGATCGCCTTGTCGTGCAAGAAACCCACGAACTTCGTGGAAGATTCCAACTGCTTCAATCGAACCGCGTCATTGTTCCGGGGGTTCCTCGCCCGCTTGACGTTCTCGCCACCCTTTCCGAGAATTTCGTCGTCCAAAGCTGGTAACCCGTATTCTGACGTTTCTGATTCCACGCCGACTCGAGTACTATCAGCACCCACAGCAGAACTAGCTACCCCTCGCGCTCCCTTATTGCTGCTGCTGCTGCTGCTGCTGCTGCTGCTGCGGATGCCGGATCGAGCCGCATCAGCGAGAAGGCTCTGCGACGGTGCTTTCCGAAACGACGGCCGCGTACCAACGGCGCCAGAAACCCGATGCTGCTGCTGATGATAATTCTCCTGCTGCTGCTCCTGCGAGGATTGCGGGTGTTTCCACAGCAGGATCCCGCGATTCGACGTGGATACGTCAAAGGGACGGCAGAAGGACGGGGGAGATAGGAAGGGAGAGAGGAGCAGGACGGCGAAAGCCAAGCCGCGAACGGAGGAGACGGTGGAGAACGGGGAGAGATCCCGGCTCAATGCACGGAAATTCCGCATTTTCAGCGCTTCAAGAACTATTTATTCGATCGGATCGACCACTTACAGAGGTGACTTTTGAGTCGACTGAAAAGCAACGGGAACGCCTAGACTGACGTAAAGTAACAGCACCGAGCCTAATGTCTGCTTCGTGAGGGAATAAAGCAAGGCAATACGTCAGAAATGGAGCAATGCCGGATATAGTTAGTCGCGCTCACTGTCTTGCACAACTGGGCGTTCATGGCTGTTCTACCGTCTCACCGACCCCAGCCTGTGGCCTGTGATAACTTATTGAAGCGCCTCAGGAATATTGCTAGTCGGACTTAGTAGAGTCTTGAACAACTGGCTGTTCATGGCGGATCTACCGTCTCACCAGCACTAACTTGTGACCTGTGATAACAGGCACGCGCGCGGGGCGCTCGTAATAGATGCAGACAGCTTTTCAGGTTTCCCATACTTACTATGTATCACTTGGTAACTGCCATGGCGTGAGGCGACAACAGGCTTGCTTCCGACGCAAGCTTGACTCGTGTGAATTTCGCTTCTCATAAACATGCAACGGTTATATCTGGTTCACTACGATGCAGAAAGGTTTAGAACTATCATCCTAGGTGTTGTCGTGTGGGGGTTCCGCTGAATCGCAGTTCACCAGCGGACGAACAAGAGCGACGTCACGCAGCCCCAAATACTGGTATGCTTGATGTTCGCTTGGGTGTGGTGTGAGAAGAAAATGCGCTCGGGAGGGAGGTAGCTGTTTTTGCGGGTTTGGCGCTGGTCTGATACGGTGATGGGGTAGAAGTAGTCGGTTTGACATGCACCACTTCGACTTCCTCGTCGAAGTGCACCCTGCCACCGACCACACGCTATTGACGAACACCACTGATGGCAAGTGGACCAGGGCTGTCGCTACAAGGGCAAATTTACTTAATGCCCTGAATATTAAGGGTTGAGTTTGGCCTAGGTCCCCATATTTAAGGGTTGGGTTTCAGGTCAGCACGTCTGCCTAAAGTGCTTTGCTCGGGGCTAACCCGGATTTCAAGTACGAGTCTTGGGGCTAGCCCTTTCCCCTTCGAACTGATTCCCGCCGTACCTCCCTCCCCTCTCCCCACCCGCCCCATTTCCCATCATCCCAGTTCCAGGTGCAGCATAACTCTTCCCAGAGCCAGTTTCGATTACTCTGTGAACTTTCGAGGTCAGGACCTAAACTGTTTTTTTCGAAATCAGAACCTGAACCGCAGGTCAGAACCTGAAGTGGTTTTAGTACAGACCGTAGGTTTCTGCGAGGAATGTCAGTCCTTCAGGTTTCTGTCCGCTAACAGTCTCAAGATCCTGCCTTTGGTCGCAACAAGGAAGGGGAATGCAGCGTAGGCCAGGGAGTACTTAGTGCTAGAGAGGTCCCAGAACCTTACCCTTACAATTTGGTTGGGCAGTGAAAATCGAGGGTGATCTCTTGTCTAGCAAAAGTGCATGACACTTTGTAGCCCTGATTTCAAGTGCTAAGCCCCAAAACGTAAATCTAAGGGCAAATTTCTGGGCAGCTCAGCCTTCCAAGTTCTGGCCCCAGAGCAATCGACAGCCCTGAAGTGGACCTGGTTGAGAACCCATACCCATTATACAACGGCTCAATACACTACATAAATCGTCCAAAAATCACGCAGCTGGAACATCCAGCACGAACACTGCCACTCTTTATTTGTGCATGTTTCAGTTATAATGTCTAATACGCTCGTTGTAATCCCACACCCCAACATTGGCCTGGTTGAACTTCGCTTCTGCCATTGGCTCGGTCTGCCACACGGATATTCAGCCAGACAAGAGGAGGCCATGTGGCACTTGGATGAAGGAAGCAAACCCGCCCGATTGGCGCGACGCGCGTGCGTGGCGGGAAAGTTCCTTTCAGGGATCAAGGTGGTCCGAGGGTTGAGGCCCGCTGGAGCACGGATGGGGAAGTTCTCGACGGTCACATACATCACATCACTTCTCCGGTCCGGTCTGGTCATGTCATGTCATGTTATTTGGTCATGGCTGATACTCTTGATGAGTCATGTCATGACTGTGCCGTATCCGCAACCCAGGACTTCCCTTCCCGCTTAGTCAAGATGCAGCTCTTTCGACGGCACGAAGCAGAACGGAACGGAGTTGCGGACCACAAGCTAGCTACTGCTGGTCGGAGTGGTTTGGTTGATGTGCGACGCGGATCAGCGATGCGATTCGAACGAATATGCCTTCAGTCAGCAGCACCACTGCAGCAGCACCCGTCGCACAGTGATTGTACTGTACAGTTTCTTCGACTGAACGAAAACGAGCTTCAAACGAAAGCTGGATTCAGCGACTTGCTTGTCCGTCAGTCAACGTCGGGGGACGGGAAGGAAAGAAGGAAGGAACACTTCCTCGAATTCGGCAGCCACCTCAAGCACCAGCGAAGTGCACTGTGGAACAGAGTGGGCTGCAAATTAACCGTATTCAACCCTACCGCATCTTCCTCCTCATCCATCCATCCCTTCTCCATTTCAATACACCCACTTCAACGTTGTGTGTTGATGCGGTTGGCTGAGATGCTCTAAGTTTGTTAACGGTTTATTGCTACTTAGCAGCGGTGAAATACTGATACCCAGCAACAGAAAGCTCTTCCTTTGTTTCTTTCTCTTCACCCTGAACTTTCTTTGTCCTGCCTGTTCTGTGACCATCCTTTGGCTGCTTCTGCTGCTTTTATCCGCTAACCCTAGATCAGGTCTAAGAAGCCATAGCGTATCAGGGAGTTTCGTGAATGTCAGAAAGCTGCTCTTTAACGACTTCTGACACAGGTTTTCTGTTGCTAGTGTTATTAGTTTCTCGTGGTGTCTTGAAGAACACAAGAATTAGTCATAGTAACTTTGTATTTCGGTTGAATTGCGCGTGGCTCTCTTGTCTTCGTCTGAGCTGATGCTGAGTAGATGATACAATTTTGCCTGCAGCTGGCATGTGTTCGTATCTAACTCAACGGCTTCGTTAAGCGGGACGGGCAATATAGGCTGGTCTTATGGGCTGTGCGGGATCGAAACCTAAGGACGATACGTCTCCTCCTCGACGGAGAGATGCATCAGAGGAGGCCGTTCCCGCTCCGAAAGTTGCACCGGACGATTTATCAGGTACCTTTACAGGCTCCTGGTGTCTTTCGAAGCATTCTGGTGTCGTACTGGATATAGTCATGGATGATTAGTTCGGTCGAATTCTGGGGAGCATCTTGTTCAAACTAAGGGTAGCTGCTGTTTAAAACGCTCAGAAGTTTCGAGGCTGACTGACGATGCATTTGCAACAATATTGTGCCGGAATTTGGTGGATGTTGCTGGACGGACGACTCACAAGAGTCGCACCTCGCACTTTGGAATTTAGTTTGTTATCCCGATTTAAGTTTTCAGTGAGTTTTGCTCAGATCAGGCGGTTCAAATGCCTAAATGGTGAAATTCATTGAGGATTCTCCACAGAATCGCTGAGCTGCTTCTTTACCTACAGGCAGACACGTCGACTTTCCTCAACGTTTCCTCTGTTGCTCTGTCGGCAATTCTAGAGTGAATATTTTGAGTATTTTCTCGTCCATGGTGGTTTATTCACCGCTGTTTCCCCCCCGTGTGCTGACTCGATTGTTTGCAGATAATGGACCATTGATACCTCAAAGCCCGAAGATTAAAGCCCAAAGCGGCCTTTCAGAACCTAGTCGATCCGACAAATCTCCAACCGCGGCACCGACAGATCAATTGTTATCACGAGACGATGGACCAGCAGCAGATTCCCAACGGTCAAATCCACCGACACAGGTTACCGGGTTACCACCGGGAGGTCCACCAGGGTTACACGGATCGCCAGCTGTTCCCGCGCAGGAGCGGCCACCGCAGGGCGAATTGGCAGCAGTGCCAGCGCCGTCGCCGGGGCCCACAGGAGCGCGGATTGCGGCTCAGACGTTCACGTTTCGAGAGCTGGAGCGAGCGACAGGCGGGTTTTCCGAGAAGAACTTTATAGGCGAGGGCGGGTTTGGTCGCGTGTACAAAGGGTGGCTGGAGTCGACTGGACAGGTGGGTGCTTAGAGATTCCAACAGGGAAGGCTTAGGGACAACGGCTGAGTGTGATGCACGGGGCGGATAGATGCAGGGCAATTGGGAGTTCCTAGTCAAAGTGCTCATGCTCAGCCTGCTGCACCATCCGAATCTGTCACGGACCTTTTTTTTTTCTGGTTCCTTTCTGTTACCCAAACAGGTGGTAGCGGTGAAGCAGTTGGATAGGAACGGCGTGCAGGGCAACAGGGAGTTCCTGGTCGAGGTGCTCATGCTCATCCTGCTGTGTCTGTTCACAGCTCTTTCTTTTCTTGCCCCCTGCCATGCCTGTCAATGCTTGTCTGTATTGTTTAAACAGGTGGTAGCGGTTAAGCAGCTGGATAGGAACGGCGTGCAGGGCAACAGGGAATTCTTGGTCGAGGTTCTCATGCTGAGCCTGCTGCACCATCCGAATCTCGTAAATCTCATTGGTTACTGCGCGGACGGGGATCAACGGCTGCTGGTGTACGAATTCATGCCACGTGGCGCTCTTGAGGACCATCTGCATGGTGAGGGGGGGAGAGCGGGAGAAGTGAGGAAGCAGATGAGTGAGGAGCAAGAAGCGTGAGGAACGAGACGAGTGAGGACTGAGAAGCAACACAGTCTATAGTGTCATTATGTGCATGGTGGTAGGCAGTACATGATCGAGATGACTTTTGAGTCGACTCAAAAGTCATCTCGACTGAAGCAACACAGTCCACAGTGTCTCTGTGTCCATAGTGTCTCAAAAGTCACTGTGCATGGTGGTAGGCAGTGCATGGTCGCTACGCATGGGAGCCACCCCACATGACTCGCTCGTCCTCCTCCGCCTCCTCCCCTGCCTCCTCCTCCCCCACCTCCTCCCCCCCTTCCTCCCCGCCTCCTCCCCCGCCTGCCCATTTTCCCTCCCCGTTCCCCCCTCCCCCCTCCCAGACCTACCCGAGGGCAGGGCGACTCTGGAGTGGAGCAAGCGCATGAGAGTGGCAGCAGGGGCGGCCAAGGGCCTTGAGTACCTGCACGAGGAGGCCTCTCCTCCCGTCATCCACCGCGATTTCAAGTCCTCCAACATCCTCCTCTTATGCACCTGCCTCCTTCCTCCCTCGTCCCGTCCCCCTGCCTTCCGCTGCCCTGTGTTTCCCGCTCCCGCTCCCCCTCCCCCGCCCACTTCCCCCACCATCCCCCTCCCAGACCTACCCGAGGGCAGGGCGAGTCTGGAGTGGAGCAAGCGCATGAGAGTGGCAGCAGGGGCGGCCAAGGGCCTTGAGTACCTGCACGAGGAGGCCTCTCCGCCCGTCATCTACCGCGATTTCAAATCCTCCAACATTCTCCTCGACAAGAACTGGCACCCCAAGCTCTCGGATTTCGGGCTGGCGAAGCTGGGGCCTGTGGGGGACAAGACGCATGTGTCGACGCGGGTGATGGGCACGTATGGGTACTGCGCGCCCGAGTATGCCATGACGGGGCAGCTCACGGTTAAGAGCGATGTGTATAGTTTCGGAGTGGTGCTGCTGGAGCTGATCACGGGGCGCAAGGCCATTGACAGCTCGAGGCCGCATGGAGAGCACAACCTCGTTGCTTGGGTGGGTGTTGTCTGGGTGCTCGTTACTCGTTCTGCTTGGGTGGGTGGCGGTGTTTGTGGTTCATTGGTTGGGCGTTTGGTTCCTGTTGTGCTCGAGGCCGCATGGAGAGCACAACCTCGTTGCTTGGGTGGGTGTTGTCTGGGTGCTCGTTACTCGTTCTGCTTGGGTGGGTGGCGGTGTTTGTGGTTCGTTGGTTGGGCGTTTGGTTCCTGTTGTGCTCGAGGCCGCATGGAGAGCACAACCTCGTTGCTTGGGTGGGTGGCGGCTTTTGTAGCTATTGTATTGGTTGCGTGTTTTTCTCCTGTTGCTCTCAAATGAGTTCGTCCTGTTATTCTTGTGTGGGTTTTTCATGCCGTTCCCCTCACAGGGTCAGGGTGGTTCCTTTCCCTCTATGTTCCCCCAACTCCATTCTCAAAAGCACTCTCCCCTTCTCTCCCCTGACAGGCGCGGCAGCTATTCAAGGACAGGAGGAAGTTCCCAGCCATGGCGGACCCATTGCCCCAGGGGCGCTACCCCATGCTTGTGTCTCCATCAATCTCCCCTCACCATCTCCCCACCTCTCCCCCCCTTCTCCCCTGACAGGTGCGGCCGCTATTCAAGGACAGGAGGAAGTTCCCAGCCATGGCGGACCCCTTGCCCCAGGGGCGCTACCCCATGCTCGTGTGTGTATCTGTCTCACTCTCTCCATCTCCCCACCTCTCCCCCCCTTCTCTCCTCACAGGCGCGGCCGCTCTTCAAGGACAGGAGGAAGTTCCCAGCCATGGCGGACCCCTTGCTGCAGGGCCGCTACCCCATGCGTGGGCTGTACCAGGCACTGGCTGTTGCCGCCATGTGCCTGCAGGAGCAGGCCAGCCAGCGACCCATGATCCACGATGTGGTTACCGCTCTCAACTACCTGTCGTCACAGCCCTACGACCCAAATAACAACCCGCAACCCAGGTAAGACCTCGGCCCCAGGCGTTTCCCTGTTGCTTTTGGGGGATTTCGCTCGTAGCAGGAGCAGGCCAGCCAGCGCCTCATGATAACTTCTGAGGCGCCTCAATAGACACCCCATGATCCATGATGTGGTTACTGCGCTCAACTACCTGTCATCGCGGCCTTACAACCCCATCAACAACCCACACCTTGGTAAGGCTTTCTAGCGAGGCTCAAACCAGGGGAGTTGTTAATTCGCCTGTTATCTCTCGCCCTTCCCACTTCCCTTTCCCTCACATTTCTTTCGTTCCCTTCCCCACCCACACCATTGTTCTCTGCAGCACGCCAGGGAGATGCACGCCAGGCTCCACGCCCCTTCACGAGAATTGTTGTCAACTCGCCTGTTATCCCTGCCTCCCTCACTTTCCTTTCAACCCCCCCTCCCTCCCCTCCCTCCATCCCCTTAAAATTCTCTTACTGCAGCACGCCTGGCAGATACACGCCAGGCACGACGCCCCTTCACGAGAAGAAGGGGTCTCGCTCGCCCCGCGTGCGCAACCTGCAGTCCCCCCGCGCATCGCCCCAACAGCAGCAGCAGCACCAGCACCGTCAGGGGGGTTCCGGGGGGAGTGTTCACCAGCATCAGCAGCAGCATCGGTCAAGAGGAGAGAGGGAGAGAGAGCGAGGGAGGGAGCGAGAGGGGGAGGAGAGGGGGCGGCAGCATCAGGGGGGGCAGCAGAGGGCGGAGAAAGGAGGGAGAGGGTATCGTGAAAGCCCTGGGAGGGCAGGCAGCAGGGGGGGTGGAGGAGGGGTAGAGGGAGAGAGCCCGAGGCAAAGGGGGACGCCGAGGGGAAGCAGTAGTAGTGGGGGAGGCGGAGGGGGGGGGGGGGAGGGGTAGGAGGAGGGGGAGGGGAGTATCAGAGTAGAGGTTCATCGGGACGAGGGATGGTGAGTCCAGGCGGGAGTGAGTCAGGCAGGGAGAGACGAGGTGACTACTGAGTTTACTTGAAAGGTTTAAGATGGTTGTTTTCAGCATGAGGGATGGGGAGTCTGGGGAGGGGAGGCTGAGGCAGGGAGGGAGTGGCAGAGGCAGCAGCAGGAGGAGGTGGTAGGGTGGAGCAGACTAGGTTTGGAGAGGCAAAATGGGCTTTTGGATGCTGGCCGCGGCAGGAATAGCTGAGGGGGGGAGAGTCCGGCAGTATGAGAAACAGGAGAAGCCGAGGCAGCAGCAAGAGCAGCAGCAGGGCTGGAAGCAGAGCAGCAACACAGGGGTTGAGGAGCAGGACTGTGGAATCTGTTGGGCAGTTTGTGTGTGAGAGAGAAGAATGGTGGAACATGGAGTGTGTTACTGGGAGATGCAACTGCTGCAAAAATTGCAGTTTTCCAAGGGTTTGAGTTTTGTTTCGCTACGTGGGAAGTGTGTGTGGCTGTATGGTATGAATGGCAAGAGTGTGTGCTTTGAGGCTCCACGTAACTCGTGAGTGTATGTGACGATGCATGGTTTACGGTGGTTTAGTTATGGTGGCATTTGCAGGTTGACATTCCAGCATGGATTCTGAAGCAGGAGCAGCAAAAAAAGCTGGTTAGGAGTTAAAAGGTTGACATATGTTTTTTGTTGCAAGGTTTGGCCGTGGCTGCATTGCAACATGCAGCACATCCCCTTGGTGCTAACATTTGTATTTTTTTCTTTCTTTCTTGGTAGTCAAGGGGTATGAAATATATTTGCTATGTAATGATATGGTAAAGATATAATATCAATCTATGAATATTGACGTTTCTAAACTGAATTGACCACATTGTACAACGAAACTCATGTATCTCTACTAGTGGATGGAAGCATGGAATTCCACTCATGTATCTAAATTGAATTGACCATATTGTATCTCTTCCATGTGGATGGGGCTCCACAATACTGAAAGTCGCTGATCCAATGAAAACACGCCGTTACGAACAGACAGGCACAGTAACGATTTTGAGGCAGCAGCAGTGGCCAAGGTTTTGGCGCAATGCCAAAGCTGAAACGACCTACCTGACCTGACAGAACACCGCAGTATAGAGCGGTTGCGAATACTTGAAGAGAGATATAGAGCGGTGGTGCAGGCGAATGAATATGAGAGGAGGGAGCTTCATCCTGTAAATACCCTACCTAGCCGTTCTTAGAAGTAAAATAATCGTTTTGAAACGTAATAACTTGCACCCAACCGTATCTTGGTGCATGTTCCAGCCATGTCCGTCCGTACCAGGGGAGGAGGGCTCTTTTGAGTGGCAGTTACGTCTGGCAGGCACCTTCTCTACAGCAGCATTCGCCATGGTTGGCCAGTGTTGCGAGCAGCAGTTACGGCTGTGTTGTGTTTGGTTGCGGCAAGAAACCCAGTCATCGGTTTGTTGTACAGTACTTGAGTGACTGGAAGGATGAGGGAAGGAGCCATGGATGTGGGAAGTGCAATCGCCAGCGCGATGCACTTCCATTGCTAAGGGAATGTAAACATTATTTTTATGAACTGAAGGTACAAACCAAACCTTCCCCAGATTCCCCTCGTAACTTCCTCCCTCATTTGGGCATTTAGACCGGACTTGGCCTGCGCGTATACTGTGAAACGCGCCCTTACTTGCTTTAACGAGTGCCCTGGGTCGACCCTCCGCTCGCGTTTGAGTAAGTCGACTCATTCGTCATCTCTCTTCGTCTCACGAGATTCGAGTGGATTCGCCTGTGTTTGAGTTCGAGGCGCCTTGGAAACAGCCTGCGCAGCGTTTAAAAATAACTCCACCACGCCGCTATTTGAGGCGCCTCAAGGAATCGCTTGTCGTCGCTTGTCGCACACCGACTTGTCGCACACCGACAACGATGTCGCCTGATCTCGTTCGACGCCGCGTCAGCCGCTGGTCGGAGCCTCGTCGCGGCGGCACGACGAAGCTTTCGCCGCTCCTCTTGCCGCTTCTGCTCTCGCTCCTTGTCTCATCGTCGTATGTCGCTCGCCCAGTCGTCGCACAGCAGTGCTCTGCGACCGTTCTCTGCGCCAATAACCTCTGCTGCAGGTGCGTTCTAAATGCACTCGATGTTAGTTGTGACTTAGCGTATTCGAAGGCAAGCCTTCGATTCCGAGTCTTCAGTTCCGAGCCTCCGGTCCCGAGCCTCTGACCCCACCATACCAAGCTTCTTCTGATTCCGAGCCTCCGATTTCCAACCTTTTCCGACTCAGAGTCTTAGACTTCAAGCATTCCCCCGCGTTCCCCTTCCCCCGCGTGCCTCTACGCCCTTGCATCTCAACCGTCCCTTTCTTGCAGCAAGTGGGGTTGGTGTGGCTCCACCGTCGATTACTGCGGCGCTGGCTGCGTATCCGGGCCCTGCAGTGGAGCCCCTTCCGCCTCCCCCCCTCCGCCTTCCGCCTCTCCGCCTCCCCCCACAAGCTCTCCGCCTCCGCCCACCAGCTCTCCCCCTCCGCCCACGAGCTCCCCGCCTCCGCCAACCACCGGGTCCCCACCTGTGTCCACCAATGGCCGTGAGTGCTGTGGATTTGTAACAGTATTTTCTCGTGTTTTGTCGCAAAAGATGGGCGCAGTCTTACACTGCAGTCCTGCTTGGTGATTTCCTTCCCCAATCTCCCCACCGCTCCCCACCCCTCTCTTTTTCCTGAATGTCTCTCACAACAGAATGCGGCGCTCAAAATGGCAACAGTATCTGTCCGAACGGTCTCTGCTGCAGCATCCACGGCTGGTGTGGCTCCACCCTCGACTACTGCGGCCCCGGCTGCCAGTCCCAATGCTGGTCTTCCTCCTCCTCCCCCTCCTCCTCCCCTCCCCCCCCTTCTCCCTCTACATCTCCCTCTCCCCCTCCGCCCTCCACGTCCCCCTCTCCGCCCCCCCCTTCCACCACTCCCTCCCCGCCTCCCCCCTCCACGGCCTCTCCCCCTCCGGCCTCGTCGGGCCTGAAGCGCATGGCATACTTTGTCAACTGGGCGGGCATGGACCCATCGCTCATCCCTGCTGCCAGCCTCACGCATGTGTTCTATGCCTTTGCTCTCATCAATGCCGCCACATACCAGGTATGATGCCACACACAAGGTTCATTTAGAAGGCATGTGCATTGGGGCATGGACCAATCGCTCATCCCTGCTGCCAGCCTCACTCACACATGTCTTCTGCGCCTTTCCTCTAATCGACGCCACACAGTATCACAGAAATCTCATGCTAAGATTTTTTTTTTCTTTTTCTTTTTCTCCCTTTCTTTGTTTCATTCTTTACTTTTCTTATCTTTTAACCCACAACAAGGCTGACCATACCCTAAGCATCCATGATCTCCTCCTCTTTCTCTCTCTTCCCTCTCCAGGTCGTCCCGTCCAACCCCGCGGTCGACGTCACCCAGGGTCTCTACCTGCGCTTCAACTCCGCTCTAAAAGCCGCCAACCCCGCCATCAAGACCCTCCTCTCCATTGGGGGCTATTCTGCTGGCACCTCCACATTCACCAACGCCGCCTCCTCCGCCTCCTCCCGCTCCGCCTTCATCCAATCCGCGATCCATTTTGCCCGGTCGTACAATTTCGACGGTCTGGATATTGACTGGGAGTACCCGACCGGGCAGATGGCGCTTTTCTCTGCCCTGCTGACGGATTTCCGGGCGGCGATCGAGTCCGAGGCGGCCAGTTCAGGGCGGCCGAAGCTGCTTCTGTCAGCGGCGGTTTCAGCCTATGAGCCTACTGTTACTCAGGCCTACGACGTCCCGATGCTTAACAAAACACTGGACTTAGTTAACATAATGACTTACGATTTGCATGGGTCGTGGGAGGCAAAGACCGGCATGCACACTGCTCTGGAGGATCTGAGCAACCCGCAGCTGAGCCTCAAGGGTGCCATGGCTGCCTGGGTGTCCCGAGGCTTGGCCCGAAGCAAGGCCATGCTAGGCTTGGCGATGTACGGACGAACCTGGACCCTAGCCTCTACAAGCAGCACTGGGGTCGGAGCTGCGGCCACCGGGCCTGGCCTGGCTGGGTCTGTGAGTCAGGAGGCTGGTGTCCTTTTCTACAGGGAGATTTCTCAAATGGTAGCCACTGGTGGTTACAAAGCTACACTTCATACTCCATCGTCGTCCATGTACGCGGTGAAGGGTAACCAGTGGGTTGGTTACGACAACCCATCTACCATCACCACCAAGGTTAATTATGCCAAGGCACAAAGCTTTGGGGGGTGGTTCTTTTGGGCCCTGAACCAGGATGCCAACAATGCTTTGCTCAATGCTGCGTCGGCCGTGTGAGATGCAGATCTAGGCCTATAATAATTTTAAGGATACATGAAGGTAGAGTTTGCCAGACTTTGTTGGATGGTTTGCAGCCCTGTGAAAGTCTGTATTATATTTCGTATTTGCGGTAAGGATGAGTTAATAGCAATCATACTCGGATTTAATAGCAGTGCATACATAACAATAAGATACAGCTGGTTTCATACGTAGATAATGCTTCATTACTGAACTTCTTTTGAAACGAAACCCTTTCGAATTTCTTCACCCAAGTGGACTTTTCCATGCTGGCATTCTCTCCACCTGGTAATCGCTTGAGGCACGTCAGCCTGGGCCTTTTCAGATTGATCCGAGACATTTCCTTTCACGCTTGGGATTATCGAGCCTCTCATGAAAGCAGACAAGCAAGGCTCGGTGACACAACGACGGCACCGATTGCTCCGAAAACTTACCAAGCCAGCATATCGTCCAGTCACACAAGCCTAGCTTGAGCTGGCCAATGACCATTCCTCATAAAGCGCATCTGGAAATACTTGTTGACGCAATCCACGTGATTGATGACAGCATGCCAACAAACGCCCAACAACCTCAATCGACTTTGTGTGAAGGCCCTGCTTCGCCTATCCCCGTTGGCGTAGCTGCGTGCTGGCGAAATGCTGGCTCTGCCGCCACCAGATCATCCGACAATGCCGCCATTCAAAACCCCATTCATTTCTCACAGTGGAAGAGGCAGATTTGTCGACGTCATTTCGTCGCAGTCGCATTCACCCTGTCTTTTCCTACGCTGGTTGAGGTCATCGTCGCATATGAGTGCTTCGAGAATCGCACGCGAATACTTCGAGGTCGCACACACATCACACTCAGTTTCCAAAGCCGCTGCCGCCAAAGCAGATTGCACACGCGCCACCACACCCCACCGCTGTACAGTAACGCCTCCAAACCAATCCAGCAGCAGAGACAAGAACCGTCTGCTTCCATGTTCCCTCTGCCCCCGCATGGCCTTGTTTCGCACTATCCGATTCAGAACTTTGTTCCGGGTACACTACACCAATTAAATTTCCACTTCTGTTCATACCTGCTCCTGATTGATAATTATTTCCGCCCTCTAATCATGTTATCTGCACCAAAAAAGCATTTCCATACGATTTTCTTTCTGCCCGAATGTGCTTTCTGCACTGCTGTCCAGGTTCTTCCACCATTCCTTGCATTTGCCCCCCTTCATCTCCTTCCTTTCATCCTGATTTCTCCCACCACTGCGGCCGCCGCTGAGTCCTGACTGCTGCTGCTCTGCATATATTCACCTCACATTTTCATGCAGAGGGGTGGAATCTGTGTGATTGAGCTCCGCAGAAAGCCCAACCCCGTTCTTGTAAAGAGCAGCCATTTCTTGGTTTCCTGTTTTCTCCAATGCGTTCCATTCCTACTAGTAACGATCCTTTTGCGATCAGAACCGTCGATTTCGTCCCCTTTACACGTGATTTCGTCCCACCGGTTTGCTGTATCCTTAGTCGTCGGATGTTTTTTCGGCCGAAATTCATGCATCCATGTCACTTCGACGTGCGTGTGTGTATTGAATCCTTGCTTGACACTACTGCTTACTGCTCCCTCGTGACAACCGCTACGGAAGCGTTAGAGATTGAAGTACCTGGATAACAAGCCAATTATCCACGCGAGTATTTGCAAGAAGTGCTACTTTTTTTCCGTCGCCGTATCACTAGTTACGACGGGTAAATTTCCCATATAGCAACCAATCAAGTGTTCCCTACTGCGGTTTCCGGAAGCCCGCTACAATAAACTTTTGTAACGGCGAACGTCAAAACGAGCTAAGCTTCTCGGAAATCCATCGCTCAAGAGTTTGAAGGCCTTTGCGCTGACATCGAGTCATGGCGTTCGGTGATGTGATCGGTGACCGCATGATGCGACGGCTCACGGCAGCGGGTCGCAGGGCAATGCGACGGAACGCGAGCGACAGTTGCTTCCTTCGCGACAGTCGCCAGCAGCAGCAAAGCGTGGAGAACGCGACATCAGCGACCAAGGTAACCTCGACTGCACGAGTCATGTCGCCTGGATGAATCTGAGGAGATTGGCTTCTCGAGCTCTGTTTTGAGGCGCCTAGTTTTGAGGCGCCTCAAAACTCGACTGCACGAGTCATGACGCCTGGATGAATCTGAGGAGATTGGCTTCTCGAGCTCTGTTTTGAGGCGCCTAGTTTTGAGGCGCCTCAAAACTCGACTGCACGAGTCATGACGCCTGGATGAATCTGAGGAGATTGGCTTCTCGAGTTCTGTTTTGTCGCCGAATGTTGATTGTGGCTGCACGTCACGTTTGAACAGGACTTTCCTGGGATGTTTAGGATGTGCATGAATAACCGTAGTTGCTGCTCCTTCTCGGGTTTGCGCCTGCGGTGTCGCTCCCCCACATTCAGGCATCCTCCTCTCGCCTGATGGGTCGCTGCAGCAGCAACAACTTTCGGAGGCGCCTCAAAAGTTTTCTCGTTTCGTTTTTTGCGATGTCGCTCCCCACGTTCAGGGTTCGTGCTCTCGCCTGATGGGTCGCTGCAGCAGCAACAGCTGCATTCACGCTATGAAGAAAAACGGCTCCAATTCGTTACTCTCCGATGCCGCTTCTACTCCTCAACGGACCCCGTTATCATCACTCACCATGTTACTTAAACGAAAGAGCGCCGCACGCTCTGCTACAGCTGCCGAGCCTGTCTCCGAGCCTACCACCGAGCCTGTCTCATCCGCGTCCAATCAGGAGAAAGCGAAGACCGGAGCTTCTGATAAAGACAGGGCGAAAGGGTTTCGCGCCGCTGTATTCCCCGTCGCTGTAATCGAAACCGACGAGGAGGAAAACGAACCTTCCGACGACGGGACAGCACTACGGAATGTGACTAAATTGGAAAGCGTGTTCGCGAAGCAACCCTCGACCACACCAGTCGCAACACCAGTCGCAGCACCGTTCGCAGCACCAGTCGCAGCACCAGTCGCAGCAGAAGCACAGCCGACGAAATTGACCCCAGCAGCATGTGCGAAGCTTCCACCACCCGCTCCTTCACCCGGCAAGCAACCCGTCAGCCAGCCGGTCGACATCAAGCAGCCGGCGACGGCCGTCCGTAACCGTAACACGGGGCTACAGCAGAACCGTCCGATCTTCCAGCGACCGGTTCTGGACACAATCCCGTCCGCACAGGAGCTGGAAGGCGGCGAGCTGCCGTTCTCGCTCTCCCTCACCAACAACCCAGTAACCTCCCCTCCGACTGTTACCACTCCCGGCGGTTCGTCTTTCTCATCGTTCATCCTCTCCCTCGTCACGCCACGTGGCAGCCAGAGACCCGCGTCGTCTGCTACCGCTTCGTCACAATCCGCCGCATCATCCGTGTACTCGCTTTCTGATTCCGATGTGGATTCGGATTCTGACGAGAGCGAGGAAGAGGAGACGGTGGAAGGTGCAGGGGGAGAGGAGGACGGGGGCTGGAGCAAGCTGGCGTCTGTTGGCAAGTCCGTGAGTTTTGAAGGGAGGAAGACGGCGGTTCAGAGCGGTGGAGCTGGGTTCTGGAACCGGAAGAGGTGGCTGTCGTTCTCCCCTCGCTCCGCGTCCGCTGCTCGGGCGTGTGCGCGGGCTGTTGCTGCTGTGGACGGTGGTAATGGCGATGGTGATGGTTGTGATGGTCGTGGCGCCAAGTGTGTCAAGTCCACGCCGTCCTCTTCTTACACGTCACCTTCGAAGCGTCTCGTGACGAGCCCTGACGCAGCCTCGGAGTCCGGTTCGGTGAACTCTGCTCCGGCTGGAGGCTCGGGTGGAGGTTCGGATGCAGGTCTGGGAGGGACATTCGGTGGTGGTTTGAGAGCGGGCGGCAGGATCAAATCTGGAGCGAGGATGGGGATGCTATCCAGAAGCATGTCGGAACGTCTGCCGCCACTCACTCCACTGGCGACTGTGCTGGACTGCGACATGCCGCTGACGTGGACTGCCAGCCTGGACCCGGATTTATGGGCGGTTCCGGAGCATGGGCCCCATGGGGGTGGCGGAACGGCAGGCGAGTGTAGCAGCTGTGATGGCTGGCGAGGCGAGAAGACATGGCCTCAGGAAAAGGACAAAGACGACAAGTTGGCGGCGCGCCGGCCACGTCGCATTGAGTTGCCGGCCAGGAATGCGACAGGTCCTGCTTCTGCCCCCGTGGCAGGGGATGCTGCGGTGGCGTCGCCGCCCGCTGTCACGCCGCCAGCTGTCACGCCGCGATTGCCCGAGCTGACGGAGGAGTCGTTTCTGCTGTCGGAGGCGACGCGTGCGGCGGTGTTCAAGCACCTGCCTGCCACTGTCAGCAGCCGCAAATGGGTGCTGCTCTACAGGTAACGGCAGAATTTACGCTGAGTTGGATGCTACACGCTGAGTAACGGTTTTTCCATTCCTCTCCGTCACCATTCATGTCTTTCGTTCATCTCCCATCTCCTCTGTCCTTCCAACATTTACTCCCGTCACAGCACGGTGAAGCACGGGATATCGCTCCTCACGCTCTACCGCAGGGCCTCCATGCTCCCCGGCCCCTGCCTCCTTGTGCGTACCCTTCATTTCCCACTGCTTTCAACCTTGCTGCTGTTCCCAAGTCCTCTTGAAAGAGTTGTTCGGTTGAAAGGTCGCTTCAAGACTTTCCTGCTGCGTCGCGCATTTCGACTTGTTCGACTCTTGTTTGTGCTCTTGTTTTTTTTTCTCGCTCTCGTGCCGCCACCTGTCGTTTCTTTCACACTGGACGTCCTGTTTGTTTCTCTTTCTTGCTTCTCCCTCAATTCCCGTTGCCTTCCTCATCCCTCCACTCTTCCAGGTGGTATCAGACAGCGCAGGAACAATCTTCGGCGCCTTCTCCTCCCCCTCCGCGCTCACCCCATCCGACCGGCGCAAGTACCAGGGCAGCAACCACTGCTTTGTCTTCTCGGACATCTCAGGCTCCCCCACGGTGCATGCAGCCACGGGGCGCAACCACTATTACGTGCTGCTCACACATGACTGCCTTGCCTTCGGTGGTGGCGGGAGATTCGCCCTGCGTCTTGAGGAAGACCTGTAAGTCCGGGAGGCTGGGACTATGTGGGGGTTGTGTAGGTAGCGGCTAGCAGTCTCAGGCTCCCCCACGGTGCATGCAGCCACGGGGCGCAACCACTATTACGTGCTGCCCACACATGACTGCCTTGCCTTCGGTGGTGGCGGGAGATTCGCCCTGCGTCTTGAGGAAGACCTGTAAGTCCGGGAGGCTGGGACTATGTGGGGGTTGTGTAGGTAGCGGCTAGCAGTCTCAGGCTCCCCCACGGTGCATGCAGCCACGGGGCGCAACCACTACTACGTGCTTCCCACGCACGACTGCCTCGCGTTCGGTGGCGGCGGGAGATTCGCCCTTCGCCTGGAAGAAGACCTGTGAGTCCGTGTTTGTGCTCCATCCGTGCATGATGCAACGATAGGTGGCATTTCTCTGTCACTGTCTGCCTCTCTGAGAGATAGCTCTTCTTCCAGGAGAGTCTGCTTAATCTTGTCACTCAATCTTGTGTGTTCATCTTGCCCCATTTTCCCGTCTCCGCGTCTCTCCTCCTGTCTTGCCTCGGTCTGCATGCAGGCTGTCGGGCTCCAGTGGCGAGTGTGACACCTTCGCCAGCCCATGCCTGGCGGGGAAGGAGGACTTCTGCCACTATTCGTGTCACTCAATCTTGTGTTCATCTTGCCCCTTTCTCCCGTCTCCGCGCCTCTCCTCCTGTCTTGCCTCGGTCTGCATGCAGGCTGTCGGGCTCCACTGGCGAGTGTGACACCTTCGCCAGCCCATGCCTGGCGGGGAAGGAGGACTTCTGCGTCAAACACGTTGAGGTACTGCACTGCATTCCTCTCTCCTGCACGAACACTCATGTCCCCTGCACGCACACTCATCTGCCTTGAGGTTATTTTTTAGACGCCTTAAAACTCACCTTCGCGAGCCATGCCTGGCGGGGAAGGAGGACTTCTGCGTCAAACACGTTGAGGTACTGCACTGCACTCCTCTCTTCCGCATGCACACTCATCTGCCTCATTTCTCTTATCTCCCTCACCCCTTCCTCCCTTCCGGCCCTCCCAACACCTAGTAATAGTTTGCCCCTTGGCACGTTCATCGTAGCAATAGTTTTGTTCCTCACTGTCTCTACTTTTATTACCCAGGTAGCTGCTCTCTCTCATAACCTTCCCCCCCCCCCCTGCTTCCCTTTCCCGCCCACCCTGGTCCACTCGCCTCATTTCACAACCACCGCCGCTGCCACGGTTACTTCGTGTGTTGCAGCTGTGGGGGTTCGCCCATTTGTCGCGCTACACGCCCGCCAGAGCAGCATGGAAGGAGCCTGAAATGCGCCACAGCTTCCACGCTTAGCCGCTCCCTTTCTTGGCGCACTTTCTCGGCACAGCGGCTTCCATGTTTGGCCGAACTTTTTTTTTTTATGCTCCTCAAGAATACACGCCCGCGAGAGCAGCATGGAAGGAGCCCGAGATGCGCCACAGCTTCCATTCTTAGCTGCGCTTTCACGAGAAGACAGCAGCTTCCATTTATCGGGGGGCACCTGCATTTGGCTACAGCTCCTGCTGCTACCTTCAGCTCCAGCGTCCTCTGCTATTCTCACCTGCGTTTTGAGAATTCCCAAGAGTGACTCGAATACTTCCACTCATAACGGCACCTGCATTGTGCGGCAGCTTCTGCTGCTATCTGCAGCTCCAGCCTCCTCTCCTAATCTCCCCTGCAGCATCGTCTCCTGTTCGCACCTGCAGCGTCGACGGTTATCACGCCTGCAGCTATATTGTATTTACAAGGGCTGTGCAGGCACACAGCCCTCAGGCCCCGTCTTTATCATACCTGGCAGAAGCTCCGTGCAACGGCACAACAGCAAGACTGCCAGGATACTCCCATTCTCACTTGCTTGGTTCGACTCAAAGCTCATTTCTCCATGTGGCTACATGGATGATGGATACAATCATGCAAGGGTACACCGGGCAACAGCAACCCTGGTTTCGGTCGAGACTCGATTGAAGCGCCTCAGACACAGCAACCCTGGTTTGAGTCAGGGATTCATAAGGCATCTCGTGCGGCTGGACTCTTCGCCAAGGGTGCCAAGGGCGCAAGGCTACAGCGACCCTGTGTAACATTTTGTAACACTCTGCAACCCTTTTGCAATCTGCAGCATCTGAAGTGAGTCGGGTGGTAACCAGCGTCTGTGCGCAGCTCTTTTTTTTTTTCTGCTCTGCAAGGTTGGTCTTTTCGTGTACGGTAATCTGGCCTTTTCTGGTTCTTGCGTGACATGGTGTTGTGGCGTGTCTATTTTGCGCTACTGGCAACTTTTTGTGGTGGAGAGTAGGGGGTGGATGGTACGTGAGTGTGTGGCAGGTTGGCAAATGAAAGGCGGCGAGGAGGAGCGAGGGAGGAGTTAGGGGGAAGCAGAGGAGGGGAGTGAGGAAGAGGTGAGTAGCGTAGGTGAAATGAGCAGTTGTTGATGAGAAGTCAAATAAGCAGCGGAGATGTTGCTGCAAGGTGTTGTGTACTGGCCAACCCACCCCACCCAATACCCACATCCCATTTCCTAAGCGTCGTGCGCATGTGTAGGTTAGTGGGAGTAACTGTACAGATTTACGTTTTGCTTGTCAGTGCATCTGCCACCCGACCAAGGGCTTGGTGTGTGCTTGTTTGTAAATGCATTATAAATACCATACTCTATTTTTCCAGCTTGTAACAGCAGACTTCATTTGATATATATATGAAGCAAGTGACACTAGAAGTGATTGTATCGTATTTGCGAATGTGCGTACGAATGCGTCCTCAAACACTAGCACCAGAGACCCAGCAGAGACAGCAAATCCAATTTCCTGCGCCAACCCAATCAGGAGCAGCTGGTTCGCTCCCTTCACTCATTCTGCACACCCCGCAGATCGGCCCAGATCGCCGCATTTCTCGCCGCACTCCTCGCCGCATTCCTCGCTGCAGTCCTCGCCTTTCGTCGTTCCGCACTCGTCGCCGACCCTGTTGTCTCTTAGCCCAGTATTCAACGACAATTCATTTCTTATCGGAGCAGTTGCGACAATGACGCAGGCGTTCCTTTCGTCACGTGCATCTGGTTACCACACACGAATTCGCCACGCGAATGGGTCGCAGCCGTCGAAGTCAAGTCAGTGCCCACTCGGCACGTGGCAAGTGCACGCCGGACCCGGTCATCCGCTCAGCCGAAAGTTGACGAGGCTAGACGACAGGCTCGGTTCCAGCCTCGGCAGCGGCGGCATTTCTAGGCTCGGGACGCAGCAGCAAGGTTGGAGAAGGGGCTTCGGAGGAGAAGGCATGGGAGGGGAGGGTGGAGCGGTTCGGGGGAGGCGGCGAACAATCACAGCCATTGGATTCACTGCAGATCCACGGCCCAGGTAGCACGATCTCAAGCATGAAATTTCTGCAACGTTCTTCATAGCACCCTTGCTAAGACCCGTTCAGCACCTCCCAACCTACCCTCCCTAATGCCCTACCCTCCACTCCCTCCCTCCATTCCACCCCCCTCCACCCCCCTCCACCCCCTTCCACCCCCTTCAGTGTTGAGAAAGCAGCAGTGCGTCTGCTACAAGACGCGGCAGCGCTGCTGGTGTACCAGGAGGTCTTTAAAGGCGCTGCTGCCCTTTCTCTCTTTCTACACTTATCCTCTCCACCCCCCTCCACCCCTCTCCACCCCCCTCAGCGTGGAGAAAGCAGCAGCGCGGCTACTGAGAGACGCAGCCGCACTGCTGGTGTACCAGGAGGTCTTCAAAGGCGCGGCTCCTCCCCCACTTCGCTTCTCCTCCCCCCCACCCTTTCCCGTCCACCCAGTGTCGAGAAAGCAGCAGCGCGGCTACTGAGGGACGCAGCCGCACTGCTGGTGTACCAGGAGGCCTTTAAAGGCGCGGCTCCTCAGGCGTTCCTGAGGCTGCTGCTGCAGCTGCGCCGCTCTGATGGTGGGTGGGGAGAAGGGGAAGGGAGTGCAGGGAACGTCAAACAAAACGTCAAACGTCAACTGTTGCTATAAGCACTGCTCCTCAGGCGTTCCTGAGGCTGCTGCTGCAGCTGCGCCGTGGTGGGGGTGGTGGGGGTGGTGGGCTGCTGCTGCAGCAATGTGATGTCTGATGGGGTTCATCCTCGTTGGGAATTGGGGGTGGAATGGAACCATGTGCATTACTTCATGTGCCGTCATTACCCAAACCCCCAAACCCAGAATCACCCAAATCCCCAAGCTCCCCTTTCCCCTGCTACCTCGCTCCCCTCTCCCTTTCCATCCCCCCACTTCTCCACTTCCCCCCTCCCAAGCAGACCCTTTGCAAGTGCTGGAGAGCAATGGCCAGTTTTATCGTCTCATGGCCTTGGGGAGAGCATTTTGAGGCGCCTCAAAATGCAGTTTTATCGGCTCATGGCCTTGGGGAGAGCTGTGCCTTGGGGAGAGCTGTGCCTTGGGGAGAGCTGTGCCTTGGGGAGAGCTGTGCCTTGGGGAGAGCTGTGCCTTGGGGAGAGCTGTGCCTTGGGGAGAGCTGTGCCTTGGGGAGAGCTGTGCCTTGGGGAGAGCTGTGCCTTGGGGAGAGCTGTGCCTTGGGGAGAGCTGTGCCTTGGGGAGAGCTGTGCCTTGGGGAGAGCTGTGCCTTGGGGAGAGCTGTGCCTTGGGGAGAGCTGTGCCTTGGGGAGAGCTGTGCCTTGGGGAGAGCTGTGCCTTGGGGAGAGCTGTGCCTTGGGGAGAGCTGTGCCTTGGGGAGAGCTGTGCCTTGGGGAGAGCTGTGCCTTGGGGAGAGCTGTGCCTTGGGGAGAGCTGTGCCTTGGGGAGAGCTGTGCCTTGGGGAGAGCTGTGCCTTGGGGAGAGCTGTGCCTTGGGGAGAGCTGTGCCTTGGGGAGAGCTGTGCCTTGGGGAGAGCTGTGCCTTGGGGAGAGCTGTGCCTTGGGGAGAGCTGTGCCTTGGGGAGAGCTGTGCCTTGGGGAGAGCTGTGCCTTGGGGAGAGCTGTGCCTTGGGGAGAGCTGTGCCTTGGGGAGAGCTGTGCCTTGGGGAGAGCTGTGCCTTGGGGGAGAGCTGTGCCTTGGGGAGAGCTGTGCCTTGGGGAGAGCTGTGCCTTGGGGAGAGCTGTGCCTTGGGGAGAGCTGTGCCTTGGGGAGAGCTGTGCCTTGGGGAGAGCTGTGCCTTGGGGAGAGCTGTGCCTTGGGGAGAGCTGTGCCTTGGGGAGAGCTGTGCCTTGGGGAGAGCTGTGCCTTGGGGAGAGCTGTGCCTTGGGGAGAGCTGTGCCTTGGGGAGAGCTGTGCCTTGGGGAGAGCTGTGCCTTGGGGAGAGCTGTGCCTTGGGGAGAGCTGTGCCTTGGGGAGAGCTGTGCCTTGGGGAGAGCTGTGCCTTGGGGAGAGCTGTGCCTTGGGGAGAGCTGTGCCTTGGGGAGAGCTGTGCCTTGGGGAGAGCTGTGCCTTGGGGAGAGCTGTGCCTTGGGGAGAGCTGTGCCTTGGGGAGAGCTGTGCCTTGGGGAGAGCTGTGCCTTGGGGAGAGCTGTGCCTTGGGGAGAGCTGTGCCTTGGGGAGAGCTGTGCCTTGGGGAGAGCTGTGCCTTGGGGAGAGCTGTGCCTTGGGGAGAGCTGTGCCTTGGGGAGAGCTGTGCCTTGGGGAGAGCTGTGCCTTGGGGAGAGCTGTGCCTTGGGGAGAGCTGTGCCTTGGGGAGAGCTGTGCCTTGGGGAGAGCTGTGCCTTGGGGAGAGCTGTGCCTTGGGGAGAGCTGTGCCTTGGGGAGAGCTGTGCCTTGGGGAGAGCTGTGCCTTGGGGAGAGCTGTGCCTTGGGGAGAGCTGTGCCTTGGGGAGAGCTGTGCCTTGGGGAGAGCTGTGCCTTGGGGAGAGCTGTGCCTTGGGGAGAGCTGTGCCTTGGGGAGAGCTGTGCCTTGGGGAGAGCTGTGGCCTTGGGGAGAGCTGTGCCTTGGGGAGAGCTGTGGCCTTGGGGAGAGCTGTGCCTTGGGGAGAGCTGTGCCTTGGGGAGAGCTGTGCCTTGGGGAGAGCTGTGCCTTGGGGAGAGCTGTGCCTTGGGGAGAGCTGTGCCTTGGGGAGAGCTGTGCCTTGGGGAGAGCTGTGCCTTGGGAGAGCTGTGCCTTGGGGAGAGCTGTGCCTTGGGAGAGCTGTGCCTTGGGGAGAGCTGTGCCTTGGGGAGAGCTGTGCCTTGGGGAGAGCTGTGCCTTGGGGAGAGCTGTGCCTTGGGGAGAGCTGTGCCTTGGGGAGAGCTGTGCCTTGGGGAGAGCTGTGCCTTGGGGAGAGCTGTGCCTTGGGGAGAGCTGTGCCTTGGGGAGAGCTGTGCCTTGGGGAGAGCTGTGCCTTGGGGAGAGCTGTGCCTTGGGGAGAGCTGTGCCTTGGGGAGAGCTGTGCCTTGGGGAGAGCTGTGCCTTGGGGAGAGCTGTGCCTTGGGGAGAGCTGTGCCTTGGGGAGAGCTGTGCCTTGGGGAGAGCTGTGCCTTGGGGAGAGCTGTGCCTTGGGGAGAGCTGTGCCTTGGGGAGAGCTGTGCCTTGGGGAGAGCTGTGCCTTGGGGAGAGCTGTGCCTTGGGGAGAGCTGTGCCTTGGGGAGAGCTGTGCCTTGGGAGAGCTGTGCCTTGGGGAGAGCTGTGCCTTGGGGAGAGCTGTGCCTTGGGGAGAGCTGTGCCTTGGGGAGAGCTGTGCCTTGGGGAGAGCTGTGCCTTGGGGAGAGAAGCTGTTGCCTTGGGGAGAGCTGTGCCTTGGGGAGAGCTGTGCTTGGGGAGAGCTGTGCCTTGGGAGAGCTGTGCCTTGGGGAGAGCTGTGCCTTGGGGAGAGCTGTGCCTTGGGGAGAGCTGTGCCTTGGGGAGAGCTGTGCCTTGGGGAGAGCTGTGCCTTGGGGAGAGCTGTGCCTTGGGGAGAGCTGTGCCTTGGGGAGAGCTGTGCCTTGGGGAGAGCTGTGCCTTGGGGAGAGCTGTGGCCTTGGGGAGAGCTGTGCCTTGGGGAGAGCTGTGCCTTGGGGAGAGCTGTGCCTTGGGGAGAGCTGTGCCTTGGGGAGAGCTGTGCCTTGGGGAGAGCTGTGCCTTGGGGAGAGCTGTGCCTTGGGGAGAGCTGTGCCTTGGGGAGAGCTGTGCCTTGGGGAGAGCTGTGCCTTGGGGAGAGCTGTGCCTTGGGGAGAGCTGTGCCTTGGGGAGAGCTGTGCCTTGGGGAGAGCTGTGCCTTGGGGAGAGCTGTGCCTTGGGGAGAGCTGTGCCTTGGGGAGAGCTGTGCCTTGGGGAGAGCTGTGCCTTGGGGAGAGCTGTGCCTTGGGGAGAGCTGTGCCTTGGGGAGGAGCTGTGCCTTGGGAGAGCTGTGCTTGGGGAGAGCTGTGCCTTGGGGAGAGCTGTGCTTGGGGAGAGCTGTGCCTTGGGGAGAGCTGTGCCTTGGGGAGAGCTGTGCCTGGGGAGAGCTGTGCCTTGGGGAGAGCTGTGCCTTGGGGAGAGCTGTGCCTTGGGGAGAGCTGTGCCTTGGGGAGAGCTGTGCCTTGGGGAGAGCTGTGCCTTGGGGAGAGCTGTGCCTTGGGGAGAGCTGTGCCTTGGGGAGAGCTGTGCCTTGGGGAGAGCTGTGCCTTGGGGAGAGCTGTGCCTTGGGGAGAGCTGTGCCTTGGGGAGAGCTGTGCCTTGGGGAGAGCTGTGCCTTGGGGAGAGCTGTGCCTTGGGGAGAGCTGTGCCTTCCCTTTTTCCTCCGCGTCCCTTTCCGCTCCCCCATGTCTCCCTTCCCCCCCCTTTCCCCCCCTTCCCCCCTTCCCCCCCCCTTTCCCCCCTTCCCCCTTCCCCCCCCTTTCCCCCCCTTCCCCCCTTCCCCCCCCTTTCCCCCCCTTCCCCCCCCTTTCCCCCCCTTCCCCCCTTCCCCCCCCTTTCCCCCCCTTCCCCCCCCTTTCCCCCCCTTCCCCCCTTCCCCCCCCTTTCCCCCCTTCCCCCCTTCCCCCCCCTTTCCCCCCCTTCCCCCCCTTTCCCCCCCTTCCCCCCTTCTCCCCCCCTTCCCCCTCTTCCCCCCTTTTCCCCCCCTCACAAGCAGACCCTCTGCGAGTGCTGGAGAGCTATGGGGAGTTTTATCGCCTCATGGCCTTTGAGGAACATTCCAGGTAGCTTCTCCCTGATGTTCTCTCCTTCCTCTGCTTGCTTACCCCTTCCCTGAAATCTTCCCATTACCACCACACTTGGTCAAAATGCTCAGAAGCAGGTGTGGTTTCTTGAGAATTCTCAAGACTTGAATGAGGGGGAGAATGTCGACTACTATGTGCGTGCAAGGCGTTTGTAGTGGACATTCTCCCCCCCTCATTCAGCAAGTCTTGACACGTCTCAGGTGAAAGAAGAGTGTTTTTGAGTCGTCTCATCTCTGGTGAAAGAAGAGTGTTTTTGAGACGTCTCAAAACCACTATGTGCGTGCATGGCGTTTGTGGCGGACATTCTCCCCCCCTCATTCAACAAGTCTTGACACGTCTCGGTTCAGTTCTCCCCATCATACCCCCTTTCATGCAGCATACCCCATCCCATTCCCTCCTCAACCTCCCCAAATCCATCCCAAGCAACAAAATCCCACTCCACCCCACCGCACCGCACCCCACCCCATCCCACCACATGTCATGCCGTCTCATGCCATGATCCCACCAGCTGAAATGATCTGCTACTCTATCTCATCCTCACTCTCCCCAACTCCATCCTATCCCTCTCCACCGCGCCCCACCCCACCCCACCCATACCATCGCACCAGCTGGGAAGATCTGCTACTGTATCGCATCCTGACTGTCGAAAACAACCCCTTCGCCGAGGCAGCAGCAGCAGCAACCGCAACCACAGCAACAACAGCAGCCGCAGCAGTCTCTGCCGGTGATCCGACTATTCTGGGCGGCAAACAGGGCAAGTTGCGGGCGGCAGCAGCTGTGGACCTGAGCTCGCTGCAGCGGCTGTGCGTCAACGAAACAACCCTTGCTTCCTGGGTACGTGGGGTGGGTTGTATGGGCACGTGCGTTTTTTATTTATCAAACAAGTGTGGTGTAGAAGCTGCTCAGTCTGGGCGGCAAACAGAGCAAGCTGAGAGTGTAGTTTTGAGTCGACTCAAAACTAACCCCCCTTGGTTCCTGGGTGAGTGGGGTGGGTTGTATGAGCACGTGCTCTTTTGATCAAACAAGTGTGGTGTAGAAGCTGCTCAGTCTGGGCGGCAAACAGAGCAAGCTGAGGGCGGCGGCAGCTGTGGACTTGAGCTCCTTGCAGCAGCTGTGCGTCAACGGAACCACCCTTGCTTCCTGGGTACGTGGGATGGGTGGGTGGAAACGGGTGCGTTGTTGTAGTGCTTCTTTCCCAATCCGTTTCAGAGTATTTTTGAGAATTCTAAAAAAATCTCAAAAATTCTCAAAAATTCTCAAAAATACTCTGCAACATCGTGGGTGGAAACGGGTGCGTTGTTGTAGTGCTTCTTTCCCAATCCGTTTGCTAGCCAAGAGGCAAAGGCGGCAAGTCGATAGATGAAAAGAGTAATCTGTAGTGACTGCACTCACACTCACATTCACACTCACATTCACACACACATTCACACTCACATTCACACTCACATTCACACTCACATTCACCCGCACATTCACACTCACATTCACACTCACATTCACACTCACATTCACCCTCACATTCACACTCACATTCACACTCACATTCACACTCACATTCACACTCACATTCACACTCACATTCACCCTCACATTCACACTCACAATCACACTCACATTCACACTCACATTCACCCAGCAGAGGACCTGAGCTCTTGAATGTCAGAGAAACAACAACGGTCGTACGTCAACTGAAACCCTCTATCGCCTCAAATGCCAATTCTGCCCCCATGATCTTGAATTCAATGCTCTGCTCTCCACAGGTGGCGGACATTGTACCAGACATGCCGCCCGAGTGGCGTGAGGTGGGGGTGGCGTGAGGCTTTCAAGTCAAATCACAACGCGCTTTCACATCTAAAGTCTGTTTTTGAGGCGCCTCAAAATTCAACTCAATGTCTATTCCGCCCCCTTGGATGCCTGCCTCACTGGATGCCTGCCTCACTGGATGCCTGCCTCACTGGATGCCTGCCTCACTGGATGCCTGCCTCACTGGATGTCTTTCTTTACGCATTGCACGTTGTACCAGGTGGCGCACATTGTTCCGGACGGACATGCCGGCCGAGTGGCGTGAGGCTGCTTTTTTTAGGCGCCTTAAAAGCACGTCCAGGTGGCGGACATTGTACCGGCCATGCCGGCCGAGTGGAGTGAGGCTGCCGCGGGCGCTACTTTCGAGTCGAATCACAACTCGCTTTCGCATAAAGAATCGATTTTGCCTTCACTGCTTTGCTCTCCATGTGTCCAGGTGGCGGACATTGTACCGGACATGCCGGCCGAGTGGCGTGAGGCTGCTGCCGGCGCTGCGAATGGGGTGGCTAAGGGGAGCCGGGACAGGAACGGAGCTGGCGAGGCCAGGGTGATGGGCTTTGACCTGACTGCAGCAAGCAAGGAGGCATTGACCCCTGCTGCCCCTGCTGCGTCCGCTGCATCCTCCTCTTCCTCCAGTGAAGGTGCACCGCAGGTTAAGGAACGATCTCTAATTCGACGAACAAGCAATCTGGGCCTATTTTGCCTGGCTTTCTCACTAGAACCATGATTGGGCCCATTCCCTTCATCTCATCTCATCAAGGCCTTCCTTGCTTCCATGCTTTCCCTCTGCCTTCCCCTCCCTTCCCCTCCCTTCCCCTCCCTTCCCCTCCCTTCCCCTCCCTTCCCCTCCCTTCCCCTCCCTTCCCCTCCCTTCCCCTCCCTTCCCTTCCCTTCCCCTCCCTTCCCCTCCCTTCCATGCTTCCCCTCTCCTCTTGTCTCCCCGCGCCCTTCACTGCCCCCCCCCCCCCGCACTGTCCTTCTGACAGACCTCGTACTGCCGCGCATAAGTGGCATGTGGGATTGGGCCGATGCTCTGCCTCTCATCCACACCTTCCATGCTTCCCCTCTCCTCTTGTCTCCCCGCGCCCTTCACTGCCCCCCCCCCCCCGCACTGTCCTTCTGACAGACCTCGTACTGCCGCGCATAAGTGGCATGTGGGATTGGGCCGATGCTCTGCCTCTCATCCACACCTTCCATGCTTCCCCTCTCCTCTTGTCTCCCCGCGCCCTTCACTGCCCCCCCCCCCCGCACTGTCCTTCTGACAGACCTCGTACTGCCGCGCATAAGTGGCATGTGGGATTGGGCCGATGCTCTGCCTCTCATCCACACCTTCCATGCTTCCCCTCTCCTCTTGTCTCCCCGCGCCCTTCACTGCCCCCCCCCCCCGCACTGTCCTTCTGACAGACCTCGTACTGCCGCGCATAAGTGGCATGTGGGATTGGGCCGATGCTCTGCCTCTCATCCACACCTTCCATGCTTCCCCTCTCCTCTTGTCTCCCCGCGCCCTTCACTGCCCCCCCCCCCCGCACTGTCCTTCTGATAGACCTCGTACTGCCGCGCATAAGTGGCATGTGGGATTGGGCCGATGCTCTGCCTCTCATCCACACCTTCCATGCTTCCCCTCTCCTCTTGTCTCCCCGCGCCCTTCACTGCCCCCCCCCCCCCGCACTGTCCTTCTGACAGACCTCGTACTGCCGCGCATAAGTGGCATGTGGGATTGGGCCGATGCTCTGCCTCTCATCCACACCTTCCATGCTTCCCCTCTCCTCTTGTCTCCCCGCGCCCTTCACTGCCCCCCCCCCCCGCACTGTCCTTCTGACAGACCTCGTACTGCCGCGCATAAGTGGCATGTGGGATTGGGCCGATGCTCTGCCTCTCATCCACACCTTCCATGCTTCCCCTCTCCTCTTGTCTCCCCGCGCCCTTCACTGCCCCCCCCCCCCCGCACTGTCCTTCTGACAGACCTCGTACTGCCGCGCATAAGTGGCATGTGGGATTGGGCCGATGCTCTGCCTCTCATCCACACCTTCCATGCTTCCCCTCTCCTCTTGTCTCCCCGCGCCCTTCACTGCCCCCCCCCCCCCGCACTGTCCTTCTGACAGACCTCGTACTGCCGCGCATAAGTGGCATGTGGGATTGGGCCGATGCTCTGCCTCTCATCCACACCTTCCATGCTTCCCCTCTCCTCTTGTCTCCCCGCGCCCTTCACTGCCCCCCCCCCCCCCGCACTGTCCTTCTGACAGACCTCGTACTGCCGCGCATAAGTGGCATGTGGGATTGGGCCGATGCTCTGCCTCTCATCCACACCTTCCATGCTTCCCCTCTCCTCTTGTCTCCCCGCGCCCTTCACTGCCCCCCCCCCCCCCGCACTGTCCTTCTGACAGACCTCGTACTGCCGCGCATAAGTGGCATGTGGGATTGGGCCGATGCTCTGCCTCTCATCCACACCTTCCATGCTTCCCCTCTCCTCTTGTCTCCCCGCGCCCTTCACTGCCCCCCCCCCCCCGCACTGTCCTTCTGACAGACCTCGTACTGCCGCGCATAAGTGGCATGTGGGATTGGGCCGATGCTCTGCCTCTCATCCACACCTTCCATGCTTCCCCTCTCCTCTTGTCTCCCCGCGCCCTTCACTGCCCCCCCCCCCCGCACTGTCCTTCTGACAGACCTCGTACTGCCGCGCATAAGTGGCATGTGGGATTGGGCCGATGCTCTGCCTCTCATCCACACCTTCCATGCTTCCCCTCTCCTCTTGTCTCCCCGCGCCCTTCACTGCCCCCCCCCCCCCGCACTGTCCTTCTGACAGACCTCGTACTGCCGCGCATAAGTGGCATGTGGGATTGGGCCGATGCTCTGCCTCTCATCCACACCTTCCATGCTTCCCCTCTCCTCTTGTCTCCCCGCGCCCTTCACTGCCCCCCCCCCCCCCCGCACTGTCCTTCTGACAGACCTCGTACTGCCGCGCATAAGTGGCATGTGGGATTGGGCCGATGCTCTGCCTCTCATCCACACCTTCCATGCTTCCCCTCTCCTCTTGTCTCCCCGCGCCCTTCACTGCCCCCCCCCCCCCCGCACTGTCCTTCTGACAGACCTCGTACTGCCGCGCATAAGTGGCATGTGGGATTGGGCCGATGCTCTGCCTCTCATCCACACCTTCCATGCTTCCCCTCTCCTCTTGTCTCCCCGCGCCCTTCACTGCCCCCCCCCCCCCGCACTGTCCTTCTGACAGACCTCGTACTGCCGCGCATAAGTGGCATGTGGGATTGGGCCGATGCTCTGCCTCTCATCCACACCTTCCATGCTTCCCCTCTCCTCTTGTCTCCCCGCGCCCTTCACTGCACCCCCCCCCCGCACTGTCCTTCTGATAGACCTCGTACTGCCGCGCATAAGTGGCATGTGGGATTGGGCCGATGCTCTGCCTCTCATCCACACCTTCCATGCTTCCCCTCTCCTCTTGTCTCCCCGCGCCCTTCACTGCCCCCCCCCCCCCCCGCACTGTCCTTCTGACAGACCTCGTACTGCCGCGCATAAGTGGCATGTGGGATTGGGCCGATGCTCTGCCTCTCATCCACACCTTCCATGCTTCCCCTCTCCTCTTGTCTCCCCGCGCCCTTCACTGCCCCCCCCCCCCCCGCACTGTCCTTCTGACAGACCTCGTACTGCCGCGCATAAGTGGCATGTGGGATTGGGCCGATGCTCTGCCTCTCATCCACACCTTCCATGCTTCCCCTCTCCTCTTGTCTCCCCGCGCCCTTCACTGCCCCCCCCCCCCCGCACTGTCCTTCTGACAGACCTCGTACTGCCGCGCATAAGTGGCATGTGGGATTGGGCCGATGCTCTGCCTCTCATCCACACCTTCCATGCTTCCCCTCTCCTCTTGTCTCCCCGCGCCCTTCACTGCCCCCCCCCCCCGCACTGTCCTTCTGATAGACCTCGTACTGCCGCGCATAAGTGGCATGTGGGATTGGGCCGATGCTCTGCCTCTCATCCACACCTTCCATGCTTCCCCTCTCCTCTTGTCTCCCCGCGCCCTTCACTGCCCCCCCCCCCCGCACTGTCCTTCTGACAGACCTCGTACTGCCGCGCATAAGTGGCATGTGGGATTGGGCCGATGCTCTGCCTCTCATCCACACCTTCCATGCTTCCCTTCTCCTCTTGTCTCCCCGCGCCCTTCACTGCCCCCCCCCCCCCGCACTGTCCTTCTGACAGACCTCGTACTGCCGCGCATAAGTGGCATGTGGGATTGGGCCGATGCTCTGCCTCTCATCCACACCTTCCATGCTTCCCCTCTCCTCTTGTCTCCCCGCGCCCTTCACTGCCCCCCCCCCCCCGCACTGTCCTTCTGATAGACCTCGTACTGCCGCGCATAAGTGGCATGTGGGATTGGGCCGATGCTCTGCCTCTCATCCACACCTTCCATGCTTCCCCTCTCCTCTTGTCTCCCCGCGCCCTTCACTGCCCCCCCCCCCCCCCGCACTGTCCTTCTGACAGACCTCGTACTGCCGCGCATAAGTGGCATGTGGGATTGGGCCGATGCTCTGCCTCTCATCCACACCTTCCATGCTTCCCCTCTCCTCTTGTCTCCCCGCGCCCTTCACTGCCCCCCCCCCCCCGCACTGTCCTTCTGACAGACCTCGTACTGCCGCGCATAAGTGGCATGTGGGATTGGGCCGATGCTCTGCCTCTCATCCACACCTTCCATGCTTCCCCTCTCCTCTTGTCTCCCCGCGCCCTTCACTGCCAACCCCCCCCGCACTGTCCTTCTGACAGACCTCGTACTGCCGCGCATAAGTGGCATGTGGGATTGGGCCGATGCTCTGCCTCTCATCCACACCTTCCATGCTTCCCCTCTCCTCTTGTCTCCCCGCGCCCTTCACTGCCCCCCCCCCCCCGCACTGTCCTTCTGACAGACCTCGTACTGCCGCGCATAAATGGCATGTGGGATTGGGCCGATGCTCTGCCTCTCATCCACACCTTCCATGCTTCCCCTCTCCTCTTGTCTCCCCGCGCCCTTCACTGCCCCCCCCCCCCCCGCACTGTCCTTCTGACAGACCTCGTACTGCCGCGCATAAGTGGCATGTGGGATTGGGCCGATGCTCTGCCTCTCATCCACACCTTCCATGCTTCCCCTCTCCTCTTGTCTCCCCGCGCCCTTCACTGCCCCCCCCCCCCGCACTGTCCTTCTGACAGACCTCGTACTGCCGCGCATAAGTGGCATGTGGGATTGGGCCGATGCTCTGCCTCTCATCCACACCTTCCATGCTTCCCCTCTCCTCTTGTCTCCCCGCGCCCTTCACTGCCCCCCCCCCCCGCACTGTCCTTCTGACAGACCTCGTACTGCCGCGCATAAGTGGCATGTGGGATTGGGCCGATGCTCTGCCTCTCATCCACACCTTCCATGCTTCCCCTCTCCTCTTGTCTCCCCGCGCCCTTCACTGCCCCCCCCCCCCGCACTGTCCTTCTGACAGACCTCGTACTGCCGCGCATAAGTGGCATGTGGGATTGGGCCGATGCTCTGCCTCTCATCCACACCTTCCATGCTTCCCCTCTCCTCTTGTCTCCCCGCGCCCTTCACTGCCCCCCCCCCCCGCACTGTCCTTCTGACAGACCTCGTACTGCCGCGCATAAGTGGCATGTGGGATTGGGCCGATGCTCTGCCTCTCATCCACACCTTCCATGCTTCCCCTCTCCTCTTGTCTCCCCGCGCCCTTCACTGCCCCCCCCCCCCCCGCACTGTCCTTCTGACAGACCTCGTACTGCCGCGCATAAGTGGCATGTGGGATTGGGCCGATGCTCTGCCTCTCATCCACACCTTCCATGCTTCCCCTCTCCTCTTGTCTCCCCGCGCCCTTCACTGCCCCCCCCCCCCCCCGCACTGTCCTTCTGACAGACCTCGTACTGCCGCGCATAAGTGGCATGTGGGATTGGGCCGATGCTCTGCCTCTCATCCACACCTTCCATGCTTCCCCTCTCCTCTTGTCTCCCCGCGCCCTTCACTGCCCCCCCCCCCCCCGCACTGTCCTTCTGACAGACCTCGTACTGCCGCGCATAAGTGGCATGTGGGATTGGGCCGATGCTCTGCCTCTCATCCACACCTTCCATGCTTCCCCTCTCCTCTTGTCTCCCCGCGCCCTTCACTGCCCCCCCCCCCCCGCACTGTCCTTCTGACAGACCTCGTACTGCCGCGCATAAGTGGCATGTGGGATTGGGCCGATGCTCTGCCTCTCATCCACACCTTCCATGCTTCCCCTCTCCTCTTGTCTCCCCGCGCCCTTCACTGCCCCCCCCCCCCCGCACTGTCCTTCTGATAGACCTCGTACTGCCGCGCATAAGTGGCATGTGGGATTGGGCCGATGCTCTGCCTCTCATCCACACCTTCCATGCTTCCCCTCTCCTCTTGTCTCCCCGCGACCTTCACTGCCCCCCCCCCCCGCACTGTCCTTCTGACAGACCTCGTACTGCCGCGCATAAGTGGCATGTGGGATTGGGCCGATGCTCTGCCTCTCATCCACACCTTCCATGCTTCCCCTCTCCTCTTGTCTCCCCGCGCCCTTCACTGCCCCCCCCCCCCCGCACTGTCCTTCTGACAGACCTCGTACTGCCGCGCATAAGTGGCATGTGGGATTGGGCCGATGCTCTGCCTCTCATCCACACCTTCCATGCTTCCCCTCTCCTCTTGTCTCCCCGCGCCCTTCACTGCCCCCCCCCCCCCGCACTGTCCTTCTGACAGACCTCGTACTGCCGCGCATAAGTGGCATGTGGGATTGGGCCGATGCTCTGCCTCTCATCCACACCTTCCATGCTTCCCCTCTCCTCTTGTCTCCCCGCGCCCTTCACTGCCCCCCCCCCCCCGCACTGTCCTTCTGACAGACCTCGTACTGCCGCGCATAAGTGGCATGTGGGATTGGGCCGATGCTCTGCCTCTCATCCACACCTTCCATGCTTCCCCTCTCCTCTTGTCTCCCCGCGCCCTTCACTGCCCCCCCCCCCCCGCACTGTCCTTCTGACAGACCTCGTACTGCCGCGCATAAGTGGCATGTGGGATTGGGCCGATGCTCTGCCTCTCATCCACACCTTCCATGCTTCCCCTCTCCTCTTGTCTCCCCGCGCCCTTCACTGCCCCCCCCCCCCCGCACTGTCCTTCTGACAGACCTCGTACTGCCGCGCATAAGTGGCATGTGGGATTGGGCCGATGCTCTGCCTCTCATCCACACCTTCCATGCTTCCCCTCTCCTCTTGTCTCCCCGCGCCCTTCACTGCCCCCCCCCCCCGCACTGTCCTTCTGACAGACCTCGTACTGCCGCGCATAAGTGGCATGTGGGATTGGGCCGATGCTCTGCCTCTCATCCACACCTTCCATGCTTCCCCTCTCCTCCGCTTTCCCTCCCCCCCATTGCAGACCTCTTACCGCCGCGCATCAGCGGCATGTGGGACTGGGCGGATGCCCTGCCGCTCATCCACGCCTTCCATGCTGCCAACGGCTATGGGGAGGCAGCGGTCAGCTCAGGTAGGGTCGGTGGGAATTGATAAGCCTCGCTGCCTCTCATTCTCCTGCCGCTCATCCTCGCCTTCCATGCTGCCAACGGCTATGGGGAGGCAGCAGTCAGCTCAGGTAGGGTCGGTGGGAATTGATAAGCCTCGCTGCTCATTCTCCTGCCGCTCATCCTCGCCTTCCATGCTGCCAACGGCTATGGGGAGGCAGCAGTCAGCTCAGGTTGCTGTAGAAATCTGATGTGCTCCATGTGTGTCATTCGCCTGCCTTTGATCTTTTTGCTCTAATTTGAGTTTGAGTTTATTTGTTTGTGACACATTCGTACTCGGTTAGAGTGGAAGGTGGTCAAGTGAAAAAAATCGAGGGTAATTGCAGTAGTGCACCCTTTTTCCCCTTCCGTCTTCTCTTGTTCCCCCTCCCCTCGTTCCTTCAGCAAAAGGAGTTCGACTGAAGTGATTTGAAATACTGGTGTTAGTATAGCCTCTTTCCCCTTACCCTCTTTTCCTGCTTCCCCCTTCCCCAAGTCTCCTGTTTCCCCTTTCCCAGGTTCCCATCAGCAGTGCCAGAGTGCAAGGAGGGTTGCTTCGTGGCAGCAGCACCGGACAATTGAGGCGCCTCAGAAGTGCCATTCCCTGTCCCCTTCCTCCCTTCCCCCTTCGATTTCCCCCCTTCAACGGCAGTGCTGGAGTGGAAGGGAGGTCGCTTCGTGGCAGCAGCACCGAACCTTTGGGGTGCCTCAGAAGTTCCCTCTTCTGTCCCCCTCCCCTTTCCCCTTTCCCTCTTCACTTTCCCCGTCACTTTTCCCCCTTCACTTTCTCCCCTTCAACTCGCAGTGCTGGAGTGGAAGGGAGGTCGCTTCGTGGCAGCAGCACCGGACCTAGTCACCCCACCGCCCTCACCGCTCTTCTCTATCTACAACCACCACCGAGAGGCTCTGAGAGGATTGGTGCACACACACGTGGACGGCCGACCCTCCCCCCATGTGCTGCTGGTGCGTCCATCCATCCCTCCCTCCCTCCCTCCCTCCCTCCCTCCCTCCCTCCCTCCCTCCCTCCCTCCCTCCCTCCCTCCCTCCCACCCAAGCCTCTTACCATTCAAGTCATCCCACTGCCGTTGCCACACTTCTCCATCTACAATCCTTCCTCCCCCCCTTCTTTTGAGTCGACTCAAAAGTCAACTCATCCCACCGCCCTCTCCACTTTTCTCCATCTACAAACCTTCCTCCCCCCTTTTTCTTCCCCATCCCTCCCCTCTTCCCATCAACCCATCTCCCGTCCAATCAGCATGGGCCACCTGGCACGGGCAAGTCAACCCTCCTGCGCTCCGTCCTCCTCCCCATGGCCCTCCCCTCCTCCGCCCTCCTCTCCATTCCCTCCTCCGACTCTCCCTTAACGTCCCCTCTCGCGGGCGAGTCAGGGGAAGGCAGCAGCAGGGGGAGGCGGGAGCTGAGGGTGGTGCTGCTGCAGAAGGGGGAAGTGAAGGGCATAGCGGGGGTGCTGCAGGCGGCTGCAAAGATGCCCTCCCTGCGTTTCTGCCTCCTGATCGACAACCTGAACTTGCGGGTGAGTACTGTTCTCTTCAGTTCCATTGGAGAGATTGTGGTTGGTTGGAGTGCAGTGAAGGGCATTGCAGGGGTGCTGCAGGCGGCTGCCAAGATGCCCTCCCTGCGCGTCTGCCTTGTCATTGACAACCTGAACCTCCGGGTGAGTGCTATTGCAAGCTCTTCTTGGTTCCAGTCCCAAAACTGTATCGAGCGGTGGTGTCCGACTATGTATCCCGCTCTTCCTTCGTCAGTCTGGCTTCAGAGGCATCATGCATGCCTCTGCTCATGCAGAACTCTGGATTCCCAAAATTGTATCGAGCGGTGGTGTCCGACTATGTATCCCAGCATCATGCATGCCTCTGCTCATGCAGAACTCTGAATTATCTGAATTCTCTGAATTCTCTGAATTCTCAAAATTGTATCGAGCGGTGGTGTCTGACTATGTATCCCGGCATCATACATGCCTCTGCCTGCGCCCCTCTCACTCCATTCCACTCCCTCTCCCTTGCTCGCCTCTTTATCGCTCTTTCTTCTTCTCCTTCTCCCTGCAGGCAGGAGAGGAGGCGCTCATTGCTCTGCGCCAAGTCCTCCACTCTTCCTTTGTAAGTCTGGTTTCTGAGGCCTCTATTATTGAGGCGCCCCAAAATGGGACGCCCGAAAAATTGCCCTGCCTCCAGGCATGAGAGTACTTCTGAGGCGCTTCAAAAATTGCCGTGCCTGCAGGCAGGAGAGGTATGTAGAACCTAATTTGCTTCTGAGTCGACTCAAAGGCAAAAATTGCCATGCCTGAGGTCGTATGTCTGCCATGCCTCAGGCAGGAGAGGTATGTAGAACCTAATTTCTCTGTGCCAAGGCCTCCTCTCTTCCTTCTTAAGTAAGTATCCAGTTTTCATTCCTTACAGTTCCTGTTCACTTCGTCTCTGCATTTCCTACTTATACCAGCTTTTATTTGTGCCAGCCTAATTCGTCATTGTTCCATTGGGTCCCCTGAAAACCCTCTACCAAGCAACCTGCAGCTTCTGAGAGTTATTCTTCAAATCCCTTTCTCTTTCGTCGCCGCAAAAGCCAATGTTCAAGGTGCCTCAAAGCCTTTCTCTTTCTCTTTCAAGTGTACCGCCATTACAAGCCCCATGCCTTCTCCCATCCCTTCCCGTCAACCCACCTCCAAACGGCCCTTCCCCAACAATGTACGGCCCTTACTTGCCACCTATTTTTCTCCATACCACATTCGCTCTCCTCCCTCCTCTTCCCCCTGCCCCCTTCCCCCTGCCCCCTGTACCCTGCCCTGTCCCCCTGTCACCCCTCACTTCCCAACAGCCCTTTCCCAGCAACGTACAGCTACTCGCCACCTCGCTTTCTCCAGACCTCATTCGCCCTCCTGCTGCTCCCTCCGCTCCTCCTCCTCCTCCTGGCGTCAAGCCAACTAATGTCCGTGCTTCTGAGTCGTCAAACTTGTCAGAGGCAGGTCAAACGAGCAGCGTCAGCAGCAGCAGCACCGTTAGCAGCGATGCATTCTCGAAAGGCAAGGGCGAAATCGGCAGTCACTTTGCCTTCACCTTGCACGTGGGCCGCTTGAACCCACAGCAGCTGCAGCAGTGCCTCTCTCAGCTCATTCCCTCTGCACTGGCTCAGTCCGGCTCTGGTGCTAGCAGATGGGGGGGGGCAGGAGAGGCAGAGGATCTAAGTCTGATCTCTGTGATTCAAGCAGCACGGTACCACATGCTATAGGCAAGGGGGAAATTGGCACTCCCTTTGCCTTCGCCCTGCACATGGGTCAACTTTTGAGGCGCCTCAAAAATAGGCAAGGGGGAAATTGGCACTCACTTTGCTTTCGCCCTGCACATGGGTCAGTTAACCCCACAGCTGCTGCTGCAGTGCCTCTCTGAGGTCCTTCCCTCCCAACCTGCTCAGTCTATTGACCACACTAATGTGGAAACAACGCCAGCTGCTGCTGCTGCTGCTGCTGCTGCTGCTTCTGCTGCTGGTAGTGGTGCTGGGTGGTGGGAGGGGATAGGATAGGAGAGGCAGAGGACCCAAGTCTGAACTCTGTGATGCAAGCAGCAAGGTACCACATGCTATAGTCGAGAATTTAGGGATCATGGCATGTACAGTACGGTACCACTTTCAGGCACCTCAGAAAATGTCTTGATAGCCCGCTGTCATGGTACGGTATGGTACGGTATGGTACTTACTGACGTTGATGGAAGTAAGTAGCACGTACCTATTACCTAACCTCCTCATCCTGCCGATTTTTGAGTCGACTCAAAAATCGACTAAGTACCTAGTACCTTACCTCCTCATCCTGCCTGTCTACACCGCTGACAAGCTGCTCCACTAAACAAGATGTCTATCAAGACAGAAAATGTCTTGATAGCCCGCTTTCATGGTACCTACGTACTGACGATGATGGAAGTAAGGCCTCCGCTCCGCATCCTGCCTGTCTACTTTTGAGGCGCCCCAAAAGTTGATGGCAGTAAGGCCTCTGCACCGCATCCTGCCTGTCTACACCCCCGACAAGCTGCTCCATCCACTAAACAAGATGCCTCTCGACTGACGAGCCTTGAATACGGTAGCTCTATGCAAATACACTATCTTTTCTATGACAAATACACCATGGTGCGTGCTGTGCAAGCAGCACAGCATCACATTACAGGTAGATGGTACATGATACCTTTAGGACACTTTTGAAGACATGAGCATCCATCTTATTCTCAGAAGTCCAAAACACTTCGATACTGCCTGGTGTACAGTACAGACCACAATCCACAATCAGCCTTTTGCACTTCAGAAGGCAGAAAAAACCGCTACTAAAACTAAACCGATCGAGATACTAGCAGCATACACCTGGTAGTAGTACGTTGCAGCATTGCGGACCGCCTTTTTGGAGGGAGTCGCGGAGCATTGGGATTGGCAGCCAGCATCGCAGTGATCCGGGGTGGAGCCACACCGGCCCTCAGCGCTGCAGCAGAGGCCGTTGGGGCAGACGCGGTTGCCGTTCGCTGCTCCGCACTGGGGGCCGGAACCGGAAGGGGGAAGAGGCATATATGGGCTAGGCATGTATGGGCTCGGCATGTATCTCTCGCACGGCCCGGATTGGCATCCAAAGGCGCAGTGACGGGGGGTGGAGCCGCAAAAGCCCCCAACGGTGCAGCATTCGTTGTTAGGACAGACGCTGTTGCCGAAAAGTGCTCCGCACTGCCCGTTGGCGGATAGGGGAGGGGCATCGGAAGGGGGAGGGGCACCGGAAGGGGGAGCGGGGGCGGAACTGTTTCCCCCGCACGGCCCGGATTGGCAGCCAGCGCCGCAGTAATCGGGGGTGGAGCCGCACCAGCCGTCGGCGCTGCAGCAGAGGCCGTTGGGGCAAAGCGTGGTGGCGGAACACTGCTGCTGCGCGCGCGCGCGGAGGGGGAGGTGCGCCGATGAGAACAGCAGCAGCGCGAGCGGGAGGAGGAGGAGAGGAGGACGCGGCGGGAGAGCGATCGCCATGGCCGGGCGAGTTGACTGGACTCGCAAGGTTCTGGCCGAGGGAAGTGACTCGCCGCGCGTGACGGTTGCTCAAATTCGTCTCTGAGAATCGCGCGAGTGGCTAAATAGGATGGCGTCAAATCTGTTTTTCCAGAATTCTCAAAAAGTGGCTACATAGAATAACGTCCCGGGAATTCTTCATGGTGAAGATCGTCGATCTTCATTTATGGTGAGGGTAGGGTGAGCTAGCGTGGAGAGACAGCTAAGAACTTCTAGTGAAGAATGCGTGAGATGAGTGAAGCGGGACTGTTCGAAAGGGGGACTGGGCGGGGAGTATTGGGGACTGAAAGGGGTGCCTACTGCGGTTGGCGACTCGGTATGGAAACTAATGCAGTCTGCAGACCGACGCCTGCGCTTCGCGTGCGTGGGAAGGGTGATATTGCACACGTGCCGCAGAGGATAGGGTTCCATCGTAGAAACGCACATAACATGATGCGCGCGGAACGCCATGTCTAAGAACAAAACAAGAACGGAAGGAAGCAAGGAAGCACGCCGACGTACATATGGCAAATACGTACGTACGTATGTATGTGTCTACTTGACAAATGGGCCGATTGCAAAGACTAATGGGGACTCGTGATAGGCATGGGACGGGAGTATCGGTTGAAAATGATTCTGTGGAAAGCAAACCGGTTCATTCACCTCGCCTCTACTAGTTCAGCGGATGTTGCAGGACCTTGTTTTGTCCCCGTTTGCAAAAACTCGAATTCGGAGTTGTGAACTCGAACTGACTAACAAATATATATCGTAGCTATGCGGAAAAGTGACACAACACAACTCACCAGTGTCACACTTTGAAATTCTGATTTGACAACCCTTTGCGTCAAGTCCTCCACTCCTCCTTCGTAAGTCATTGTCCAGTTTCCATTCCCTTATATTTCCCTTTCACTTCGTTTCAACCAGCAGGACTGCTGTCTTGCACATGTCCTGCCCTTCGCAAGTATCATGCCCACTCCACTCATCCCATCAACCTCCTCACTCTCGCTGCATGAAAAGCCTATCCCTTCTCTCATCCCTCCCTCCCACTTTCCAACAGCCTCCAGAAATGTACATATACTTGCCACCTTTATTTCTCCATTCCTCATTCACTCTCCTGCCCCATGCCTTCTGTCCCCTGCCCTTGTCAACCCCCAACCTCAACAGCCCTTCCCCGGCAATGTACAGCTTCTTGCCACCTCTCTTTCTCAAGACCTCATTCGCCCTCCTGCTGCTGCTCCCTCCACCGCTCCTCCCGGTGCTGTCGAACCAACCCAAGTCCATGCTACTGAGCCGCCCCTCCCATCAGAGACCGGCGAAACAAGCAGCGTCAGCACCACCGGCAGCAGCAGCAGCAGCAGCAGCAGCAGCAGCAGCATTGTCAGCAATGCATTCACAAGAGGCAAGGGGGGAATTGGCACTCGCTTTGCCTTTGCCCTGCACATGTAAACCCACAGCAGCTGCAGCAGTGCCTCTCTGAGCTCGTTCCCTCTGCACTGGCTCAGTCCGGCTCTGGTGCTGGCAGGTGGGAGGAGGCAGGTGAGACAGAGGACCTTAGTCTCATCTCTGTCATGCAAGCGGCACGGTATCACATGCTGAAGGCGAGTTTTTAGGGATCACAACTTCATGGCGTACCACTTTCAGGCACCTCAGAAAATGTCCTGGTACGAGCCAGCAGTCATGGTATTGTACGTACTGATGTTGATGGGATGGAATGGAAGTAAGGCCATTCACAGCCTAACTGTCTACCGCTGAAAAATTGCTTTATCAAACTGGTTGTCTCAACTGAGGAGTCACAAAGAGCCCTAGGCAATACAATACTATGTATGCTGTGCAAGCAGCAATGCATCACATGACATTTCAAGTCCAGATCACTCCACAATGCTGCCGTGTGAGGAGCACATTGGGCAATCTGAACCCTGGCGATCGACCCCCGAGATGGGGTTGTCATGTGTTTGCAAACAGGGCAGGGTCTATGCATTTGGTCATGTGGATTGAGGTAATGAGCATCTGGTGAGCATGCATGGGCTGTAGGCTGTCAGCGTGTTTCGACCTCAGCCAGTCAATTTCCACATCAGAGATATAGTGCTGGAGGAGATGACCGCACTGCACACAGTAGTACGACTTGACTGTACCAAGTGTTCATGTCTGAAAGTTGTTACTGGAAATGAGTCACTTGTGAAAGCCGTGATTGATTATTGTCATTTAAAATCGAGAGTGGGAATGGTCAAACGAAGACTGTGAGAGAACTTGGAGGACACGAGAAGGAACGGTCATAATGTGAATGAAAATGGGGTGTGGGAGGGTGAATGGGAGTGAGTGTGAATGGTGAGATTGCGAGTAGATAGCTGTACACGTGGTTCTTTGTTTTCAGCGGGTATATTTGGTCAGCATTGAAAACAGAACAGTCTGGAAGAAATTTCTTCATTATCTGCAATAGTATAGCTAGGTACACAAAAAATCTGTACATTGAATTTCACAGCACGATCCGACTCACTCGTCGTCGTTAATGAATTTCCCTGTACCGGGGTTGATGGCGGCGACGAAGAAGAAGGCGATGCTGGCGAGCAGCAGCGGCTCGAGCTCCCACACGGGCACGCCGATCTCGATGTTCAGCTGCGCCAGCGCGCCCCTGCCCGTAATCACCTCGCCGATCAGGCTCGCCGCAAACCCTAATTGCGCCAGCCGCCCCACGAACAGCTCGTTAGCCTTGGTGAATCCGAACAGAGGCCCGTCCTCGCTCAACCCCAGCGCCGCCTTGAAGCTCCCCGGCTTCACCGGCGGACCCGCAGGCGCGTCGTCGTCCACGAATCGCCCGCGGTCGCCCAGCCCGCCGATCGCGCCGAGCACAGTGAATGCGATAAAGAAGAGCAGCAGCGGCTCGGTTTCAGTGATGGGGATGCCCGTCTCGATGTTGAGCTGCGATAGAATGCCCGCGCCCGTGATCGCCTCGCCCAGCAGCGACGCTGCGAAGCCCAGCATGGCCACGCGCCCCACGAACAGCTCGTTCGCCTTAGTGAATCCGAACCCGCCCGACGTGCCGAAAATGCCGTCCTCTGTGCGCAGCTTCGTCGCGGGGACGCTCTTCGCGGGTACGGCGGCTTTGCGCGAGCTGAAGAGCGCGGTGACGCCGAGTGCGCGGGGCGCGACTGGTAGGGGAAGAGCGGGGAGGCTGCGGGTAGCAATCTCGGTGCCTCTGACGGCAGAGCTGAAGGAAATTCCTGAAAGGACCTGACGAGCAGCGAGTGTGGAGGCCATGGCTGTTGGACGGATTGAGACGAACTGAAAGAGCGGGGCGTGAGAGGAAGTCCGAGGGAGGAATACTAGGAACGATATTGATTCCAGGCACTTTTGAAATCAGGAAGTGAGGCGAAACTGAATTTGTACTGTACCACCAAGAATGAGGTAAAATTCAGGCGAGGCGCGGTATGTCGGTTGCTCTGCTCATCTCACTCCCTCGTGGCCCATGACGGTGCTGTGTGCGGTGCGGCTTGTTCGCTTTCATCGCAGCTCGCTTGCACCTGGTGCAACCTTTTGGGAAATTGGTCTGACAATCGCTGACGTGGCATAACCTGGAGCGCAAGTCTCTTGTGAGGGACGTGGACGTTCCTGGTGCTCTAGATCTTCTGAGGAGAGATGCACCGTGAATGTGTTGACTGGGCGACGTGGCGGTGCGGTGCTGGCTAAATGCTGCTGACATGGATGTGAAAAGTGGTTCCCTTCCTTCCCTTCTAGCAGCTGCTTTCGTGGTCAGCACTGGCGAGCATACTTGGGAAGGGGAATCGAACTGTATTTGCGAATTTTGACAGGACTCTCGAAAACTCCCGCATTGAATATCACAAGAGCATCCGCAATATTACAACTCCGAGTTGGGAATTATGAATGGCGTAAAACCGCGCATTAACGTTAATACGGACTCCCAATCATGCACACAAGGAAATTTCACTCACATTGCGATGTTTCTAGATTGAGCCATCCATGCCTCGATCAATACACTCATCGGCGTACACGGACCAGCATTTGTCACATGCTCTCCCATTTTCATATTGCCTGCCCCATATGTCAGAAGCCCTGCTCTGGTCTTAGACTAGAACAGAACACTTCAATACTGCCTGGTGTACAAACCAAACATACGGTACTACCAAATGCACGCACCCACCCACACACACACACAACTTATTGCGCTTCAGAAGGCAGATAAAGCCGCTATTAAAATAGTAGCGATCGAGATACTAGCAGCATACACCTCATAAGTTGGAGCATTGCGGACCGCCTTTTTGGGGGGAGTCGCGGAGCATTGCGATTGGCAGCCAGCGCCGCAGTGATCCGGGGTGGACCCACACCAGCCAAACTTGCTGCAGCAGAAACCCTTGGGGCACACGCGGTTGCCGTTAGCTGCTCCGCATTGGGGAACGGCCGCAGAAGTGTTTTTCCCGCACGGCCCGGATTGGCAGCCAGAACCGCAGTAGTCAATTGTCGAGCCGCAATAGCCCGCAGAGCTGCAGCAGAGGTTGTTGGCGCAGGTGCTGTTGCCGTTTGCTGCTCCGCATTGGCCGTTGGCGGAAGGGGCACCGGAAGGGGGAGGGGCACCGGAAGGGGGGAAGGCCGCGGAGTTGTTTCCTCCGCACGGCCCGGATTGGCAGCCGGCGCCGCAGTAATCGACGGTGGAGCCGCAATAGCCCGCAGTGCTGCAGCAGAGGTTGTTCGGACAGACGCTGTTGCCGTTTGCTGCTCCGCACTGAGCGGAACCAGATGACGGGGGAGGGGCGCCGCTGGAAGGGGGAGCGGGGGCGGTAGTGCTTCCCCCGCACGGCCCAGATTGGCAGCCAGCGCCGCAGTAATCGGGGGTGGAGCCGCAATAGCCCGCAGCGCTGCAGCAGAGGTTGTTGACGCAAAGCGTGGTGGCGGAGCACTGCTGCGCGCGCGCGCGGAGGGGGAGGTGCGCCGATGAGAGCAGCAGCAGCGCGAGTGGGACCAGGAGGAGCGGAGGACGCTGCGGGAGTGTAGGGAACGCCATGGCTGGGCGTGTTGAGTAGACTGGCGACAAGGTTCCGGCCATTCACCGCGCGTGACAACTGCTTGGATTATTCAGACGTCTCAGAGTATGACTCGCCGCGCATGATGATCGCTCAAATCCGTCTTTGAGGATCGCGCGAGTGGCTAAATAGGATGGCGTCGGGAATCCTTTGAGAATTCTAAAAAAAATCCTTACATCGTCTGGAATCTTAGGTGAAGATCGGATGGGAGGGGTGAGTCAGACTGGAACTGCTAAGAATGGTGAAGCGGACTCCGGAGGGAGATTGGCGGTGCGGACCGGCGGGGACTATGGGGGACTGAAGGGGTGCTACTGCGGCTACAACACGTTGGCGACTCGGCGTGGAAAATAATGTACAGCTGCACCTGCGCGTCGCGTGTGTGGGACGGGTGATGCTACACTCACGCTGTAAAGGATAGGGTCCCATCGTGGAAACGCACATGATGAGTGCGGAACGCGACGACTCTGAATTGAACAATTACTGCTGTCAGGAAGCACGATGACCGACGAGCCGAGATCTATTTCTCGGACGAGACGAGAGTCTAGGGAGTCTGGTCTTGCTGCGTCTGCTTGAGAAATGGTCCGATTGTTTGATCGAATGAGAAAGGAAGACTACGCACAGCGCAAATGCCGTCCTGTGATGGACACTGGACAGGAGATAGCACAAGCAAGCTATGGGTGGTGGTGTGGGGGGTCTTGAAGTGTGCGTGACAGCGATTTTGCGAAAATCATGCGATCATCGAAACCGTTCGTTCACCTCGCCTCGTACCAATTGTATTGTGGAACCCTATGCTCTGTACCCGTTTGTAAAAAACTCAAATTCGGACTCCGACTTCATTGTAAAGAAGCGAGCCATGCCATAACAGAACTTTCTGTTAGGGCAATATGAATTCCCAAGCGCAGAAGGGTGATTGAGACGCACTGAAACTAAACGTGCTGCAACATCCCTCAAGTTGAAGGCGTCACATGGTCAATATGTGATTAATGCTTCAAATTGAGTATGATCATTGTCAAATACCGTATCGCCCCGGATATAACCGCAGACCTATGTTAAGCGCATGCGCTTCTACCTGGAGCAATGCGCTTATGGCCGATCCTCAATTAGAAGCGCACCCTCTAAAAAAACCTTACTTATTATAAGCGCACCCTTGCTGTATAGACAAGAATGTCTGTTGTTTTTTTCACTTTCTTTACAACCTTCGTACAAACTACATTACTCTAGCTAAAAATTTCAACTAAAACTTTCAAGTCAAATACATTAGACTAGCATCCTAGCCTACACAACATTTTTAAGTTTAGTCTAGCCTAAGGCCTACTCCTCGTCCGACTCAGGCTCCGTGGATGTCGTCATCAACCTCTACCTCGTGGGATAGCTGACCTCTCCGGTGCGCCAGCACCAATCCGTCTTCACTCCCGTCAAGGGCATTGCTGATGCCGCAGGTGAGGAACGCTCTCTTAATCAGGTCGGCGGGCACAGCTTTCCACGCCCGTGAAATCCACTTGAGCACCACCTTCGGAGATGGTTTCTTAATGTTCCCTGCACCACATACACGGGGGTGGGAAACACGTGGGTCCACAAGCAGGCAGACATACAGACGAAGCGGTCACGGGAGAACACTTTTGCGTACCTGCGGGTGACAGGATGTTCATGCCGTCCTGCTCGAACCAGGTCTGGTACTGCTGCCGAACACTCGCCTTGAAGCTTTTGTTGACCGACACATCGAGCGGCTGCAAGTCTGCCGTGCATCCCGCTGGGATGACCGCCGGCACGATGTTGAGTTCCGCGAATTTCGCCTTGACTTCGGGTGTCAGGTATCCACGATAGGAGTCGAGCACTAGCATGGCGCTCCGGCTCTGCAATCCGAACTTCGGTTTCAGGAACGGCACCACGCCTGCACCGAGCCACTCGATTACGCCCGAGGCCTCCATCCACCCGTTAGCTTGGCAACCGACCACGACATCTGCATACAAGCAAGCGGTGGTTAGATTTTACTTTTGTTTTTCCCCTCGGAAACACGCGCATACGCAGTTTCTTACCGTTCGGAAAGTCACCCTTTGGGAGGGTCTTGCGCTTGAAAAACACCCACGGCTTCAACTTCTCGCCCGTCGCCGTGCACGCCAGCATCACAGTGACTCTCTCTTTCTGGTAACCACCACTGCGGATGGGCACCGACTTCACGCCCGTCTGCTCCACCGTGGTAGTCGCCGGCATCTCCAGCCACAAAGGCGTCTGGTCGGCATTGATGATGTAACGATTGTCGATGTCGTAGTCGTGGCGTATGTCGCGGACAAACTGCCAAAATTCCTTGCACTGCTTGGCCACGTCTGCGCACGGAGAGGGAGGAACGGTTAAAAGGGCGGATGAGCACCGCTACAGATAAACAAACATGGGCAAGAAAGTACTGAAATACAAGATAAAATTTCACGATAGGATGACAGTGCACGGACAGGCACTTACGCTGCTGTGTCTTTTGCGCCACCTTTGTTTTCATGCGCACGGTGAGATTCCACCGCTTGCGGAACCGCTCCGTCCAGTGCTGACTCGCCTTCCACTTGACGTCCGGGAACAACACCTTCATCACCTCTTTTGACCAGTCTTGCAGCCGGCCGACTGATACTGCCACACCGCGGCGTCGCCAGTCCAGGAGTTGGGCGTACACCTTCATCTCCATGGGTCTGTACCAGGAAGACCTTCCGCGCCCATGAAGTCGACACCGAGCACTGTGTGCAGCCTTGAGCTCCTCCGCTTGGTTTTTCCACTCTGTGAGGCATTTGCGGTGTATGCCGGACTCCCGCGCGACCTCGCTTATCGATGCAGCAAGCTCCAGCCGAACGAGCCACTTCAGTTTCTCCTGGGCGGTGTAGCGCTGCCGTTTGTGTTGAGTCGGCTTGTGCCTGGGAGAGGGGGGGCGGGCATCTCGGTTCTCAGAGGAGGGGTGGGGTCGTTTTTTGTTAATCGACGGATACGTTGGTATCGGCATCTTCTCGCGTGGTGCGTCGCGCCACCAAGACTCCACACCGTCGTCGTCCGCGTCTGTAGCTTCACGATCTGGGAACACGTCCTCCTCGGCGCCCTCTTCACCGTCGACTCCACCGTCGCCTCCAGCATCGCCGTCGCATGTGGGTTGTTTATCGGCGGCCACGTCATCGTCGGCGCCCACAGCCGACTCGTCCCACGTGCAGGCTTCAGGATTTCCCCACCGAGGTGCAGTCGGCGGACCATTGATTTGCCTAGCCTTGGGTGTGTCCGGTTCAGACAACCACTCGTCGAAAGTGGCAGGCAAATATAACTGGAGCACGGGCCGATGGTGACCCCACGCGTCAGGAACAGGAGGAGTCGGAGGATTCGGAGGAGCGGGAGGAGCAGGAGGAGCAGGAGGTGCAGGAGGAGCAGGCGGAGCAGGCGGTGCAGGGGGTGTAGGTGGCACTGGAGGCGCTGGTGGCTCACGTGTATACCACCCGTCCGAGGTTAGTCGCCAGGCGCGGGTTGGTTTCTTCTTGAAAAAGAGGTGCGTCCCACTGAATTCCGCCATGGCTTTGCCAGCCAGGCGGGCTAGACTAGAAACTGAATGAAAAAAATGAGGAGGAGGGTGCAGAAATGGGCAACGACGGGGACCCCTGCGGGCTAGCGGCTCGGGTTCCTCATCAATGACAGGCAGGAAACCCCCGCCTACCCCCGTAGAGGAACCTGCGTGGCAGCATATTCGCTGCGCTGGCAGGGAATCTTCCCCACCCTTCGAGAGGGTTCGGAAGAAATGCAGATGCCACGCAGCGCATGCGGCTGTGATTGGGCCGCATGGCAACATCCCCGTCACTCCTGTCACGTTCGATGGTTCTAGACAACTTTGTGCGGTGGGAAACCGAACCGTAGCTGTTTTTGCGTGAAAACCATGCACGATCCCACTTGTTGCATGGTCCGTTGGATTCGCCTTATTGCGGGCTTCAGTTTAGTATGTTTAAAAGTGAATTTCATTTTTTCCTTATTATAGGCGCATGCGCGTATACAGACACCTCAATTAGAAGCGCACCCCCCCAAAAAACACTGTTTTATTACAAGCGCACCTGCGCTTTTATTCGGGGTAGTACGGTATGGCATCGGCAACAGGTTCACATGACACATTCCCCTTGAAGTGAAGTGTTTGCTTTGACATTATCGCCTTTCACGAAGCATCTTAACAATATTAGCGACCCACCCACTGGAATTCTGAAACTGGCAAACTCGAAAACTCAACAGTGACAGCACGTCTATGGCTCCTACGGCCGAAGCGCAAGGGATTGAGAAAATTCCCCAACTACTCAAGAACGTCAGCATAACAGCGTAGCGGCAGCTGGCGAGTTGTTCACTGAGAAACACCCAGGCTCTCTCGCACTTTCTGTTGTGAGTGTTGGGAGAAAGGAGTGTTGGGGGGCGTAGGGGAGAGGGGGAAAGAGAGAGTGAGAGAGTGGTGCGAGAAGGGGTGGGGAGATGGGAGAAGGTTGTGCCATGTGTGTGCAATGTGCAATTTACCCATGAGCAGCGCAACCTAATAGCAGTTCCCACGTGCATCATGATGGCGGATCCATGTGATGTGAGTCATGTACCATGCACTAACGTACCATGTGCTAACGTACCATGCACTAACGTACCATGCACTAACGTACCATGCACTAACGTACCATGCACTAACGTACCATGCACTAACGTACCATGCACTAATGTACCATGTGCTAACGTACCATGTGCTACCATGCATCCCACATCCCATTTTCAGCAGAACAATGTAGCAGAAGTCTTCCATGTGCATCATGATGGCTGACCCATGTGCATCAGGTGCCGTGCATCATGTATCACATACAACCACATGTCCCACACCCCACCTTGAGCAGAGCAATGTAATAAAAGCCCTCCATGTGCATCAAGATGGCAGATCGATGTGGAGTGAGTCACGTACCATGTCCTACCATGCATCCCACACACCCACATGTCCCCACACACCTTGAGCAGAGCGATGTAATAAAAGTCCTCCATGTGCATCATGATGGCGGATCCATCCCTCAGGGCCGACAGCATCGCCACTTCCGTCTGTAACAGCCGGTCGATCAGCCGCCGCTCGCCCTTCATCTGGATTTAAGGGGGGAAAGGGGGAAGAGGGAGGCACGGCAGGCGTGCGGGAGCCGCCATGATGGGTTCAGACCAGATCCATCCCTCAGCGCTGACAGCATCGCCACTTCCGTCTGCAACAGCTGGTCGATCAGCCGCCTCTCGCCCTTCATCTCAAAGGGTAGAGGGTGAGGGGAGATTCACAGTTTTCCATCGCGAGTCAGACACAGCCTATGGTTGTACTAGTCAATCCACACCACATCCTTTTTTCGAGTCCACTCAAATTCCGTGTGTGACGAGTCTGTTTTTGAGTCAACTTAAAAAACTGCGTCGACTCAAAAACAGTTCTCCATCGCAAGTCAGACACAGCCTATAGTTGTACTAGTCAATCCGCATCCTCTTTGTGTCCAGCCTCCTGAACGCGCCTGTTACGTGTTCTTTTAACATCCTATACTTGAGGTGCGCAAAAACCAGAATGCACATCGCACACATGGTGAAATGCAAAAAAAGAATTATAAAAAATAAAATCATCCAAGAAATGCACATCCCAGACACGCTGCAAACAACCCCCTAACAGACTCTCTAGCTGCCTGTCTAACATGGAGTGTCTTGTATAGGTACGTGCATGTATGCATGAGTGCATGTCTCACATAATCCTCTAAAATGTCGTTGGCATTCGCCTCCCCCACCACCTCGGCAGCATACCCATCATCCACTCCACATGCGCATGCACATGCACGTGTACGTCCACACATACAATGGAGACATCTGATCGTCTAGCTGCATGTCTCACATAGTCTTCTAGAATGTCGTTGGCATTGGCCTCCCCCACCACCTCGGCTGCATATCCATCATCCACCCCACATGCATATGCGTATGCACACTCATAGAGAAAACACCCCTTATAGAATCTCTAGGCATGCATGTCTCACATAGTCCTCTAGGATGTCGTTGGCATTGGCCTCCCCCACCACCTCGGCTGCATATCCATCATCCACCCCACATGCATATGCGTATGCACACTCATAGAGAAAACACCCCTTATAAAATCTCTAGGCATGCATGTCTCACATAGTCCTCTAGGATGTCGTTGGCATTGGCCTCCCCCACCACCTCGGCTGCATATCCATCATCCACCCCACATGCATATGCGTATGCACACTCATAGAGAAAACACCCCTTATAAAATCTCTAGGCATGCATGTCTCACATAGTCCTCCAGGATGTCGTTGGCGTTTGCCTCCCCCACCACCTCGGCTGCGTACCCATCATCCACTCCTAGCTGCTCCTGTGATGCATCCGACTGCCATGTGCACAGGCACACATACACACATACACACATGCGCTCATACATGAACGCACGCACGGACACATGCGCAGATGGGCATGACGGAGACACATGCGTGACGGAGACTCATGCATGACGGAGACACATGCATGATGGAGACACATGCATGATGAAGACACATGCATGGTGGAGACACATGCATGATAGGACATAATCATGTCAGAAACACCTGAAGTCATGATTATCTGAGAAGCACCTGAATGTCGCGTCCACCTGAAGGTCACACTTACCTGAAAATCATAACCCACCTGAAGATCATAACCCACCTGAAAATCATAACCCACCTGAAGATCATAACCCACCTGAAAATCATAACCCACCTGAAGATCATAACCCACCTGAACATCAGAACCCACCTGAAAGATCAGAAACCACCTGAAGATTGTAACCCACCTGAAGATCATAACCCACCTGAAGGTCACCTGAGGGCCCTCCTGGGCTGAGGTAGACAGGGCAGCACACATGGCGGTACCCCATTAGCTTGGGCACTGTGGGGACGATGTCAGCTCGATTCACAATGCGCCAGCTGTCACGCATGTACTGGTGGGAGCGAGCAGGGGTGGGCGGGTGGGTAGGAGGGGGGGGAAGGAGGTGTGGAGAGAAAGGGAAAAGGAATGATCTAATATGGTGAAAGGAAAGGGGATGGGGGAAAAGTAAACGCTTCACCATATCAAGCTTCCTGTCCCGTCCCTGCTGCATCACCGGGGTTTGTGTTGATCTTGGTGATGCGGTGGGGAGAGAGGGAGGGATAACACGTGGCAAGAAAAGAGCCACCTGAATGGATTCAGGGCGTTTGGTGGGGTGTGACCCTGGCAGGGATGTTTGGCCGTAACGTGTAGAGAGGGTATTTTTGAGACGTCTCAACAATACCCTCTCTACCCCTGGCAGGGATGTTTGGCCGTAACTGACCGCATTGCACCTGGCAACAACGGCTGCACTGCACTACCCTGAGTTACATGCCCTGAAGATAAAGGTAGGGATGATTGAACCCATGAGTGAGTGACCCATGAGTGTCAAGAAAAGAGCTAGGGCGCGTGTTGGTCACTAACCACGTTGAATCTGGCAACGAAGGCCGCATTGCCCACGCGAGGGGAGCCGTAGTTGTACATGGTGAGATGGATGTTGCGCTCCCTGAGGGATGGAGGGAGGCGAGCAAAGAGAGGGAGAGGGAAGGGAGAATGGGAGGAGGCGACAATAGTTGTACATGGTGAGATGGATGTTGCGCTCCCTGAGGGACGGGGGGAGGCGAGCAAAGAGAGGGAAAGGGAAGGAAGGGTGGGAGGAGGCGACTATAGTTGTACATGGTGAGATGGATGTTGCGCTCCCTGAGGGACGGGGGGAGGCGAGCAAAGAGAGGGAAAGGGAAGGAAGGGTGGGAGGAGGCGACTATAGTTGTACATGGTGAGATGGATGTTGCGATCCCTGAGGGACGGGGGGTTGGGGGGGGAAACGAGAGGGAGGGCAGAGTGGGAGGAAACGACCATAGTTGTACATAATGAGGTGGATGTTGCACTCCCTGCGGGACGGGGGGAAAGTGGAGGGAAGAGCGTGAGGAGAGAGTGATAAGGGACGAGAGATGGATGTTGCGGTCCCTGACGCATGAGGAGAGAGTGGGGCAAGAGGGAAAGTGGTAGGGAAGGGAGTGAAGCACTGATGAAGGCTTGACGGTTCTATCCCCGACTTGCCGAAACATGTTTGCGACCTGTTCTCTTTGAGTGAATACAGCTTTTGCGTTCAAGATTTCTCTTAGCAAGGGTTTTTTAACTCTCTTTCTTTACTTGCTAAAGCATTTCCTAACCATGAGTGACTGAGGCATTAGGAGAGAGTGGGGCAAGAGGGAAAGTGGTAAGGAAGGGAGTGACGATTGTTGTACACGGTGAGCTGGATGTTGCTTTTTGAGTCGACTCAGAAATCAACTTAGTACACGCGGCAGGGATACGAGGCGTGGAAGGGAGTCGGCTCAAAAGTGACCATTGTTGTACATGGTGAGCTGGATGTTGTGCTATTTGGGAGATGAGTCGTGGATGGGATGAGAAGAAGAACGTTGGGTAGCGAGGGAGGGTGGGGGCGGGAACGAGGGAGGGTAGGGCGGGAGAGAGGGAGGGTAGGGCTGGAGAAAAGAGCCATAGTTGCACAATGAGAAGATGGGAAGAAGGAAGGATGCAGCAACAGATCACAGGAGAATGGATATGGTCACCCGCTTGCCCCCTCGCTTGCCCCGCTTGCCCCCCCGCTTGCCCCACTTGCCATCAAATGACTGGATATGCTACTTTTACGGCTGCTTGAAGTGCTCCTCTTGGATCAGGTGAAACAGCAGAACCCACCTGACCAGGTGAAAACAACAGACCCACCTGACCATGTTGGACTGGGAGAGCTCGTAGGCAAAGAGGGTCGACAGGGCTCCTCCCAGGCTGTGACCGGTCAGGTACACCCGCCACGTGTCACCCTCTGATAGGCTGTCAGCTGCATGGATTGAGGAGTCCCCATCAGCACCAGCATCAGCATCAGCAGAACGAGCGGTGAGCGGTGTAGGGCGGTTGGGGTCGGTGATGATGGCAATGAGGGAGCGCAGGCGAGCGCGCACAGAGTCGTATGCAGCAAGGAAACCCCCATGCACCTGCAGTGGGGGGTGGGGGGTGGGGGTGGGAAGTGGGGATTCAGGGTTCAAGGGTTTGAGTTTGGGGGCTTGGGGGACTGTTGTTGGGGCACCCAAAGAATAGGCGCGCGCAGAGTCGTATGCAGCAAGAAAACCCCCGTGCACCTGCAGTGGGGGGATGGGAGGTTGTGGTGGTGGTGGGGAGGAAGGGGGGATAGGGGTTGGGGGTTGGGACTTGGGGGACAGTTTTCAAGGCCCCTAAAGAAAAGATGCACACAGAGTGAACCAGTCTGTGTCTAGGATTCGAGTGACTTTCTGAGACATAGGAGTAGCATGCGCATTGGCATAGAGAGGGAACTGGATCGACTTGATGTGCACACACTGCCTGATCTCCTCCTCACCATGACGTTATCAGTCAGCCTCATAACATGACATGACGACACCGCTCTCACCATGACGTCACACCGCTCTCACCATGACGTCACACCGCTCTCACCATGACGTCACACCGCTCTCACCATGACGTCACACCGCTCTCACCATGACGTCACACCGCTCTCATCATGACGTCACACCCCTCTCACCATGACATCCTGGTCAAAATCGCCCGACGAGGTTCGCTCGAAGTCCAGGCTGGAAGGTGAGGAGGAGGAAAGCAAGGGTAAAGAAGGAAGAGAAAGGAGGAAGTAAGGAGAAAGCAGGAAGGAGAAAGGGGGAAGCAAGGCGAACGGGGGAAGAACGGAGAAAGGGTGAAGCAAGGAGAAAAGGGGATGCAAGGAGAAGGGAGGAAGGAAGAAATGAGATTGTTCTTTCAATCATCCTATATAAGTTCAGGCTGGAAGGGGAGGAGGACTATGTGAGTAAGGGCAGAGAAGGGGATCAGGGAGGGTCAGGGAGTAAGGATGGTGACATGAGATTGTTATGTCAGGGTGCATTCCTGGTTGGTGGCAGGGCAACTGTTCACATCGAGTTGGTGGCAAGTGTACCCAAAAATTCAGTGGGCCGGAAAATGCGCTTGCCACCAACAGTTGCCCTGCCACCAACTCAGGAATGCACCCTCAAGAAACAAACAACTTTGCTCAAAGTCCAGGCTGCAAGGGAATGAGGAGGATGTAGAGAGAAAATGCAGCTGATAAATGAAATCAACTATATTCCTCACCCCAGCCAGCCTCACCCTTGCCTCACCCTACCCTCTCGCCAACTTCACCCCATCCCCACCAGCAGCGCACGACAGGGATACCTCAGTCAACCTCTTTCTACAGCTGCTCACCTGGAGGGAGAGAGCGAGATGTCTGTAAGTAAGTCCTTGGCCTTAGTCTGCGAGAGAGCGAGCAAGAAGGAGAAGGGGGAGGGGAGAGAGGGGCACAGGAGACATTGGTAAATGGGCATTTAAGTCAAGAAGAGGGCACAGTTGCCAGCATACAGCATGGGCTGGAGGCGTGCTGCGCTGGCAACTGCGCATGGGCCTCCAGCCCACCAGCCCACCAGCTTAGTGCGGAGGTGACTTTTGAGTCGACTCAAAAGTCGCCTCCAGCCCACCAGCCCACCAGCTTAGTGCGGAGCAAGAGGATGCCAAAGCATTTCCCTCACCCGCTCGGTTCCTCGAAACGCCACAACAATCCTTTTGCTCCGCACGTTGGTTGATAAAGCACACTTCATCAAACTCCGACTCAAAAAACACCTTCTCTCCTTGCTTCTCCCTCACCCGCTCGGTTCCTCGGACCGCCACAACAATCCTTTTGCTCCGCACGTCCCACCAGAAGACCACTTGAGTGTCGGACTGCGAGTGGTCCATGAAGCACACTTTATCAAACTCCGACTTGACGAACGTCTGCTGGCCGAGGGAACTCGCCAGCATGGTCCATGCCTCCACGCCTCCATCCACTACTGTCTCTGCTCTCCATACTGTCTCCCCCACCACACTCCCCCTCACTCTCTCCCAAACATGGGCCATTCCTCACACACCATCCCAGTGCAATGCATCTCACCTGCTCGGTTCCTCTGAAAGCCACCACGATCCTCTTCCTCCACACGTCCCACCAAACCACCACTTGCGTGTCGGACTGCGGGTGGTCGATAAAGCAGACCTTGTGAACCTCCGGCTTGACAAACGTCTGTAACTTTTCTCCTCGCATCTCACCTGTTCTGTGCCTCTGAAAGCCACCACAATCCTCTTCCTCCGCACATCCCTCCACACCGCCACTTGAGTGTCCGACTGTGGGTGGTCCACGAAGCAGACCTTATCAAACTCCGACTTGACAAACGTCTGCTGCCCGAGAGAGCTCGCCAGCATGGTCCATGCCTCCACCGCCGTCTCTGCACTCCCAAACATGCGCAGCGCCTCCTCTGTCTCCTCCTCACTCACTACCTCACTCGCTCCTTCACTCACTCCCTCACTCGCTCCTTCTCTCGCTCCCTCACTCTCCTCCCCACCAGTTTCCCCTTCGGACTTAGCTGCTCCTACACTCTTCTTCTCCCCCTCGGCCAATGGCAGGCTGCCAGCTGTGCTGCCAAGCAGGGCGAGCGACCCCAGCACCCCCTCAGTCTGCCGGAAAGCCGCCTTGCGAAGATCATCCAGGGAGGAGGAGAAGGAGGACGGCTCTTGGGAAGCAGTGACATCTGTAGCGGGGCTTGCCTGCCTGTCTGTCCCTTGCCCATCTACCCCTTGCCCGCTGCTCTGGTCATACCAAGGCAGGGTAATCCCGAGGTCCACAAGGCTCTTCCTCAGCTCGGCTCGCCGCTGCTCTATCCGCCCCACCAACGCGCTCGTAGCCCCCTCCAGAAAATCGCCTGCTGCTGCCGCTGCATCAGAACTGCTGCTCTGTCCGTCTGCCCCTTGCCCGTTCTTCTGGTCGTACCAGGGCAGGGTGATGCCCATGTCTGTGAGGCTTCTCCTCAGCTCCGCTCGCCGCTGCTCTATCCTCCCCGCCACTGCGCCTGCTGCCCCCTCCAGCAACCCTCCTGCTGCAGCTGATGCAGCAGACCCCAGATCAAACCCACCAGAAGCAGCAGCAGGGGCAGATTCACTGTTGCTGCTGCTGCTTGAACTGCTGCCAGAGGCACCAGTGCCACTGTCAGTACCACTCATTACCGCCTGACTGAGCTGGTCCAGGGTGCCACCTGGCGGGATCCAGCCTGCCCTGAGTAGCACCTCCCTCGCCAACCCCACTGCCTGCCTCACCTGCTCCTCCCTGCCACTGTTCTCACTGCTACCAGTGTCAGCATTTTCTGCAGTGATTTCAGCAGACCCTGTTGCTTCTGCTGCTGCTGCTGCTTGTGGCGCGGATTGGGTTGGGACGACCGAGTCTCGGATCTTATCCAGACTCGTTGGGAAGGCGGATGGGGCTCCGAATTGCTGGATGGCAGACCGGACAAACTCGTACGTGGAAATGGCCGGCGACGGTTGGCTGGTAGCGGGAGCCGAGCCGTCGGTGGGAGCAGGGGTGGAGTCGGCAGCAGGTGTGGAGGAGGAAGGTTGCAGGGCTGAAGTGATAACGTCTTGAAATCCGGAGACCAGAGGGAGCTGGCCTGAGAAGATGTCATCGAGAGAGGGCAGGCGCCACCTGGCAGGGAGGGAGGGGGAGGGGGAGATGTGTCGGTGGGAGAGGGGGAGGAGTCGGCAGCAGGTGTGGAAGAGGAAGGTTGCAGGGCGGAAGTGATAACGTTTTGAAATCCGGAGACCAGAGGGAGCTGGCCTGAGAAGATGTCATCGAGAGAGGGCAGGCGCCACCTGGCAGGGAGGGAGGGGGAGGGGGAGATGTGTCGGTGGGAGAGGGGGAGGAGTCGGCAGCAGGTGTGGAAGAGGAAGGTTGCAGGGCGGAAGTGATGACGTCTTGAAATCCGGAGACCAGAGGGAGTTGGCCTGAAAAAATGTCATCCAGAGAGGGTAGGCGCCACCTGGGAGGGAGGGAGGAGAGAGGGGGAGAGGGGTGAAACATGGGGGTCCGAGTTGCATTAGGGTATTACTGCAAGGCGGCTGTGATGATGCCTTGAAAGTCGGAGCTGGGCTGGGCTGAAAATATGTCATCCAGAGAGGGCAGGCGCCACCTGGGAGGAAGAGAGGGGAGGAGGGAGGGAGGGGGGAGATGTGAAACTGGGTTAGAAACTGCCAAAGGGAGGCGTATTGCTCGGTCAGAAGGCTGCAGTGATGAGGCTGCAGTGGCGTATTGCCTGTAGGATGGTCTACATCACCTGGGCTGAGAAAATGTTGTTCCATCATCTTCTACCAGGTGATGGTCTGGGAAGAGAGGGCAGACGCCACCTGGTAGGGAGGGAGGAAGAAGGGTGCGGTGCAACATGCGGGTCTGATCCGAGCTAGCACTAGGATATTTCTGCCTGGCTGGAAGGCGACAGGCATGGTGTCATGGAAGCCAAATCTTGAGGGAGATGGGGTCACAAGACATAATGTAGAATCTCAGAGAACTATCGAAATTGATACAGGGGGGCATTGCCCATTGCTGTGCTGCCCAATTTGAAAAGTTGCTGTGGCAACAAGAAAGCATGGCAAGAATGAACTTGAACTGGTTTTGCACTCAAAGATGGCCCACATCCCATGCTTTCTTGTTAAATCCAACAACATTTCACATAAATATGACACCCTGGCTACTCACCTCCTTTTGAGAAGTCTCAAAAGTCGCACTGATATATGACACCCTGGCTACTCACCTCCTCCTCTCCTCCTCTGCCAGCTCTGCAAAGCTGCGGTAGCGCACTGCTAGCTTGAGCGTGGCCCCTCCTCCCGGCCCCTCCAGTGCAACCTCCTGCTCGTGAGTCTCGCCTGAGCGTGCATTCACACACACACACAAGCGCACAGACAAACGTGCGATGGATTGCGGAATGGCGTAGAGACAGTTTATGAGATGCCTAAGGATTTTGAGGGGCCGTTTAGGGAAACCTCATCCTTGTGGTTCGGCATGATGTGCGCACACATGCGGGAACAGGGTACGGGATGATGTACAGACATTTATGAGGCACGTAGAGACTGAAATCCGACTGATGGGAATGGATTCGGAGCATGCACATGAAAGAGAACATAGAAGCTTAATGCATTGAGTCAAATGTTCATCAATGAACAAGCTTGTTTGGTCTAGTGGGATTGGGGAACTTTTACGGCGGCAAGGTGACTTCTAAGTCGACTCAAAAGTTACGGCGCCAAGTGATTTCGATGCATTGAAAGAAAACACAGAGAACGACAGCAGTGACAGGAATGCTACCGTCCAGGAGATCGTCCAATCGGATCGAAGCATTTCCGAGTCGGCGGGGCGAGATGACGATTCCATCGTCCCACATGGACAGCTGTGATTGGTGGAAGGGGTGGTGAAAGAAGGGTGGAATTGTGAGAACAGAGGAGGAACCATATGGAGAGGTGGAAAAGAGAGGGTTTGGGAGAATAGAAGGGGGATTGTATAAGGAACTTGTGATTGGTGGAGAAAGGGAGAGCAAACGATTGGTGGAAGCAGCCTGATTATACATGTGGCATACCATGGGGAGACGAAGGAAATGTTGGAAGAGGAGAGCAAAGAGAAGAATCTAGAATCTGGACAGGAGATGAATCTAGAGGAAATCTGCACCTTGAGGTACTGGGTGGAGGTGTCATCTGCTTTCACCAGCAGGCGAATCTCCTCATTCCACTCTGGCGCCGTGCTCCTGAGGACATGCACACAAGTCTGTTTGTTTGTTGCATGTTTGTCGCGTGTGTATGTGTGTGCGTGTGTGTATGTGGGTGTGTGTGTGTGTGTGTGTTTATGTGTGTGTGTATGTGTGTGTGTGTGTGTGTGTGTGTGTGAGTGGATGAGTTTGCGCATGTGAGTGAGTGTGTGTGCGCGTGCGCACAGACGCCCCGGCTACCGCAAGACAAGACGCACGGCTTTTAAGGCGCATGAAAAGCGTGTGAGTCTAGATAGCGATGCTAGCAATGAATTTCAAACCATAAAGTGGACTCACGTCCAGATGGTGTGCGTGCGCACAGACGCCCCAGCTACCTCATGACAAGACGCGACTTTCAAGGCGGGTGAAAAGCGTGTGAGTCTAGATAGCGAGGCTGTGTAATCTAGAGAGCGTGGACTCACGTCCAAATGGTGCGTGTGCGCGCAGACGCCTCGCCCACTGATGCCTGCACGTAGGGGTCGCTGGTGCCCTGACAGACGGGTGGCAGGGGGAGTATGAAACAAGGAGAAGCGAATCAAATCAAAGAGGGAACTCACGTCCAGATGGTGCGCGTGCGCACAGACCCCTCGCCCACTGATGCCTGCATGTAGGGGTCGCTGGTGCCCTGGCAGGGGGCGGAGTGGGCAGAGTACGAAGCAACGAGAATGAGTGCAGGCAGACCCAGCCATGCCCCTTTACGCCTTCACTCATGCATGCATATTACAATGCACCATGGCGTTCAGCCCCTTCACTTCACTCGTGCAGAGCAGATAACAATAAGGGCTGACTTTTGAGTCGACTCAAAAGTCAGCAACGAGAATGAGTGCAGGCAAACCCACGCCCCTTCACGCCTTCACTCAAGCATGCATATTACAATGCAGCATGGCGTTCAGCCCCTTCACTTGACTCGTGCAGAGCAGATAACAGTAAGGCCCCAGGCTTTCACCCACCCAGAGATCGACGGCTGGCACGTCAGAGGCGGATTGGACGGTCACGATGAGTTGGCCGGAGTAGAGCTCGTAGGCAAAGCCGTAGGATGTGAAGATGGTGCGACAGCCCCCCACGTCCTGCTCCCACAGAGTGTCCTTGTCCTCCTGTGGCCAAGGGAATGTTTTTGAGAATGCAGGGTGTTACTAAGGATTCACAGGGTGGTTGTGAGAGTTTTGAAATTAGGTAGAATGTAATGTCGCTGTGGCAGCCCCCCAGGTCCTCCTCTCTCCCACAGCGTCTCCTTTTTGAACTATGGCAGGAGGGAGGTGCTGCATTGCACCGCATTGCATGGCTCAACCCAAAACCAAGGAGCAGCAGTAGCAGATCCTGTGAGCGACACAGCGAGGATGATATGTCAAACGGCAAGGCGGATTCAATGCAAGACACAGGGAGAGCATGCTTCCTGCGTCAAATGTCCTCCTGTGACGACTCCGAAATTCCTATTCACCGGATTCACAAACCCGCCAGCACTGCTCTGCTCACTGCTCGTTGCTCACTGCTCGTTGCTCCCGCTGCTCGCTGCTCACTGCCCACTGCTCGCTGCTCGCTGCACTCACCTGCGGGGTGTTGTACGACTCAAACGCGAATCCCGCCAGCAGCACCGCCAGATTGAGGTCGAACGGAGGGCGATCAGCCGCTGCCAGGCACACTGCATCCCCCTCCTCCCCCTGCTCGCCTGTCGCCACCGCTGCCACCCTCACCCGCGTCTTGACATGGTGCTTTCCAATTTGAGGGGTTTGATTTCCAAGAATGGAGGCACGTGAGGGGGACGTGCGGGAGAGTGCGGTGTTTCTGGCGGCTGCGAGCGGCGAACGACTTGCGACGGCTTGGTTTGTTCGAGGATACCTGAGGAATGCACGGCACAGTGAGAGGGGTGGAGGAGTGAGAGGGATGAGGAGGGTGTGAGGGATGAGAGGGGTGAGAGGAGTGAGAGGAGTGAGAGGAATGAGGGGGGTGATAAGGGTGAGAAGGAGTGCGACGGTTGAGAGGTGGTGTTCCAAAAACAAGCGAGAGAGAGGCACGCTAGAAACTGCCGGGCTTGAAACTGTTCGAGGAGAACGAACGACAGAGGCAGACGACTTTTGATGCGTCTCAAAGACGGCTCAAAACTGTTCCTTTCAGGAGAACGAACGACAGCGGCAGACGCGCACGAATGCGAGAGGCGAATGGCGAATGAGTTGGGATTCGGAGAGAAGAGCGAGAGGAGAATCTGCCGGAACTTCAGTGTCAGCCGAGCGAGCTGGATGCGACGAGAATATTTCAGCGCAACGCATGGAACAAGAATTCGCGAAAGTTGTGCGACGAGGACGTTCAGTGCGACGGCTTTGTTCATAGAGATGCGACGAGAGCATGCGACGTGCGACGAGACGGAAGGGATGTGACGAGAGGGATGCGATAAGAGGGATGTGACGAGAGAAATGCGATAAGAGGGATGCGACAACCTGAAGCGCAGAGCTCGGGAAGAATCGCGACCGCATACTGCGTCTTGCGACGTCGCAATACTCTTCAGAGAATTGGGGAGCAGCTGGGTCGAAAGAGTCCGCATTGTGGCAGCCATGGTCCCACTCGCAATACTCCTACTTGCGATGGTCCCGCTTGCACTAATCCTGATTGCGGTCTTCGCACCAGCAAGAGCCCTAACAATTTGCTAACTTGATGCGTCGCCACTCCACTTCAGGTCACCTGAACGGAGAATGAGTGGATAACCTTGGACAAGCCTGGATTCTCATAGCCTTGAATTTCGAGTTCCTGGATTTTGCCGAGAGAGCCAGGTTCAGCCACTCACTTTCGAACTTCCAAAGAAACAACTCGGTAGGTCGTATTTCTGCACTGAAACTGACAAACTCAGGATGCAGAAACTGAACAAAAAGGTACACAAGCCACGCAACGCATCAAGCATTCTGATGGGCTTTTACGGCACCATAATGACACGCGAAATGCAAACGAGCTCACTGGATTGGATAGAGTCTCACCCCCTCACACTGGAATGTTCAAGACCAATCAAAAGGCAGCACGACGTGCCACCAATCCAGACACTCTGTTTAGCTCAAAGAATTACGACAAAGAAGAAACAACTCTCTTGAGGGATCTGCTACTAGCGAAGGAAGTCATCCACAAACCCACCCCATCCACTCGTGCCTATTTTCCACATACTGATCATTTTTTCTGGAAGCGCGTAAACAGTTGGTCACGTGTGTTAGGAGCCATAGCAATGGCGTCTGAAGGTCCGATAGTGCAATTAGAGGACGAGCCGCTTCATAAGATAGTATTCTCCAACGATCGCGTCCGCGTTTTCTCAGCCACGATCCCAGCGGGAGCCGAAACTCTCTTCCACCGCCACGCGTGCAACACCTACTTCATCGCCGTCAGCGGCGGGGCATACCGCAAGCAGATCTACGGCCAGGAATGGCTCGACACCGCCCTACCCAGTCGCGTGGGTTTCTGCGCGAACTACACCACGCATCCAGAAATTCACAGGGTAATTTCCCTTGAAACTAATCCAGAGCCAATGTACATAGTCGCCGTTGAGGTGTTTCCCTCTCAACCAGGCCCAGAAGCACCAGCAGCAGTTACAAGCACAGCTGGAGCTGATGGGCCTCAAGGAGAAAACCCGCTAGAGTCAAGTCCTCTCAAGGGTGCAGAGCTCAAGGGGAGTGGTTGGGAGAGAGACAAGAGCGGCGAGTGGCCTGACATTGCCATCCACCATCTCACACTGCACCCGGGCCAGAGCACGGGAAGGCATGCAATTCCTTTCCATGGTGTGTGGATATCGCTCAATGATGGGGACATTTCAGTGTCTGGGAAAGATGGTTCCTATTGGAATGAGCTGAGGAAAGCAGGAGGGAGTGTATACTGGCAGCCTAGGGATGATGTGGAGTTGAGTAATGGGGGATCAAGCAGATACGAGGCTGTCCTTCTAGAGCTGCTTTGAAAGCACATACGGTACCTTACTAAATAAGTAGTGAGTGAAGCTCTGACAAAGGAGCTTGCCACATACATACTTCATCACTCTCTGGGCAGCAGAGTAGACCTTGTTCTATTGCTAAACCGAATAATCCTATCCAAGAGAGAAATGTGAACATGCTCAATGCTTTGGTACACTGCCCAGGGCAGGATCTCCATGCTGTCACACATTCCATCACGACACAAACATCCATCCCGCCTAGTAGACAAAGGGCACAATGCGCCAAGGCACTATCCTACAATACTCCTTCCAGACCTCCGTGTACTTGGCCCGGCACCGAGCCTCATCCCGGCGCTCTCTCCAAAGCAGAAGGATGAGCAGATAGATAGGGTAGAAGTACGGGCAGAGGGAGTAGAAAGCACATGGCAGGCTGTAAGAAAGAGCCAGCATCAAATCTCCCAAGTAGTTGCAATGGCGAGCTATGCCCCAGTAACCCGAAACCAGCAGCCTGCCGCCAACAACACGGGGTGTTTTACCCCAGATTTTAGCCGTTGGGTCGTGCTTGAATATGTGCTTCTGGCGGTTGGCACCGCGGAACACGGCGTAGCCGACAACGAAAACCGCGACTGTGACAATAGCGAAGGGCAGAGAAACGGTCGCTGCGATACTGTCGCGAGCAGTGCCGTGGGCCAGCAGCCACCATGCCTGGACGGAGAAGGTGAAAGGGATCCAGATCAAATCCCCGAAAACCAGCATGAAGCCGAAATTCTCGGCAATAATGTCCCACGTAGACGTCATGTACTCTTCGAACCAGAAATAGTCCAGGACATAAATAGCGGTGAAGACCTGATACAGGAACATGGGAAGCGTGATAATAGGGAGGGTGGCGATGCTGCTGCTGGCGACGCTGGCGGGAAGAATGGAGGTGAGGTTCAACGAGGCGAGGGTGATCGCGTGTGAGTTGTCGGGGAGTTTCAGCAGAAGCTCATGCTGCTTCGCTGCGATGGAGAGGTTGATCAGAAGCCATCCCATCATCGCGGGTCGCAGGCAGAAGAACTTGAGATCGAGCCCGAACACGGACGGGTTTAGCTGCACGCCGTAGATGAAATCGCTGATAAAGTTGCCGTGGAATTTAGGTTTCAGGGAGGAAGATTTGGCGTTGGTTGAAAAGACTCCCGCGAGGTAGAGTGCGAGGGAGAGGAGTACTGTGAAGGCGAAAGTCGTCGCGAAAAGTTCGCCAGCTAGATCGGCGACGATGGTCGCGGAGAGATGTCCGGATTGGACGCCGTAGCCGAGGAGAGCGAGGAGGAGCAGGAGAACGCGGAAGCCGTTGCATTTGTAATGGAGGCGGGTACCGTCAGCGAGAACTGTTCCAGGAAACACTTTTCCGGGAAGAATCGCGCCTGCTACTATGAGAAAGGCGACGTAGGTTGAGAGGATCGCAACGGCGCGCAGTGAGGGGAGGCCGGCGACAGGACAGCTGGTGTTCAGCCACCACTCTGCTAGAGAAGCCATGGCTAGAAGCTTCAGACGAGATCCTACGTTCTTGGAGATTATTTGGTTATCAAGAACCCACAACAAGAACGGGGGGCGTCTTCAAGAGAATGAGATCGTAAGGGCGTAATCTCTACAAGTTTTGTTACAGTTGGTGTCCGTGGGGTCAGGTCCAGCTTGTCAGAACACGAATTTTACTACGGAAGTTTGCTTCTATAATGACACATACATAAATTTCTAGAACAGCTACTAGACTAAACCTTGAAAATGACCCGACCAGAGGATACGTCCTAGGAGCACAACGCCTCGTCATTGCCTGCCTGCCTACAGTTTTGGTTCTGGCCTCGGGATTACAGCAAGCTTCTTTCATCTTGCCAACGTAGGGTTGCTTTCCAACAGTGCTTGTTCCAGCCATGATCACCTCGCAAGCATTCGTTTGACAAAACCGCGAACTTCCACCAGTGTCTGTGAATCTGGAATTTAATATTGTTTGGCTTTCAGCGAGGCGGAACCGGCAGTGTAGCATGGAAACGGACCCCTGGAGTGGACCTGCTTCGATACCCTACACTCAGCTTCAGCAGCTACAGCAGCAGCAGCAAGGGCAGCAGCCATATGGTTACCCGTACACGCCATCCTCGATAATAGGTCCTCCTCCTCCTCCTCCCTCTTCTCAAATTCAGGGCACGATGCGATCCTTCGCGCAGCTTTCCACATCAGATCGCTTCGGCCGGCCTTCCGCTGGCGCCGATGTAGGATCCAAGCGGAAACGTGCAGGAAAGCTGGACGCGATGATTCAGGGAAACCCTAAGATTCTCCTGGCTGCCAGTCCCGTGTTTCACGGCCGGTACACGGATAAGAACCTGCCATTCGAGCTCGTTCCGGTAACGACACGTGGCGGCGACGTCTCCGTGCAGATTCGCGTGCGCGTCGATGTAAGGAAGCCGTGAGAGGCATCAAGGATGAGTTATGATAGGCGTTGCTATTGTGTTGTATGGAGGAGACGTCTCCGTGCAGATTCGCGTGCGCGTCGATGTAAGGAAGCCGTGAGAGGCATCAAGGATGAACGACGTTGCTATTGCGTAACAATCTGAAGCAGTCAAAGATGGCCTCAGCAAAAGTTCGTTTGTCTAAATGACTTCATTTGAACCTTTTCCACATAATCGGTTCCAGTTCCCCGTCAATTTAGTACACGATTTGATTAATGTGTTGTCAAACCCCGTTTTCCCAAACCCCCTTCCTTTACCCCTCAGGATCTCACGAGCTTCACGGCTAGAGGATCCTCGAGGACGAGGAAGGAGGCAGAGCGGCAGTGCGCCATCGACGCCTGCTTCCATCTCAAGGTGGTTTTGCTTATCTACTAACATCAATGATGTTATCGTTACTATTTTTTTAAAATGTAAATGCAGACTTACAAGACGACATTATTGCATCAAAACAGACCGCTCATGTCTTGTGTTCCTGCTTCCGAACATGCGTGCAGTGCAGCCGACTGACACGCATGTGCTCATCTGCACGCTTATCATCACAGGGTCTCATGTGCAGAGATAACAGTGTCTACGATCTACACATACATGCAGGCCGATTTTTGAGTCGACTCAAAAGCCGACACGCATGTGCTCATCTGCACGCTTATCATCACAGGGTCTCATGTGCAGAGATAGCAGTGTCTACGATCTACACATACATGCAGGCCGATTTTTGAGTCGACTCAAAAGCCGACACGCATGTGCTCATCTGCACGCTTATCATCACAGGGTCTCATGTGCAGAGATAGCAGTGTCTACGATGTACACATACATGCAGGCATGCATAGCACAGCATAGATGGGTGCCAATAACAGATAAGTTTTTTGAGACGTGTCAAATGGTCTTATGTGCAGAGATAGCAGTGTATACGATGTACATGTACATGTACATGCAGGCATGCATGGATGGTTGCCACAGATCAGTCCCGCCTTTTTTATGGTTGGCTAATCTCTCTCCCCTTCTTCTCCCCCTACCCCCCAGGTCCTGGATCTGCTACGGCTGCTTGAAGAAGCAGCGCCTCCTCTAAGTTGCTCCTGGAAGTTGCAGGGTGTTTTTAAATGAAAATAAAAACACCCTGGTGGCTAACTCCTCTCTCTCGCCTCTCCCCCTCCTCCAGGACCTCGATCTGCTACGGTTGCCCGAAGAAGCGGCGCCTCCTTGAAGTTGCAGAGTGTTTTCTATGTTAAAAAATAGTCCCTCTGGTGGCTAACCCCTCTCCCTCGCCTCTCCCCCTCCCCCAGGACCTAGATCTGCTACGGTTGCCCGAAGAAGCAGCGCCTCATCTTGCTGCTATCTTAGGCAGTGGACCCGGATCAAGTGGAAGGGGAGGAGGGGGGGGAGGAAGGGGTGGAGGGGGTGGAGGGGGAGGGAGTAGTGGTGGGCTGTCGTCCGTGTGGGCGGAGAGCCCCAAGAACTTTCTGCAGCACTGTCCGGTGTTCAAGGACTGGATCGTCAACAAGGGAGGGAAGCTCAATATCCGGGTTTCCTCTGCAGGCCCTGACCACGGCAAGGTGGGTTGGTTGGTTGGTTGGAAATCACATTGTGAAGCACATCATAGCACAGCACTGTCCGGAGTTCAAGGACTGGATCGTCATCAAGGGAGGAAAGCTCAACATCCGCATCTCCTCTGCAGGCCCTGACCATGGCAAAGTGCGCTGTTGCCTTGGGTTGCGCTGATGACTTGGGTTTCTAGGTTCGGGGAAAGGCCCAAATCACCAGGGAGTTGGCTCAAGTACCCAAATTCTGCAGCACTGTCCGGTGTTCAAGGATTGGATTGTCAACAAGGGAGGGAAGCTCAACATCCGCATCTCCTCTGCAGGCCCTGACCATGGCAAGGTGCGCTGTCGACTGTCCACATTCTGTGGTAGCACATCAATGTTGGTGTTACTTTTGAGAATGATCAAAAGTGGCACCAACATGGCAAGGTGCGCTGTTGACTGTCCACATTCTGTGGTAGCACATCACAGCACTGATCATTCGGTGGGTGTTCAGTCAGTGCCCCCCCCCCCCTCCCTTCAATCTTCCCTCAAGCCTCTTCTATCTTTATCTCCCTTACTCCTCCATCTCCCCCCCATCCCCCCTCCCCTCCTCCTTCCCCAGGTGTTCTATGCAGAGCAGAGCTGGATGTGCTGCTGGGGAGGGACTGGAGTGTGGTACATTCCCTCTCCCCCCCAATCCCCCCTCCCCTCCCCCTTCCTCAGGTGTTCTATGCGGAGCTGTATGTTCTGCTGAGGAGGTGGGGCGGGTAGACCCACAGTTCCCCGTCCCTTCAATCCTTTTTTAAAAACTTCCGTTATTTCACTTCTTCCACCCCCCTCCCCTCCTCCTTCCCCAGGTGTTCTATGCGGAGCTGGATGTGCCGTTGGGGAGGGGGGCCGGAGCGCAGGTGTGGGTGGCGAGGGGGAGGGGGCGCAACAAGGCGGACGCGGAGAGGAGCTGCTGCGTGGCTGCGTGTGAGCGCCTGCACGAGCTGGGGCTGCTCAAGGCACCTTCCTCCTCCAACCTTGCTGCCCTGGGAGGGCAGAGCGGTGGTGGAGGCATGCTGACCAAGGATCAGGGACAGGTGCGTGCAGTGCCGTGTGTGTGTGTGCATCTGTTTTGAGTGTGGCTGCCTGTGAGCGCCTGCACGAGCTGGGGCTGCTCAAAGCACCTTCCTCCTCCAACCTTGCTGCCATGGGACAGAGTGGTGGCAGTGCTGGCATGCTGGCCAAGGATCAGGGACAGGTGCATGCATTGTCTGCAGTGCGTGATACATCGTTAAGTGGATCCCAAAGTTACTGGTGGTGTGTGCGGCATGTGAGTGCGTGCATGTGAGTCCCTCGCTGCCCTTTTCTCTCTCCCTCCTTTCCAACCAGATCCCCCGCCTCTCTCTCAACCCATCGGACATCGCCCTTCTAGAGGACGTGCTCTCCGAGTTCCACTCCAGCCTGCTGTTGACGTGCCTCACATGCATTCCCCTTTCCCGATTCCCCCATTCTCCCATTCACCTCTTCTCTGTCACCCCTCAACCCATCGGACATCGCCCTTCTAGAGGACGTGCTCTCCGAGTTCCACTCCAGCCTGCCCAAGCCACCGTCTCTTGAGGTTCCTCGAAGCTCATTCGGGTATCTCCCCTTTTTTTCCCTCCCACCCATGCAGACCCCGCGCCTCACCCTCGACCCATCGGACATTGCCCTTCTAGAGGATGTGCTCTCCGAGTTCCACTCCAGCTGAGGTGCTAAACAATATTCCCTCGTTGCCCTTTTCCCTCTCCCTCCCACCCAACCAGACCCCGCGCCTCTCCCTCGATCCAGCCGACATCACCCTTCTTGAGGACGTGCTCTCCGAGTTCCACTCCAGCCTGCCCAAGCCACCGTCTCTCCCTCCCCCCTCCCACTCGCCTCCTCTCCCCTCCCACCCTCCCGACTCCACCACCCAAGGCAATGGCTTGCTTCCCCGCCCTCACTCCACAGGCACGCTCCCTTCCTCCTCCTCCTCGCTCCCGTACCCCTCTGGTTCTGGATCTAAAGCAGCAGCAGCAGCAGGGGGAGCAGCAGCAGCGGCGGCGGCGGCAGCAGCAGCAATGGATGTATCTGGACCGTACCCGAGGGATCCTTACCTGGATGAACGGTTCAGATTGGCTGCTGAGAGGAGGAGCGCGGCAAGGGAGATGGAGGACAGGTGGAGAGCGAGGGAGAGGCTGCCAGCGTGGAAGGAGAGGGATGCAGTGGTGCGCATGGTGCATGCAAACCCAGTGTCGCTCATTGTTGGAGAGACTGGCTGTGGCAAGACCACCCAGGTAGGGGGATAGCCTGATAGGTGACCTCTGAGTCGACTCAAAAGGTTGGGAGGGAGAGGCTGCCAGCGTGGAAGGAGAGGGATGCAGTGGTGTGCATGGTGCAGGCAAACCCAGTGTCGCTCAGTGTAGGGGAGACTGGCTGCGGGAAGACCACCCAGGTAGGGGGATAGCCTGATAGGTGACCTCTGAGTCGACTCAAAAGGTTGGGAGGGAGAGGCTGCCAGCGTGGAAGGAGAGGGATGCAGTGGTGTGCATGGTGCAGGCAAACCCAGTGTCGCTCAGTGTAGGGGAGACTGGCTGCGGGAAGACCACCCAGGTAGGGGGATAGCCTGATAGGTGACCTCTGAGTCGACTCAAAAGGTTGGGAGGGAGAGGCTGCCAGCGTGGAAGGAGAGGGATGCAGCGGTGTGCATGGTGCAGGCAAACCCAGTGTCGCTCAGTGTAGGGGAGACTGGCTGCGGGAAGACCACCCAGGTAGGGGGATAGCCTGATAGGTGACCTCTGAGTCGACTCAAAAGGTTGGGAGGGAGAGGCTGCCAGCGTGGAAGGAGAGGGATGCAGTGGTGTGCATGGTGCAGGCAAACCCAGTGTCGCTCAGTGTAGGGGAGACTGGCTGCGGGAAGACCACCCAGGTAGGGGGATAGCCTGATAGGTGACCTCTGAGTCGACTCAAAAGGTTGGGAGGGAGAGGCTGCCAGCGTGGAAGGAGAGGGATGCAGTGGTGTGCATGGTGCAGGCAAACCCAGTGTCGCTCAGTGTAGGGGAGACTGGCTGCGGGAAGACCACCCAGGTAGGGGGATAGCCTGATAGGTGACCTCTGAGTCGACTCAAAAGGTTGGGAGGGAGAGGCTGCCAGCGTGGAAGGAGAGGGATGCAGTGGTGTGCATGGTGCAGGCAAACCCAGTGTCGCTCATTGTTGGGGAGACTGGCTGCGGAAAAACCACGCAGGTAGGGGGATAGCCTGATAGGTGACCTCTGAGTCGACTCAAAAGGTTGGGAGGGAGAGGCTGCCAGCGTGGAAGGAGAGGGATGCAGTGGTGTGCATGGTGCAGGCAAACCCAGTGTCGCTCAGTGTAGGGGAGACTGGCTGCGGGAAGACCACCCAGGTAGGGGGATAGCCTGATAGGTGACCTCTGAGTCGACTCAAAAGGTTGGGAGGGAGAGGCTGCCAGCGTGGAAGGAGAGGGATGCAGTGGTGTGCATGGTGCAGGCAAACCCAGTGTCGCTCAGTGTAGGGGAGACTGGCTGCGGGAAGACCACCCAGGTAGGGGGATAGCCTGATAGGTGACCTCTGAGTCGACTCAAAAGGTTGGGAGGGAGAGGCTGCCAGCGTGGAAGGAGAGGGATGCAGTGGTGTGCATGGTGCAGGCAAACCCAGTGTCGCTCAGTGTAGGGGAGACTGGCTGCGGGAAGACCACCCAGGTAGGGGGATAGCCTGATAGGTGACCTCTGAGTCGACTCAAAAGGTTGGGAGGGAGAGGCTGCCAGCGTGGAAGGAGAGGGATGCAGTGGTGTGCATGGTGCAGGCAAACCCAGTGTCGCTCAGTGTAGGGGAGACTGGCTGTGGCAAGACCACCCAGATAGGGGCTAGTGCGCTTCTCGACCCTCTGCTCTGCCGCTGGCTATAGTATGAGGCTTGGGGCGACTCTCTGCTGCTGATGCCTTTGGGCCAGCCGGCCCCAGGCTGGCCCACCACGTGTCAGCGCGAGATCAGCGCGAGACCATGTGTCACTGTTACAGATCAGCGTGAGAAGGTCACAGATCAGCAGAAACCGTGTTACACACAGGGCAGACCCGGCCTGGCTCAATCAATGCTCACTCATGGTCATGGTCGAAGCGACCATGCCTTGCTCATGTCTTGCACTGCAACCCAATACACTGCAACTCATTGCACTTCTCGTGATGCTTCGTTCCCACTTGTTGTTGGTTGGATTGGCAGGTCCCTCAGTTCATTCTGGAAGACTCGGAGCGAAATGGCACTGCTAGCAGCACACACATTATAGTCACCCAGCCTCGCAGAATCGCAGCTCTGAGGTACTCCCCCTCTCGCCCTAGCTCTTTCACTTCAACTGATTATTCATTGCAACTCCATTGTTCCACACTCTTGGTTGGCCCTATATCTACCCCTTGCTGTCTTTTGAGACGTCTCAAAAGTCGTCTACTTACACGCGGATTTTGAGACGTCTCAAAAGTCGTCTCTCGCCCTAGCTCTTTCACTTCAACTGATTCTTCGTTGCAGCTCCATTGTGCCACACTCTTGGTTGGCCCTATATCTCCCCCTTGCTGTTACCCTGCCTGCGCTGATGCTTTAATGTGGATTTTCCCTATTCTGTCGATGCCTTTTTTCCACGCATACTGGTTCAAGGTTTTATTCCCAACAGCCCTTCGTCTTGCTGTCCTTTCTTCCCTCCTCTGTTTCTCCTGTATCTCGTTCCAAGAGTTGCACCCTGGTGTTCAGCTCTCGTCCCAAGGCACGTAAAGCCCCCGTTTCAGCTCTGGTTCCGCATCTTTTGAGGCGCCTCAAAAGTCGTCTCCTAGCTCTGGTTCCGCATCTTTTGAGGCGCCTCAAAAGTCGTCTCCTAGCTCTGGTTCCGCATCTTTTGAGGCGCCTCAAAAGTCGTCTCCTAGCTCTGGTTCCGCATCTTTTGAGGCGTCTCAAAAGTCGTCTCCTAGCTCTGGTTCCGCATCTTTTGAGGCGCCTCAAAAGTCGTCTCCTAGCTCTGGTTCCGCATCTTTTGAGGCGCCTCAAAAGTCGTCTCCTAGCTCTGGTTCCGCATCTTTTGAGGCGCCTCAAAAGTCGTCTCCTAGCTCTGGTTCCGCATCTTTTGAGGCGCCTCAAAAGTCGTCTCCTAGCTCTGGTTCCGCATCTTTTGAGGCGCCTCAAAAGTCGTCTCCTAGCTCTGGTTCCGCATCTTTTGAGGCGCCTCAAAAGTCGTCTCCTAGCTCTGGTTCCGCATCTTTTGAGGCGCCTCAAAAGTCGTCTCCTAGCTCTGGTTCCGCATCTTTTGAGGCGCCTCAAAAGTCGTCTCCTAGCTCTGGTTCCGCATCTCTCCGTCAACTATATCTAGGTGTGTTTTGAGTCGACTCAAAACACAACTATATCTTGTTCCCTTCCTCCCTCCACCCCACCCCCCCGCACAAACAGTGTGGCAGAGCGAGTGGCATGGCATGGGAGAGGGGCGAGGCATTGGGGGACAGTGTGGGGTACCGCATTCGGCTGGACAGCAACTCTTGTTTTCGCTCATTCTCCTGTCCCTACCCCACCCCATACCAACAGTGTGGCAGAGCGTGTGGCATGGGAGAGGGGTGAAGCATTGGGGGACAGTGTGGGGTACCGCATTCGGCTGGACAGCAACCCTCGGTTTCGCTCATTCTCGTGTTACCATATCCCACCCCCTCCCCACAGTGTGGCAGAGCGTGTGGCATGGGAGAGGGGCGAGGCGTTGGGCGACAGTGTGGGGTACCGCATTCGGCTGGACAGCAACCCTCGGTTTCGCTCATTCTCGTGTTACCATATCCCACCCCCTCCCCACAGTGTGGCAGAGCGTGTGGCATGGGAGAGGGGCGAGGCGTTGGGCGACAGTGTGGGGTACCGCATTCGGCTGGACAGCAACCCGCCCAGGGCCAGAGGCAGCATCCTGTTCTGTACTGTCGGCATCCTGCTGAGGCGAATGCAGGTGTGTTTGTGTGGGGGGCATTGACTGTGCTGTGCTGGTTGAACAGTTGTCACTAGTGAAGGTATGGTCTGTGCTTGTTAGATGAATGTGAGTAGCCAGTGGAGTGGAGCCACATGATACAAGTGTTGTTCTGATATGAGACCTCTCAAAACAGCTCTTTTATCACGTGGCAGTGAGTGTATGGTCTATGCTTATTAGATGTAATGTGAATAGCCAGGGCCAGAGCCGGCATTCTCTTCTGCAGGTGTGTTTGCATGTCCTGCTGAGGCGACTGCAGGTGACTGCAGGTGTGTTTGCGTGTGGGGCATTGGCTGTTGCTGATTGAATAGTCTCCAGCAGTAAGGGTATGGTCGGTGCTTGGTGGATGTAATGTGAGTAGCCAGGGTCAGAGCCGGCATTCTCTTCTGCACTGTCGGCGTCCTGCTCAGGCGACTGCAGGAGTGTGCGTGTGAGCGTGAGCTGCGCTGGCTAGTCTCCCTTCAGTGGCAAGGGTGTGGGTTGCGGACTGATTGCTGCTACCCTACCCTGTATACGCACCCACATCCGTGTATACGGTGCATGAGTAGTATTATCACATCCGCAACACGAGGGCGATACGCACATTGTCCTGCTTTGGGTGCCCTTGCCTTGTTTCCCTATGTTGCCTCATCCGCCTTTCTTTGTTTCCACGCACCCCACCATCTCATTCCCATCTTTCCCATATCTTCCATCACCCTCGTTATTTATATTCTCCCCAGAGCCCGGAGGGCATGGAGGATGTGAGCCATGTGATAGTGGAGGAGGTGTGGCCCTTCATTTTTATCACTCCTTCCCCCATACCCCTCCCCCTTCCCACCCTCCCAACCTCCCGTTGTCACCATTCCCCAGAGTCCAGAGGGCATGGAGGGGGTGAGCCATGTGATAGTGGACGAGGTGCATGAGAGGGACATGGACACCGACTTCCTCCTCATCGTGCTCAAGCAGATGCTCTCCTCCCCCACCGTGCCCTCCCGTATCCGCGTGGTCATTATGAGCGCCACCATCGATGCCGATCTCTTCACCTCGTGAGTTACTTACCATTGCCTCTTTTCTTCGCAAGTTGCCATTGTGTAAGGGTGGAGAGAGCTTAGCGGATGCTTTCAACCCCCGCCGTGCACTCCCGTATCCGTGTGGTGTGGTCATCATGAGCGCCACCAGCTATGCTCATCTCTTCACCTCGTGAGTTGTCATTGCCCTCTTTCTTCGCCGGTCACCCCTGCCATTGTTAGGTCAGCGAGAGCGAGCTTGAGGTACGTGATGCTACCTGCTAGCAATATGCATGTGGATGCGACATGACTTGCTAATTGTGTACGCATACACGTAGGCATGTTCAGATGCTGCAAATGCACAATCTATTTTGGTGTCTACCCAGAACGATTCACTGTACCCATGCAGGGCAGGGGAAGGCGCGTTATAAAAAAATGAGAGGGCATAGCCCTGAATCTGGTAGTCGAATTATGAGGCGCCTCAAAATTCAACTCAATGCGAGAGGGCATAGCCCTAAATCTGGTAATCGCATCGCAGGCAGGGTACTGCATTGCATGACCCGTTTGGCCGCCTATCATTGGTCAATCGTGTGTCACCAGGTATCAGCGAAGCACATTAGGCCAAGCCAAGTCCGTGTCGCCAACACACTGACGGAATACACACCAAGTCAAAACGAGTGCACACAATAGGCGTTTATGAGTTGGTGGCGAGCCAACATGCAGCAGGCTGATGGGATATGACAAGCCAGGGAGAGTGCACATCATGAGTGGAGGACAGTCTGGTGAAGGTTGAGTTGGTGGTTGAAATTGAGGAAAGTGGAGAAGGGCAAAACCTAGGACACCTCGAAGCCAAGAGCATGCCTCCCCGCCGCACACCACCGCATTCATGTGATCGTCATTATCGTTAAGTTTTGAGGCGCCTCAAAACTGAGGGGCCTCAAAACCGCACACCACAGCATTCATGTGATCGTCATCATCGTCACTGTCAACCGTGGTAATTCTGTACCAAGCACTCTCCTACGCTCCACCAATATGTACTTGAATCACATTTTCGCACTCTCCCAGTCTCCACAGTTGGAAATAATTAAGAGCCAAGGCGTATGCACAGACGAGGGCTGGGCAAGAAGGGGAATTGGAGTGGAGAAATGGGGCAATTGATGCCAAATGGGTCAAACTTGGAAGCCATGTGTGCTGCTTCAAGGAGGGTTCTTCCTTGGTTGTCCAGTTCCCTCCCTTGCTGCTTCCTCCTTAAACATACTACAGTTTTGCTTGCTCCAGTCAGCTTCGTAAGCTTTCTCCTACCCCCCCTTTTCCTCCCCCCCTGCGTGACACCAGCTCGCTCACTCGTCCTTTCTCGATTTCGATCGTGTCGGCAGCAGCCTCCTTCCTCTCATCTGCTCCCAGCGGGACTGCCAGTGAGAGGCTCAGCAGCAGTGGCAGTGGCAGTGGCAGCCGGGGTTGCCATTGCTGTTTCTTTACTGGTGAACAGCTTTTGCTGCTCCTTGCTGCTGCCAATACTACCTGCTGCTGCTGCTGCTGAGCCTCACAAGCCAAGGAGAAGGATGAGAGGAAGGAGGTGGCTGCTGCAACGTCTGTCCGGTCTCCGTAAACCGGCCGATCGGGGTCGGTCGAGACGAGTGAGCGAGCTGGTGGTACGGCATAACGTGTCTCTTGTGCTGCGCCTCAAAACCTGGTGGCATGGCAGTACGCTGCATCGTTCCCATCTCGGTTGTTTTTCTTGTAGTCATCGTGGTTGTCTTTGTGGAGTTGCATCCACCCTTTTCGCCCCTCCCTTCCCTCTATAACCTGTACGATGTCATCCTTATCTCATCGTGCCCCCTTCGTTCCCTCTCCAGTTGGTCGGCTCCCCTGTCCTCTCTTGTTCTCTTTGCGGTCCCTCCTCCATGCTTCTCAAGCTCGATATGCACTGACTCCCACTTGCTTGTGCCTCTCCTCTCTCACCTCGTCGTCTCCTCCCATTCGATTGTCCTGCGCGTAAAACCACAACGCCCTCCTCTTCCCCTCTTTCTGTCTCGTTTCCCCCTTCCCTCCCCCTTCGCCGTTGCCCCACTCCCCACCCAGCTACTTCCACCACTGCCCTATGCTCGCCATCCCTGGCTTCATCCAACCCGTCTCAGTCCACTCCCTCCCCAATCTACCATCCCATCATGGGCCGCCACGTGCCCTACCTGCTGCGCCACGCACTCCCCTTCATGGCCCGTCCCGCCATGCTCCCTCTGCCTTATCCATCCACTCCTCCGAACCCCTCCTGCACATTTTCAACCCCTTTCATTCCCCTCCCCTTCCCCTTCGCTGTTTCCCCATCTCCTCTCCCCCCTCTCCCCCATTCTCCCCAACCCCAGCTACTGCCACCACTGCCCCATGCTCGCCATCCCCGGGTTCATCCACCCGGTCTCAGTCTACTCTCTGGACGACCTCCCTTCCCTCATGGGCCGCCACGTGCCATCAGTGCTGCGCCAAGCGCTGCACCCCAAGTACGGGTGCGCTGACGAGGACGAGCTCGATGCTGAGCTGGCAGCGAGGGTCGTGGCGTGGGTGGATGATGAGTGTGCGAGGGAGGACGGGTCGATTCTCTGCTTCCTGCCCGTGAGTAATGTTGCTTTCTGAGAGGCTTGCTGTCTGGGAGAGCTTCATTTTAAAAGTGAAGCATCCCTAATGCATAAGTTCCCTGATAGCATGGGTGGTGTGGTGTGGGTGGATGATGAGTATGAGAGGGAGGATGGGTCGATCCTCTGCTTCCTGTCGCTGAGTAATCCCGAGGGACCTGAGTCGGTAGACCAAAGAGCCGTCTCTTTGGTGGGAATGTTTCTTGGTGCTGCGGGTGGATAAGGCGGGGCATGAGAGTCCACACTGGCCAGTCTGCCAAAGCGAAAGCGACTGGCGACTACAGCGATATCATGTGCACGTCTCATCTTGCCTCGCCATGCCATGGCACAATGTGACTTCTGTCCGCGTGTGCAGGGGTGGGACACGATAGCCGAAGCCAAGCGCCAGCTGCAGTTCCTTCCGGGATCGTACCGCTTCCACATCGTGATGCTGCACTCCCAGGTGAGTCACACCGTGCCTTTCCACCTTCATGGGCCCTGGCGTCCCTGTCTATCGTGTGCCACCTAGCTCGTGTGCGACCTAGCTCGTGTGCCACCTAGCTCGTGTGCCACCTAGCTCGTGTGCCACCTAGCTCGTGTGCGACCTAGCTTGCCCTAGCTCGTGTGCCACCTAGCTCGTGTGCCACCTAGCTCGTGTGCCACCTAGCTCGTGTGCCACCTAGCTCGTGTGCCACCTAGCTCGTGTGCCACCTAGCTCGTGTGCCACCTAGCTCGTGTGCCACCTAGCTCGTGTGCCACCTAGCTCGTGTGCCACCTAGCTCGTGTGCCACCTAGCTCGTGTGCCACCTAGCTCATGTGCCACCTAGCTCATGTGCCACCAAGCTCATGTGTCAGCAGCTCATTTTGCCTTCATTTTTTGTCAAGGTTTTTTTGTGCCCATCTTGAGAAGCTTGGAATACCTCTGAACCCCTCTGAATGCCTTTGAACGCCATGCAGGTGCCACCAGCGGAGCAGAGAGCAGCCTTTGACCGCCCTCCAGAGGGGAAGCGCAAGGTGAGATAGGCATGACAGCAGCAAAGCGTGATGTTGAATGTGACGGACGGTGATAGTGGTGGAAGGGATAGTGATGGCAGTAAAGAGTTGTCCAGCTGGTAACCTTTGTATTTTCGTTCGATCAAATGTTCCATCCCTTCATCTCTCAGTCTCTCCACCTTGAAATCTCTGCGTCTCTCCTCCTGCTCCCTCCTCCTCCTCCTCCTCCTCCTCCTCCTCCTCCTCCTCCTCCTCCTCCTCCTCCTCCTCCTCCTCCTCCTCCTCCCCCCCCCCCCCCCTCCTCCTCCTCCTCCTCCTCCTCCTCCTCCTCCTCCTCCTCCTCCTCCTCCTCCTCCTCCTCCTCCTCCTCCTCCCCCCCCCCCCTCCTCCTCCTCCTCCTCCTCCTCCTCCTCCTCCTCCTCCTCCTCCTCCTCCTCCTCCTCCTCCTCCTCCTCCTCCTCCTCCTCCTCCTCCTCCTCCTCCTCCTCCTCCTCCTCCTCCTCCTCCTCCTCTGCAGGTGATTCTATCGACCAACATAGCGGAGACGAGTGTGACGATAGACGACGTGGTGTTTGTGGTGGATGGCGGCAAGTCCAAGGAGAAGTACTTCGAGCCCGCAAGGAACATCTCCTCCATGCGCGTGCAGGTGAGGCGGCAATGGCAGGGCCTGCAGTGCGCAGGGCAGTACTCACAATTCTTGCAGGTAGGGCGAGCACTTGCCCACATGAGGCAAGTCCAAGGAAAAGTACTTCGAGCCCGCCAGGAACATCTCCTCCATGTGCGTGCAGGTGATCTCTCTATGAAGAATCTCCCATGCAGCTTTCCCTCTGCTTGTTTGTCTTGTCCTGGAGTGGTTGTCTGAAGCCAAGGGTAAATATAAATTTCACCATTGTTTGTCCCGCCTGTTTCGTGCCGCCTGTGTCCTCCCCCGGCCTACAGTGGGCGTCCAAGGCGAGTGTGAAGCAGAGGCAGGGCAGAGCTGGTCGCGTTCGCCCCGGGAGATGCTTCCGCCTCTTCACTCGCTCGGTATGTTTGTTTTGAGACGTCTAAAAACTCGAGCTGGTCGCGTTCGCCCCGGGAGATGCTTCCGCCTCTTCACTCGCTCGGTATGTTTGTTTTGAGACGTCTAAAAACTCGAGCTGGTCGCGTTCGGCCCGGGAGATGCTTCCGCCTCTTCACTCGCACAGTGAGACCACCTCCTGCTTCCAAGCCTTCTCTGCTTCCAAGAATGTTCTGCTTCCAAGCACTCTCTATCACTACTTGCCTCGAAGGCTGTCCATTCATGTACTGCATCGATCCCATGGATTTCTACCCCAATCGCAGGTGTATGAGGCCATGGCGCCCAACTCTGTCCCTGAGATGCAACGCGTCCCTCTGGAGGAAATCTGCCTGCAGATCAAACCCCTCCCTCTCGCAGCCGCCGTCACTGCCCACCCCTCTTCCTCCTACCCCTCCTCCACCACCGCCCATCGCAGCACCAACATCGGTCTCTTTCTTGCAAAGGCCCTCTCTCCCCCGGACCCTTTTGCTGTTCGCCACGCCATCGAGAATCTCCAGAGGCTCGGCGCGCTGGATGAAGATGAAGAGCTCACAGCCCTTGGATCGACCCTCAGCCGGCTCGCTGTGCACCCTCGGATCGGCAAGATGTTGGTGTATGGGTCCCTGCTGCACTGCCTCTCTCCCCTCCTCTCCGTCGCTGCGGCTGCTTCCCTCTCTCGCGACCCGTTCCTCTCCCCCATTACCAACCGCAACGCCGCCGACGCTGCGCGCCGAGCCTTCGCGACAGGCTCGGCGGCCGGGAGCGATCATCTAGCTGTGGTGATGGCGCATGAGGGGTGGATGAGAGCAAACGCAGAGGGGCGGGCGATGGGGTATTGTGATGAGAATTTCTTAGCGCCGTCCGGGATGCGGCTTATGCTGGGGCTGAAAATGCAGATTGAGAGGATGTTGTGGGGGGCTGGGCTGGCCCAATTAGGAGAGTCTCTTGATGCTGATCTGCCGCCTAAGGCTCAGGCTCAGGCGCAGGGAGCTGGTGCAAGGGGGATGGTGGGGCAGAGGAAGGAGACAGGGGTTGGAGGAGGACGAGGGGTGGAAGGGAGGTCTGGCAGTGGTGGTGGTGGTGATGGTGGTGACGGTGCTGGTGGTGGTGTCGGTGGTGGGGTATCTTCACTGAGTGGTAGGCCTGATATCCGCCACGTGACTCGCATCGATGCTCGCACCGGCTCCACACAACTGAGTGATTCCAGGGGTGCTGCTGCTGGTAGCAGAGAGAGCTGGAGGGACAAGGAGGACAGAGGCTCGGATCGGGACAGGGAGAGGGAGAGAGACAGGGAGAGAGATAGGGACAGGGACAGGGATAGGGACAGCGTGAGAGATAGGGACAGGGAGAGAGAGCGGGATAGAGATAGAGACAGGGATGGGGTAAGGGACAGGGAGAGAGACAGAGACAGGGATAGGGGAAGGGACAGCGACAGGGATAGGGATCGGGATCGCGAAAGGGAGAAGGAGAGGGAGAGGGAGAGGGAGGGGGAGCGGGAGAGTGAGGGTCGGCGGCACAGGTCAAAATGGGATGTGCGAGTGGCAGATGAGCGCATGGACGAGCAGATGGACGGCCGAGATTACCCGCCGGGTCCCGACAGAGCCAATGCTGCTGCATCTGAACCGCACATCGATGACACCGACGAGTCATCGCTCTTTATCGCTCGCTCAGTGCTGGTTGCGGGTCTGTCTCCCCATGTAGCCCGCTCGGACATGCTCCCGGAAGCCCGGGGCGGCGCCGGTTCCGGCAGCAGCAGCGGCGGGAAGCAGAAGGTCCGGCTGAGGTTCGGGTTCCGAACCTCCGAGGGTCGGGTGTGGATCCACCCGACTGGGGTGATCCCGCAGCAGGGCAAGGCGTTGGACGATGGGGGAGTGCATTTTCTGACGTTTAACGAGCGTGTGCAGACCTCTCAGGTGTTTATTCGTGGCTGCACGCTCATCCCTGCTCTCTCTATCGTCCTCTTTGGAGGTCCTATCCAGCTTGCCCCTGCCCCATCTCCGTTTCTACCCCTGGGAGGGGCTTTTCCCTCTGGGAATCCATACGGTGCTGCTGCTGCTGGCGCCTATGGGTTTGGGTCCTCCTCGCTGGCGTCTCAGCCGGTTCTGCTCGTTGTGGACCGTTGGATCGAGTTTGTGGTGGATCGGCATGTGGGAGAGCTGCTGGTGCAGCTGCGGGCGGTGCTGGATTCGATTCTGGGGAGGTGGGTGGCGGGAGGGCCGCGGCCGGCCAATGAGAGGCGAGTGGTGGGGTGTGCCGTAAGGCTGCTGGAGCAAGCAGGGAGAGCGGCTGTACGGGAGCTGGAAAATGCTGAGAAAAACGCAGCTGATACCGCTGGTGCTGGTGCTGGTGGCTTTGGTGGTGTTGCTGGTGCTGCTGGTGGTGCTGGTGGTGCTGGTGGTTTTGGCGGTGTTGCTGGTGCTGGTGGTCCGGTTGGTGCGATGGGATCGTTAGGTGGCATGGTGTCAGCTGGTGGTGGTGCTGTTGCAGTTAGGGTGATTGATGATGGTGATCGATGGATGTCAGGAGGTGGTGCTGGTGGTGGGGATTGGAGGGGGGGTGGTGCTGCTGGTGGGGGGGATTGGAGGTCTGGTGGTGCTGCAGGGGCGGATTGGAGGGGGGGCGGTGCTGGTGGTCGTCATGAGCCTAGTCCTCGTGGGTATGGTGACCGAGTCTCAAGGGATGGGTCTGGGTATAGAAGGTAGGTCTGTAGCATTTTTTTCCAGACATTAATCGCGAAGTAACAAATTCCAGCACGGACGGGCCTTTGAGTTATTGTGGTTTTGTCCAGTTTCGAAGTTAGTGCTATAGATCGTTTGGAATATGATCATCTATTTTCACCTAACATCTGTGATATTCTCTAACCAGATCCGCCATAAGAGCTTCTGACAAACCGCGACATTGGATGTCAGTTGACTGTGAAGCCAACTCCCAAATCCTTCCACCTCTGACTGCATCGGAGATCTCGAGGAATTTCCTTACACAGGCGTTGTTCGCCAGCACTTTTAACAAGAAAAATGACGGGATCAGGAAGGTCAGTCTCGGCTTCCTGATCCCGTCCGTTAGGGTTCGTTAGGGTCCGTCAAGCAGGTCAGCCCGCGAAATTCTTGCCGAGCCTGTGATTCCGTCCGAACCAAACGGAATCATATTGTCCTGTCGAACGCCCTCCTTTTCATTCATTTCGAATGGAATCGTGAAGGTAGGAAAGTGGGTCGGGAGCTTCCTCTACAGGCAAACGTTGGTCCCGTTGCCATTCCATCGCCATTCACCCCCCCAAGCAGAATTGCCTTGGAATGGCCATGGGTTTGGAAGGATGTGGAGGGGGGGAACGGGGAATTGGAAGGTGGGGAGGGTGGTTCCTGATCCCGTTGCCACCCTTCCCCTTTCTGGCGCGAAATTTCGCGATTTGGCCATTCCCCCCACACCTATTCGGGAGGTTCCTCCTCTGGTTCGTGATTCCACGGCCATTCCGTGGCCTTTCTTTTTTTAGATGTGCTGGCGAACACCGCCGCAGTGTTCAGCACACGAAGCGGAAAGTCCTGCTCCCATTCGCATTCCTGCAACAACCACTGAAAGTTGGTTTCAATACCACGATTCGGCACGGTAAGCCGAGACGTCGCCAAGCACAACGTGCTGAATTTCCGTTGCTTAACTTGATCAGCGTCATGGTCACGATTGATCAAGCTCACGACTTAGCCGGACCAGTAGAGACTGAGGCTGGTGATGTTGAATGTCATGTAGAATCTAAAAAGCAGCCTGTTGACGTGGAATCCTTTAGCAAGGATGGCAAGGACTCTTCTGCCGATCTCAAGGCCAAGGTCACCTGGACTTGCCGTGGTATGCCTTCGACATCTAGAGCTTATCGTGGCTTCACTTCGTTTCTGAAGTTATTTCATTTTTTGTTCTTTTCGTTTTTAGCAGATGTGATTTTAAGTCAGCGTGGCCACTAACCACCATCATGTGACTCCTTCCGGACTTTACTGGTTTCCCACCATTCCTTATTGTCAACCTCAGATTGCGACCGCAGCTGTCTGCCAGTTCGAGACGAATCCCAATGTATCTGCGGTCACAGGCTTCGAGAGCATCGTCTTGAACCGCCTACTACTCAACAAAGCTCTTCTGAAACAATAGCTGCGGAAAATTTGACCGACTCACGGCTGTCTGAGAACCCGGAATTGCAAGATTCGGACTCCCTGGCAGGACCGCCCAGCGATTCGCATTCAGGCTCCTCTTCCTCCTCGTCGCCTTCGTCGCATTGTGGTGAATTTCAGCTGGTCTGCGGACGAGCCAAATGTGCGTGCGAGAGTTTCTTCTTCATTCCTGCTCAAGGCGTCTGGATCCTTCGTTGCAGATGCAAGGTACGCGCCTGTCATCGTTCATGCGTTCATGTATTTACGCATCTGTACGTTCGTGTGTTATGCCTTTTAATTTGTCTCGGAATTTGTTTACTGCAGATGCATTGTTCACTCCTTTCTGCATTCATTTTCAATCATTCACGGCGGATGCAATCGTTTCCTAGCCTTGCTGAAGCCAGCTTTTGCATTTTAACCATGAAAACCTGCTGCTGAAAGAAATCTCAAAACCCTGATCAAATGTCTTTGCTATGTGGAGTTGCTCCTCGTGCGATTTTTCCAGATTCTTCGTTTATATTTTTCCGTCCTTTTTCTATTTCCTTCATTGTGTTGATCTATCACGCAGCATAAGCATGTGGAACACGAGCCGACATCGCACAAATGCATCCGACCAAAATGCTCATGCGACAAGTTCGATAGCCCATGGGTAAGTGAGCTTGCACCTTGCATGCGCAGATGAAGCATGACGGTCACATGCATGCATGACTTGGGGTAGGTCGGTAGAGGAATGTGGCGAAGGATTACTCACAGGACCCAGGTGTGACATGCATGGCTGACCATACATTTTCAATGCATGAAGGAAGGTGTCCAGTGTGCCATCCTGCGCATTGCCATGGGAGGGAGAGATAGAGCGAGTGCAATCTTGCTCAAATCAAGTCAATTTGACCGTCGACATAGCCCTATATCCTTTGATCCTTTGCCTCCGTGCCTTGCTTTTTGTGAATCATCAGGTGTGCAACTGCAATCACCCATGGGGTCATCACACACAGCAGACCAATGTGCTGACAAGACAGCAGCTCCTCAAGCAAAGGTAACGCCTCTGCAATGCATAGCACAATCTCTAATGCGTTCACGAACCAGCATCTGCCATACTAATGTCATTTCACCCGGTCCTCTGCAGGATGGAAGACATTGCATCTCCAGCGCCAGAGGTTAACAATGTGGCAGCATTGATGCGAGGCCTCCAGGCATGACGGCCATACTGGCTTGCTGGTGCTCTACCCAGGTTCTTGTAGATAACCTTGAAGGAAGGAAAGTCTCATTTACATATTCTCAGGTGGTGTAACTGTAACATGTCCTTCGCTTTTACACGCCTTTCTTGCTTCTCTGGAGCTCACCATTGCAGGTTGCATTATGCAAGCCGTGTCCTGGGTTATTTTGAAAGGCTCTGTTCATCTTCACGGCTGGCTAAAAATGGTGGTGACATGACATTACTTAAAACAACCATGTTATCTTACCAGTACAGTGTATCAAGGTAACTTGAGTCAACCACCACCGGCGCCTTCGTGGCTTGTGGTTGTGGCCATCGCTCCATCCTTTCAAGTGTGCACTCATCTGACACTTGAAACTGGGCTGGCAGTGGCTGATTGATACGAACCCAGAGGTGACGTCTCTGAAATCTGCTAGCTTCAGAAATCCAGAAAGGGACTCGTGGCCAGGTAGTACTGGTGCTGAGAACATCAAATGAATCAAACTTTGAGAGAGATAATGCGTTTGCTAGCGATGCACTGCACTGCACAGTCGATGACATCTGATTTCTGCCAATGCAGGTTCGGGGTTCCTACAAAACCAGGAGGCACAGCAGAAGCCAAGCTACCGTATAATCATACCGTAAATGGATATATGTACACCGTAATGGCACAGTGCGCCAGGGGCAGGAATGATTGCCTTATAGACACCGTCATGCCACATCCCTACAATAACCAATACATACAACACGTGCAAGATGCTGGGAGCATGCTTGCGCACCACGGAGCATCAATAGCATAAATCAAGGTGTGCTTGTTAGAAGTGACGTACCCAGAGAGAGAGGCATGGACGCCTCAAGAAGCAGCTGCTGCTGGAAAGATAGGTTTTATTAACGGTCGGAGAGAGCACAAGATTAGTGGATGGCCCTGCTTTGCTCCTGCTCATCCCACTATTGCCCAGGCTGGTGAGAGCGGCTCTTCTGGTCCAACCAGCTGGAAGTGCCAGGGTGGCATGCACCACCACCACTACCACCACCCCTTGCTGCACTTCTGTCGCCCTCCTGGTAAGCATCACTCCTGCTGCTGCTGCTGCTGCTGCTGCTGCCACTATCGACCGGGCCGGTGAGAGTGGCTCTTCTGGTCTAACCAGCTGGAAGTGCGGGAGTGGCGTGCACCACTACCACTACCACTAACCCTTGCTGCACTTCTCTCGCCCTCTTGACTCTTCTGGTCCAAGCAGCTGGAAGTGCGCGAGTGGCGTGCACCACTATTACTACCACCACCCCTTGCTGCATTTCTCTTGCCCTCCTGACTCTTCTGGTCCAAGCAGCTGGAAGTGCGTGAGTGGCGTGCACCACTATTCCTCGCTGCACCCCTCTCGTCTTCCTGATGAGTGTACTTCTCGTTACTAGAGCGGCCCTTTCTGTATCCACCCCCATCTTCCACCTCACCTCCCCTCATGCCTCCATAGCCCCTATCGTACACATCACTCCCATATATCGGTACTTCTTCCCCATTTCTTCTATACACTTCATCCCCCTCCCCTTTGTACCTGCTGTGCATGCCTTCCTTTTCTCCGTTACGCCTCTCTGCAAGCCCCCATGCATTCTGCTGCTGCCGACCACTGCTCCTTTGCGACGGTTTCTTCCTGTCCCCATCTCTGTCCCCATCTCTGTCCCCGCCTCTGTGGCTGTACTGTTCCTCGTGTTCCTCTCCGCTCTTTCTGCGTACTGCATGCTGTGCACTCTCCTCCTCATCTCCACTCACCACTTCCCCACTCCCTTCACCATCCCCGTTCTCCACCTCACTATCCTCACACTCACTCCACTCCTTACTATCCTCGTTAGCACTCCCTTCCCCCTCTCCCTCCTCCTCCATGCCCTCCCCTTCCTCCTCATTCCGATCTTGACTGTCATGCCATTGCTGCTGCCTCTCCCCATAACCACCACTGCCTCCTTCCCACCCCCTCCCTCCTCTCCCCTTTCCTCGCGAACGCTCCTTCTCATAAGTAAAGTTCCTCCCCCCTTGCTCCTCCTCGCCCTCACTCCCACTGTTTCTTCCATCGACCTTTCCCCGTCCACTGTCGCACCTGTACGAAGGCTTATTCTCAGATTTTGTCCCTGCTCTCCCTTCCCCAGATTTGACCCCAGTCCCTTTCCCTGAGCTTGTACCACGATCTCTAGACCATCTCGTTTGTCCACTCTCCACCACCTCTTCCCCATCCTCCTCCTCCTCCTCTTCATCATCCTCCTCCTCTTCCTCCACCTCTTCCCCATCCCCTGCCTCTTCCTCTTCCTCCTCTGTGTTCTCCTCATAACCATCCCCACCGTATCCAATCATCTCCCTCTCCTCCACTTGCCTCCGTCCCGCCTTCTCCCTCTCCCA